GAGAGTTAGCGCCGAAATCTGGGACCAAGCTATTTTCTGAAGCACTGCGCCAGGCGTGTTTCAGATTGACAGGCCCTGATTTTGTGGTCAGGGATGCGTGCACCAGTCATCAGCGGCTTGGCAGGACCGTACCGGTCAGGGGTCGCTTTGGCGAGCGAGGAACTGCCCAAGTACCGCCGATGCGAGAGGATTTCGCCTGGGCTTAAAGCGGCAGCCGTTTTTTCTCTGCCAAGGCCAGCGCCGGCCTGGTCTGTCCTGTCCTCTCTAGCGTTAGTCAACGAAATGATGGCGTCCAATGCAACGCTCCAACGTGCTGATTCATGTGCTAACCTTCTGACAGAGCAGTAACAGTCTGACAGATGCCGCGGTACTGGGGAACTTGAGATTGCTATCGTACGTGCCTAGTGAGTATGTTCGGGATGATAGAGCATGATGGTGATGATCAAGAAAAGGAGGACGAGGAGAGTGATGAGATGAGGCACATGACTTGAGAAAGCTGGCGCTCATCTTAATCCACGGCTCTCTCCGTAGGTCAGCTCACAGCTCACGCAGTGCCAGAGATGGTCATGGTAATAAGGGAACATCGGGGAGCCATTTCTCAGAGCGACTGGATGCCGTAATCTTTGTCAGGCAGCATCCGAGCGTCTCCGACTTGACCATGCCTAGTTGAATAGCAAACGCAATAAGCTAGACCGACGAGCTCCCTTCCGTATCGGTCGATGCTCGGCCCTGCACCACAGTGTGATGAATTGGCCTCGCTGACAGAGACTGACTGGTGGGCTCAACCTCCTATCAAAGAACCTCAGAGCGTACTGTTAGGTCGCCCAGAGGTTACCAGGATAAACTATGCAGTAGGGTAGGTAGTTTCAATGGAGATGAATTACTTCAGGTCCAGATGCCGTAGCTGCACGCAATAGATATAATGTAGGTACAACACGGCTCCGAGAGGAGGAGGCGCTCACACCAGACTAAGCAGGCAGCATTTGCCATGTTTTTTTCTGTTTTGACTGCCATGCGTACATGCCTTGAGGATGGACGACCAAGAGGAAAGCGCGATCCTGGCTGGGACGTTGTTGCTGGCCGGTGCCATCTCAGAACTGGGTCTCAATTGCTTCTGGCAATTTCTCTACTGCAGCGGTCAGGGGAACGGAGATTATAGAATGACCGCGACCAGAGTTGGGAGTCGCTCATGAAGGTTTTGGGCAAGCGGAAGTCGCATTGTGGAGATTGGAAATACAGTATTTCCATATTTTCCTTTCTCTTTCGGTTTGGTGGAGTCGTGCCTTCCTTGTTGTGTACGCAGTACGACTCTTACTGCTCATTAGTCCACCTACCTAGGTAGATAGCTTGTCTTCGCTGTAGTTGCCTTGTTTACTTTTGTGATTCCACTCCACCCACCGCTAACTAAACGTGTTCCTACCGGGCTCGTGCCGTTCCTGCTCTTGGGCCTTCATCCATCCCATCCGCCTTTCTCGTTCTTTGTTGTGGACGACCGCATCGGCGACAGCCACATGGCCAAAACGAGCCGAGTGGGAATAGGTTCAACAATCTTGCCATGCACTAAATGTGGTCACTAACCTGATGGAACGGAGAGCGCACCCACCGGAAAGCTGCAGCAGAGCGTGGTGGCAGCTGTGCGTTTCGCCGAGCATCCCTCCGCTCCAGGCTAGCCATCTCGCTGGCGGTTCTCCGCTTATTGTTGCCCGTTTCTCAACTCCAAGTCTTCCACATACGCACTCATAAGCTGTTATGCTCGACTTATCACAATATTTCACAACGCATTTATGCTCGACGAGGAAGTAGCAAGGGCTCTCAAGAGATGCCGGCAGTCAATTTCCTAACTTCATAATAGCACGGCTGATGGAGACATGGATCATGACGGGGTTGTCTGTAGTAGACTTGTCTAGGATTTCTTTGATTTCCGAATCACCTTGGTCTTGTCGATATCCTGCTTCTTCAGATTCTTGAGTCGACATCTGCAAGACAAAAAACAAAAAAAAAGGTTGTGAGGCGCCAAACTCCAAACAAGCCCGGAATGCACCAGCAGAATAGGCACTCTTCGATCATGTGTGTCTGTCCCGCCGCCTTTGGGCCTCCTTTGCTATGGTCGACCAACAGGTACTTTGCGCTACATCTTCATTCAAGCGGCCCCTGTCAACGTGGGCGTGGAATGGGTCCACCCTTGGTCATTGTCTTTCCCCATTGCGGACATTTGGACGGCAAGCAACCAAGGCAATCTTTTTTAAGCACTTTTTCCAACGGGAAACACAAGAGCACGCAGACGCTTGGTCTCCCAAAGCCAGGCCAGATCTGCTGGCCACTGCTTCCGAAAGGTACTACCCGCTCTGAGATTCGCGACACCCAGCGGATGTCCTCGTCTTTGAGATGCAGAGCATAAAGACAACTGGCGAGCGGGAATGGCTCCAATCAGAACATCGGGTAAAGGAAAACGACTATTATGACCACGTCTCTTGAGCCGCCAGACATTGTCCTACATCCAAAGCCCCGTGTGACGCCCGTTTCTACGCTTGTATGGCTGTGAATGTGTGGATATCTGGCGGCACCATGTCTTTCCTGTGTCTTCAATGCACTGGCACAAAGATTTGCTGAGAATGACCAAGTCATGCCGCGTCTTTAGCAGCAACAAGTACAGGCAAGGGGGTTTGATTTGGGTGACAGTTCGACCTGCGACTTTTTGCATGGATCAGGTTGTACACTGGTTAAAACAGAGGCGTGTGCTCAGCGATCCTACCTCTCCGGTCGACAGTACAGAGGGTACAGGTCCGTCAAGCTGCCCCGAACTTGTATCCACAGAGCCACTCCATCTTGCGATATCGTATTCTTGCACTCCCTGGACTTACGATTTACACGCCGGGGGACCTGCGACCTACCAGTGAGTGGTCTTAGCCTGCCATCATAGCAACGCGACCATGGTATTGAGCAGGCACAATTTCTCACACATGCCAGTGTCTGCAAATGACGGCGTAAGTGGATTTCAAAGTCCGCTACAGGCCGCCACCAACGTTGAACCGTTTTGAGTCTCTGCTGTAAACTCGGAGGCTCAGTCGAACGCGATACGAATCATACCTTTGACAAGGAGGACGGCAGTCGTGGTGGGATAGAAACACACATCAATTCTCAGAAACCTAGGACCTGTGTGCTAGCCCGATCAAGCAGCGAGAGGATTCTGCTCCCCGGCCCTGATCCCTGACCAACAATGGAGCAAGCCCCGTTTTTCGCAAGAGCAGGGGATCACTTACCAGCCAGAACGCAAGAGACCATTTCCGTGGGTTTCTGTGCGGATGACGGGAGTTACGAGGGACGAAGCCTGCCCTGGATAGCTACGCCCGCAAGATCGATACTTGCCTTGCTCAACAAATAGAGTACATGACCATGCTGGCAATTTGAATGAACCCTGAGGACACTCTATGTACGCACATACAGAGCACAGATGCCCTTGAAGCCCTTCACGTACAATTCAGAAGATCATCCTTGGGGGGCCTGTCTGTTCAGACATCCTCCCTCTGGCAATTCGCCCTCGCATCCTGCGTGTTCTGCCTGTGTGCCTTTCTAGATTACATTAGTCCCCTTTGGACTCCCTTTGCTCCTTGTACGATGCGGTGTCGTTCTGGGTCTGCCCTGGTCCGTCCCGGGTGGCTCGTGCCTGTCCCCATCTCCGTACCTGGACTGGTGTCTTTCCAATTTCTTTCTGTCTGCTTGGGCTCGCGCGTGGAGGGATGGATGGATGGATGTACCGCCGCCATACCACCGCACCCACAACAATACAAGTGTACTTGCATGCATCATCCATCCATTCGACCAGCTTTTACCTACCGACTACTAAGAGCACGGTCGATTCGCGCATCAACCCATGCCGCCTGCTTCGCGCACCCACACCTCTCAACCCACCAGCCTGCCACCCACCTCTTTTAGCCAGTCGCCCTCGACCATCCAACCCATCCACCCCCCAGGTCCTGCAGCTCCGGGCTGGATTTCCTTAAACCCCCAGGCCGTCCCTCTCTCCGTCTCACTCAGACCTCTTGAAATCTTCTCTTTTTCAAGACTTCCTCTTCTACCGTCACTCTTGCCCTTCTCCATCTTCGTGTCTCAGGAGGTTCCTCCCCAGCACAGGGCTTTCTCTATTCTTCTTGGAGCCGCACATACCTCCAAACCTTTTTTCCATTCCCCGTTGTTAGTTGTTGTTGTTGTTGTCGTTGTCGACGTTCGACAAGCCAGTGGCGGACACAGATACCCCAGAGGCAATCATCCCTCTTCCAGTCGGACCAACCCACCCTCACATCAGACACTCGCCGTCGCAAGCTGTTCATCAACTAGCCGGCCCCCATCGACCACGTCGTTCTCTTGTCTGTTTGATGAGCATTCCGTCCTCGGGAAAACTTTACTCTGTTCAACCCACGCTTTTTGATTGATTCAAAACCTGTCGTTCGGGCCATGACATATTCGTTTCGATAAAACAACTACGTCTAATCTCAACAACGATTCGACCCATTGTTTTTCCGCCGGATCGCATAGCTGTGCATCGCTGTGCATTGCGCATCAACCCCCGTCGTCTCGGAGCAGTCCACACGCATCTTCAACGCGGGCCTCTACAGCTTGGAGCTTCCCTCGAGTGGAAACCCCACTGTCCCCAAACTACCCCTATCGTTTTTGTTACCTTGACGGTTCACACTAGCGGGCATCTACCCATTCGCTTGAGGCAATTGGGTCCCAGAGCAGTGTGCAAATTACCCTCCCCGGGCTGGACTCGATCACTGATATTAAAATCCAATAACACATCACACGGCATCTCTTTGAGTCTTACAAGTAAACAGGCAGCGCCTCCCATCAAACAACCGCATCTGCGTTCTTAGCGACGCATACCATAGTGGCATCGACCGCTTCATTCTTCCTTTTACCGAAAGGTCAAATCGAGACTTTGTCTATTTTCAAGTCCACTTAGTGGCAGGTGTCCCATCATCATGTATTCACAACATGCAGCAATGGCACCCCAAAAACCGGAGACGTTTATGCTGAGCACGGAGGCTCAGCAAGCACTACCACATGATGCTCAGGTCGCTCTGCAGCAAGTTGATAATTGTTGGTCGCTCATCACGAAGCATGGACAAGCGAGAGTAGCTAACATCAATGCTTAGTGAAATATTTTTTGATCTCCGCGCCTGTTGACTGGCAGCCAGATCAGTACATCCGGAGGTTCTTGTTGCCCACCGGGGAATACGTTTCCTGCGTGCTATGGTAAGTGATGCAGCGTGTCTACTTGAATTAAGTTTCGAGACTCATCATATACTAGGAACAACCTCTTTCACATTTCTGGAACCGACATTGTGCGATGCCTGTCTTTCCGATTCCAGGCTTTTGGCCGCCCGGTGAAGAACTCGAAGAAATTCGAAGAGGGTATCTTCTCAGATCTGCGAAACTTGAAGTCTGGAACCGATGCGTCCTTGGAGGAGCCCAAGAGTCCATTCTTGGACTTCTTGTACAAGAACAACTGCATTCGTACACAAAAGAAGCAGAAGGTCTTCTATTGGTACAGCGTACCTCATGATAGACTCTTCTTGGATGCTCTTGAAAGAGATCTGAAGAGGGAGAAAATGAGCCAGGAGGCAACCACTGTCGCCGTCAGCGAGCCTGCTCTGTCATTCCAGTATGACTCGTCTCAGTCTCTCTATGAACAATTGACGAAGGCTCAACAAGCCAACTCGTCCTCGTTCAACGCGCAACAAGTTTCTTTCCCCCCCTCGCAGTCTACCTCACCAGTAATGCGAGCAATCGACTCCATGCCGCCACCGCAAATGATGCCTCAATCGATGGCCCCTTTAGCGGATGGGATGGACGCCATGGTCCCGTATGGCACGATGACGATGGCGCCGCAAATGGCCCAGCAAGTAGTCAAGAGGGAGCCTGACTTCAACCGAGTTCAGTACAACCAGAATGGCGTGCCAATCGCTCAGACTCATCAGAGACATGCTTCAATGCCTGCCTATGGTCTCGAGTACTCGCCTGCTCCTTCTTTCGTCTCTTCGCACTATGAAGACTACAGCAATCGGGGAATCTCCTTCGAGCCCATCACGCCTCCTCAGCAGGCGCTGGGCATGACTGCTGAGCCAGCATACATCGCAAACGAGGAGACAGGCCTGTACACTGCTATTCCCGATCACCTGAACGGTGTCAACGGAATGAATGGCATGATTCAGCTGCCACCATCCAACCTGGCTGGGCCCCAGTTCTCTCGTGGTTACGGGACTAACAACGTCTACTCTGTGATTGAAGGCTCGCCGACATACAAGCAGAGAAGGCGGCGTTCATCTATCCCACCTGGCATGTCGGCCATTGCCGCTGCCACCGCCACCGCGGCGGCCCATAGACCATCAGATCTTCGACGATCTGTGTCAGCGTCTGTTGGTCCTGTTGCTGAAGGTGATGAGTCTTTGGACAACTCTCCCCCTGGCTTGACATATAGCAACTCAGGCATCTCCCTGTCCAGCCAACAGCAGAGAGAGATGCTCGAGATGTCTCGCCATGGCACCCCGCTCTCGACCGTCGAGGGCAGTCCTGCTCTCAACCCAATGAGCCTACAACAACAGGACTTTCCTCAGATGACGAATGAAGATATGGCTATCAATAGTTCTATGGAAGAGCAAAGACGGGCAATGCAGGCAGCACCAAATGTTGTCCGCCGTGCCCGCTCTGCGACCGTCATGGAGCTAGGTCCATATCCCCAGAAATCCCACTCATGCCCGATCCCCACGTGTGGCCGTCTCTTCAAGCGCCTCGAGCACCTGAAGCGGTAAGACTGCGAGACTTTCATTTGTCAAAATATAACCACCTGCCGTGTATCTGACCAAACTTCCAGACACGTGAGAACCCATACCCAAGAAAGACCCTACATCTGCCCTTATTGTAGCAAGGCATTCTCCAGATCAGACAACCTAGCACAGTATGCCCCTAACCTTTCCTTATTGTGTATTTTCCTTTGTCGCAAGAATAAAACAAATGTTGTGTGCGTGGCATGTTATCAACCAGAAAGAAAAAATCAAGACATCGAACCACCACACAACACAGCAACAGCATGAAGCGACAATGAAAACCAAGCACACAACAGGAACTAACAATAACTCCTTTACAGGCACAAGCGAACACATGATCGTAGCGACGGTGCCGAGGGCGGCTTCAACCTGTCTGGAGAGGAAGAGGAAGAATACTCTGGCGAGGATCAGCTTGGATCTCTCGAGGAGGCCTCTCCAAACTCGGAAGCTGGCTACATTACGACTTCTCTGAACTCCGTTGCCAACAGTACCCCACCGACCAGCAATGGCAGCCTTCCGACCTCGATGCCTCACCAGGCCTTCAACAGCTTGCAGACTTTGAGCATGCCGATGACCATCAGCGCACCGCAGGCTATGAATGCTGCTGTGATGATGTAAAGCCTTTACATTAGGCTTTGTTGTCTCGTCGACAATGGGCTGTGTACGATCTTCTTAGGGTGTTGTTGTCACTATACCAAGTGACGTGGGATTGACGGATATAGTCCTCTATCTTTCATGTTCTGTTCTTCTGGCATTTAGGGCGTTTCTTTAAGCCTGTGCGATTTCAAACTTTTTTTTATGACTTCTTATGCGCTTCATCGGACACCATTTTCGGCACAAAAAGCAAACCATTCATAGAGGGGCGCGATGCCTTTCGTAGAAAGCCTCGACTCACATAAATCCCAGAGGGGGATCATGCATGGATAAGGCACAAAAGAAGTGGAGGCGGAACCGCATGCATTTGTATATATATAGTTGTCTTCGGGATTGGGTGGAATGAGTCAAGAGATACCAGGGATGACTTTCGAGCTTTCATGAGGACGATGCGGGAGTATACACATCCCGAGGTTGAGTAGGATTGTTTATACCAATTTACATCTTTATACTGTTCCTATTCTTATCGATCGTGGTATCATAATTGTACTTGTCTATAACAAAAGCCTGGCAAACGTAAGGGCCTGGAGTAGAGATCGCTCCTGGGGTCATCCTACACCAACTCTAGCCGGCCCCCTGACTTTAGTCAATGCGCCTCTAGTATCCAGCCATCATAGTGTATATTTGGGGTTTGGATGCCGGATTCTCGTCTCAGACCAATAGCTTCTCCCAGGCCTCTATAGGCACCCCAATGAAGAGCCAGGGCCGGTTTAGGAGATTACCACCGCTTGACACAGGGCCCCGTATGTGCTGTTGCTATAATCCCTTTAGGTATCATGGCCGTCCTTACCAGGCGAACTGGTCATTCAAGAGACAAGCCATGCCACCCCAGCAGAGAGGAATATCTTCTCAGGTGTGACAATGATATGCTCACCTCCTCCGCCGCTTCTTGCCTCCAGGCTTCTCCCTCGGCGTCTCCATGCTCCTGATATCCCTCTGGCTAAGCCGTAGCTCTGCACCCTTCATCCTGCCCACGCCCGGCATGTCCACCGCCAACCCGCCAGCCCTCCGCCTCTTCCCCGCCGCCTTGTTCTTGCCGCCGCCGATCGCTCTCTCCAGGATGATGCCGTTCTCCTTGGCCTCGCGCCGCCGCTTCTCCTCCCGCGCGGCGGCGGCGCCCGCGATGCCCTTGCGGATGCCCATGGGCATCTTCTTCTGCGCCAGGACGCTGTCGCGCGAGCCCAGCGCCTGCAGCCGCATGTCGGTGGTGATGCGCCGCGTGCGGCCCTCGGCAAAGGCGCGGTCCGCGGAGGGGGAGGCGGCCGCCGACGAGAGGATCTTGGACTCGGCGATCAGGCGCTGCAGCGCGAGGTCGTTGGCCAGCAGCGTGGCCGAGTCTTCGTCTTCCGGATCGGCGTCCTTGGCCTTGGGCGGTTTCGCCTTGGGCTGGGTGGAGGACTCGTCGTCGAAGGCGGAGGGCGGGCGCGAGGAGAGATAGGCACGCAGTTCGCGTTTCGTCATGGTGGATGTTGTAGTGGTCGGGCGCGAGGAAGTATGGTCAATGACTTCGACTGCATTGGCTTCTGTATAAACCGTATTAGCTAGATCATTTCGTATGCCATTTGCGTGCTGTGGGATATTCGTACCGGCTTCGTCATCTTCCGATATCCCTCCCCACTCTGAGTCTGCGGATTCCGAATCCGAGTCGTCCTCGTCCACTTCAACTTCCGGTTCTCGTGCACTTTTTCTGGCGGGTTTCCGTGATTCAGCCACCTGCAAAGGTTTGAACTGCGCCTCGAAGTGTCTCCTGAAAATAGCTTCCGCATCTTGTATTTCTGCCTCGGATGTCTTCTCTGGGACTCGAGTTTTCCTCTTGCCGAGTAGTGTGCCCATTGTGCCTATGTTCAGGACGTTGTTGCTCCCGACGGAGGTTTATGTAACGCTGGGAAAGAAGCATGCGCATCACCGCTGGCGGCTTTAGGTGAGCCGTTGAGCCTCGTGAAATTTTCAGTGGGCCCTCTCCCAGCTTTCAAAACCCCCCACCGAGTACGGTTTTGGCCGGGGCGTATGTATTGTCCATTCTCTCCAACAGGTCACTGTAAACCCTTTTATGGCCGTTGCTCTGTCACCATACCTGGACTACTTGAGAGAAAATATCGTTATGATCAGTATCAAATTCTCTATCGCCTTTATGGTCCTATGAGTACACCTTGTATCCTCTTTCTGTAATAATTGTTCAACATATTCAGAGGTAACATCAATAGACTCTCTTAGACTAAGCCCATCGTTGGCCTGTCGTAAGAATACAATGGAGCCTTTTATAAAACGAGGAAAGAGATAGTCAAACGCGACAACTCGAGACTATCAAGAACCAAGATGTATTGAAGTTGACCTTATAGCATCAAGGTACAGATTGACAGTACGGGCTGTTTAGCCCGATCAATGAAGATAGACATCTTGGTAATCGACGCTACCAATGCAGGTACCCACTGCCCCTCCACCAAGACTGCGTGCGTCACAGACAAATGCCATCCATATGAGAGCTAAATCGCGGGCCCTAAAACGAGGTGAAGAGCCTACTTCTCAGGCCTACTCCTCTCAGTCGAAAAGTATTCCTACGACGTAGAGCTATTCCGATACACGTCTGGCGAGCCTCACGCTCACCACAATGACGAGGTTCAGGCCCTGCATAGACCTGCACGCCGGGCAGGTCAAGCAGATTGTGGGCGGCACACTGGACAGCTCCACCAGCGAGCTCAAGACCAACTTCGTCTCGCCGCACCCCCCGGCGCACTTTGCCAGGCTCTACAGGGACAATGGGCTGACGGGCGCGCATGTCATCATGCTCGGCCCCAAGAACGACGATGCCGCGCGGGAGGCCCTGGCTGCGTGGCCCGGCGGCCTGCAGGTGGGAGGAGGCATCAACGACAGGAATGCGAGGGAGTGGATCGAGGCTGGGGCTGAGAAGGTGCGTTCGGCTGTGGTCTGAAGAGCTGATCATACACTGGGCACTGCCTTTTTGTGGAAAATCTACCCTCGGAATCCAATGCTGATGAGTGGCCAGGTTATCATTACATCATTCCTCTTCCCCGAGGGCAAGTTCAGCCAGTCACGGCTAGATGCCGTATTAGAAGCCCTAGGAGGCGACAAGACCAAGCTGGTCATCGACCTGAGCTGCCGGCGGCGCGGCGAAGACAGCTGGTTTGTAGCCATGAACAAGTGGCAGACCATCACCGACATGGAAGTCAACCAAGGTAAGGCGGTCTCAGGGGCTTCATTAACAGACCCTCAAGTGTCCGTGAGAGCAATTACTGATTCGCTGCATTAGAATCTATCAAGAAACTAGAGCCGTATTGCTCCGAGTTTCTTATCCACGCGGCTGACAATGAGGGCCTACAAAAGGGTGTAGACGAGAAGTTGGTTGCGAGGTTAGCGGAGTGGTGCAGTATACCAGTCACGTACGCTGGCGGTGGTAGACACCTAGAGGATTTAGAGGCTGTCAAGAAGATGAGTCAAGGGAAGGTCGACTTAACAATTGGCAGTGCCTTGGACTGTTTCGGCGGCAACGGCGTAAGGCTAGAGGATTGTGTCAATTGGAATAAGAAGCAAAATTCATAACGAGAAGAGGCTCGTATCGACAACTAAAAATTCTCTGGCTTAGGTGAAGGGGTGTAGTTGAGAGGAAAGCGAGCAGAATACGCGATAAATCACAAGCACCAGCCATGGGACGACGAACGGCACGGATCTGCATGATTATAAGATACCAGAATGCATTTGATGCCTTTAATACAATTCGATACAGCCGAAACGGCCTTATGAGAAAATGCCAGACTAGAATGTCTCCTCAGTCTGCACCGACACTCCACTCGTGAGCCACATCCCAAAGGAACACTAAAAACTCCGACTTCACTCCAACATCATATTATAACCGTATCTCTTTGTGAACCGGGCAAGCCGTAAAGAAGTCCAACCTGCATAAGCGAGTGGGCACCGGAAAGAACAGGCAAAAGACGTCCAGAAACATGAACCTTGACTCGTGAGTGTCATTGAGATCATGCCAAAATCGTGTCTTTCGTGTGTGTTCGTTCCATCATGAGAAGTCAAGCAATGTCGTGAGCCAGCTTAGACATACATGCTCTTCGTTCGGGAATGGACTCGCCTCCCCTCAGCACGACGACGAAGTGTATCCTCCCGCTTAAGGACAAGCTCACACCATTTGCTCTTGGATCGTGAGCTTCCGATACCATCGTCATCAGCGCCAAGGCTATCGCGACCAATGACCTCAGAGAGAACCTTCATCCATCCGTCCTTGTCTTGGGCGGTGTCTGCATAGAAATCGATGACTTCACCGTTGTTGAAACGGATGCGGAACCCTTCTTCAACAAACATGTAGCCTTCTTCTTCCTCAGCGAAAGCCGAGCGACGACGTTTACCATTCTTCCCAGTCGTCTCCTTCTCGGTCAGCGACCGGCGGTCATCAATGAGCCGCTTGGCGTTGGCAAGGTTGATAGTGGCACGTGGCTGGCGTGTTGCCTCGTGGTAAGCCGTGAGCTTAGTTCCCACGAGCTTGAAGTAACGACGGCGCCAGTACTGAATTATATATTAGCAATGAACCTGTGTCAATGAAATTAGATGGGATCAAGACTTACCGGACAATCACCGCCCTGCTGGCTCAGATGGCCTTCCCAGTTGCGAGAAAGTCGCTCCTCTGCGGACTTCATTTCTCTGATGCATGAGTTCATGCTCTTGGGCATGTCATCATCCGTAGAGCCCTTGGGTCGGGGAACAAACAGCAGTTGCAGCTCCAATTTGCCAATCTTGTAAGGTGCTTTGCGGACAACAGCAGTGTTGCCTCTCTTACTCTTGACACTGGATGCGAAGCCTGCCTCTTCTGTTGCCCATTCGTTGAAGCAAGCGACATCAACGAGATAGGGGCGTCCAAAGCATCTAGTCTCATGCTCTTTCAAGCAGACGTATGCTCGGGCAAAACTACCATCTTCAGCCGCCAATGGAGAAAGGAGGTCCCACGAGGTAGGATGTGCCTTGATCTGTCTTGCTTGAGCCTCACGCTGCTCTCTTGCAAGACGCTCCTCCTCCTCTTTCTGACGCAATTCCATCTCCTTCCGTTTCTTTGGTGACGCAAATACTCTGCTGAAGGTTGACGTCTTTGTCTTGCTCATCTTAGTGGGAGACGGGATGACTCTCTGGGGAGCAGGCTGCTCAAGTTTGACGTTCAGAGTAAGTTGGAACTCCAAATCGTTTGGCACAACTAATTCAAACTCCTGGCCGATGGGCGCATTTCTAGCAAGCTCCAGCCATGCAGTGGTGACGCAATGGACACCATTGTCCAATGTGAGGCTGAACCAAGTTCGTTCATCTAAAATAAGTTAGTAACCCAGCTCGAATACCAGAAGTTTATCACCCTTACTCTTGGGAATAGGAAGATCAAGATCCTTGACACCCATGACCTTAACGAAGAGTCTTCCTCGCTCACCGCTCTCTTCGCCAGCCATCTCTACGTTCATATCTTCCTCTGCAAGAGGATTCAAGGCTGTAGCATTACTCTCCTGACCAGGCAATGGTGGGGCCGGCCCGCTCATACTTGGTCCATGTCGCTTCCTGATGCTCTTCTTCCTAACTTGGCCGTTCCAGGGTTCGACTGTCCAGGACTGGGGCCGGGTTTGCTTGACAGGAGAGTTACCTACAGACCGAGAGCCGCCACGGATATCGTCACCATCCTTGTCACTGGCTGCGACAAGTTTCGTGTTCTGTCGCATGAGGTAACCGCGCTGTTTACGGGAAGTGATATTAGTATTGAAGTCTTCTGGATTTGTTTGAGTTGCGCTCTTCTCTCTGGACACTTGTCTAGATGGTGTTTGAGTAGCGGCGAGAAATTGGGACAGAAGGGTAGAATCGTGAAAAGCAACCTTTTGTGCCTCGATAACCCGCTCAAAATCCTGATCAAGACTGAGACCAAGGTCAAGATCCAATGTCAAGCTTCGATTCTTGAAGCTGGGATGCCTCTCAAGGAAGTCATCGCTGGCCGTGCTACTTGTTAGGTGCTCCGCATCCATATCGCGCGAGATGCGGTTGCGGTGACGTTCTGGAATAGGCGGAATATCAGGAATCTCCCGGCTCACTTGACGGCGAGCCTCTCGCATTGCCATAAGGTCGGAAGGTGTGGCAGAAGGTCGTGTCTTCAACTTCGAGCCAGAAGCAGATTTAATAGTAGCCTCCCGCTCGGGCACAGCTGGAGACTCGCGTGGTGAGTCGTCCAGCATGGGATGATGAATGACAGACTCCGGCGTACCAGGCTCGTCAAACTCCTCGTCAGGCTCTCCCCATCCAGACCCATCGTATTCAGGTTTGGACATGGGCTGATCCGGAGTGTACGGCCGTTGCAAGAAGGCATGAGCATCAGCCATCTTGGGAGCTTCGGCTTCTCTGGGATTCTCCAGCATGAAGGACTGTAAGCCGCTTGTGAATTCCTGATCTTTATTATCAGAGGAGAATTGGGGTAAAGTATCCTCTGCGTTTGCAACGGTGTCAATAGATTGCTCGTGAGCCGGAGACCCAGCGCGTGGGGTTATGATTGCTTCTTCTCCGGTTTCCCCAGATTTGGAGCTGCTCGGGCGGTCTGGATCAGAGTAATGGCTTTCTGAGTAGTTATCGCCAAGGTCTTCCGGATGCTCCTCAGGCTCCTGCGATCCATCTTCTGATCGCTGGTAAAGGTCGGTGATGGAGTAGACATCGGCCTCCTTGTCATCAACATCATGCCTTACAACGCTGCCCTGGTCGTCGTCCAAGATGGAGTCTTCTGTGCTTGGAATAGGGACATCGGGATCCAGCGGCAGACGACGCTCTGGGCTCGAGCTCGGAGCTGGCGACGAGAAGTTGTAGTCGGATTCGCGCTCAAAAAGCTTGTTGCCATCAACTCTGCGCATGATAGACTCGCGAGAGATCCGAGGCGGGAGTTGATACTCTTCCAACCCTGAAATTTCACCTATGGTATCATCCTCTTCACCATGAGTGCTTGAGTTGTGTGGCTCAAACTCAGGAGTCTGGCTCTCAGCGCGGTCTCGGGCACCCGCACGTCTCATGCGTCGCTCTCTCTGCTGCTCTGCGGCTGTCTTACCACCGTCAGAGAGCATCATTAACTTGAGTCGCTCTTCCAAAGTCATCTTTCCATTACCGATACTCTGAATGTCCAATTTGCTGGAAGGAGACGCAGGAGGAGGAGAAGGCAGGTTCCTATGCGAGCCAAGCATCCGTTCCGCGGTCGTGGATAGTCCCTGCGATGATGCAGAGTTGCTTCGTGTGTGCTCACCCATGGGTGGCGGCAGCGGAGGCAAGGGCCGGTTGATGGAGTTGGACGAATCCGTGCGGCCGTGCTGAGGCCTGCTGGGTGTGGCCTGTCCAGGCGCACTTTCGGGCATCGGGCTGCCCTCAAAGGGGTCGTCGTTTTGACGATCATGTCTCCAGTCATCAGGTCCGACGACTGGCGTCTTGTCGGTATCCTCTAGGGACGCATCGAAGCTATCCTCGTGGTCTCCATGATGATCTCCATGTACGTAGCGATCATCATCCTCGTCGTCTTCTGTCGACTCATAGCTGCCTTCCCTAGAGTTGGTGCCAATGGACGACAAATCTGGTGTGGCCATCTCGTACTCGTTCACTTGCGGTGGAGCTGCGTCAAATGTCACGCTCTTCGCATGGCGATGAAGCGACTTGCCACTGGGGAGTTCGCGTTCGTCGCAAGATGTGTCAGCAGACCATGTGCCAGTCTCATGATCGTAGCTGCTCTTGAATCGGCTTGCCGCCAGCGAGGACTTGGTTGGTGAAGATTGCTCCTTGCTGGGTGTGTAGGGGGGATTCAGAACCGGGTTTGGGCCGGTGAGTGATGACTTTGAAGGACTGTAGAGGGGAATGTTTGTCTTGCTCTCGCTCCTCTGGTGTCCAGGACTCTTGTTCTCACGGTACCCGCTGATCCCCGTACCGGCGTATGCGTTGCCTTGGACTTTAGCAAGCGGTCGCTCGATCTGGGGGATCCGGGTAGGATCATATTCTTGTTTCTGTTCGAGAGCCAGGATGTTGCTGTTCTTGACACGTGAAGCCTTCTGCAGGCGCTCAATGGAAGAACGACGAGTTGGTGAGCCTGAACCTGCGCGGTCATACAAGTTGTTTTCATTGCGGTTCTGCCAGAAAAGGCGGGGGGAAGTGGTCCCGTCCAGCGGGGAGCTCTGGAATGGCGACGAGTCGGTATTCAGGGCCATTTTCTAAGTAAAGACATTAGTCTGGGTGATTGGCAGATGGCAGGAATGGTGGTGTCTCACCTTAGTGGCCTGGTTCCAACTTGGTGAGTTTCGCCTCTTTTCTGTGGGCGAGATCTCAGAGAGCGGGCGCGGTATAGCGCTCGCCATTTTGGTTGGCGAAGAGCTCTTGGAGAGGCGCAAAGGATGCACCTGTTCAAGGTTATCGACGTCAGCAGGCTGCACGGGCGAAGGCGAATTGCGCGCAACGGGAAGCCTCGAGGGACTCACCGGTTCAGAGGAAGCCATCGCGAATCAGTATTGGGCAAGCGGAGCCAAAGCGATGGTTGCTATGTGCTATGGCGGGAGCATGCCCTTGGGAATTTATACACAGGAAATTGCCACGCGAGTTGCACTCGCGATGTGGGCTAGACTGAGCAATGTGATGCCGAAGAAGTACTGTGGCTGGCGGCGCAGACCGACTTCAATGAATGTACGTGGTGATGTTGTTTTGGTTGTACGTATAATAAACCGGCGTCCCCCAATCAATATGTTGACAGTCGAATGAGAATAACACACCTCTCTCTCAGACACTTTCTCTCACTCGGGGTTGAGCAGGCAAGCAGAGAACGCTCAGCTATATTATGGAATGATATTGACTGATGTGCTCGGCCGGTGGTGATCCAAAAGTAGACAGACGGATGGAGGCGAGGAGAATTATGCTGATGTTCTGCCGAGTGCACAGTTTAAGGGCTGAGCGCATCGTTTGTGGCCCGTTGTCGAGGCCGCGTTCGTGATTGGCTGGCAGTCGTCGCTACGGTAAATAAACAGGGAGGGGAGCTTTCGAGGTGGGTGAACCGCGGTTGCCCCGCGCAACGGCTCCTCATCTCCTGAGGGGTGGTGGGAAGTGGGAAGTGACGACTAACGTTAGAAGCACAAGCACAGCGCTGCGCATGTTCCCGTTTTCTGCCCGCCTGTAAATTGGGGCTGTGGCGCCACTAAAACCTGCTGTGGCACTCGGCTCGCCAAACGGATTCGCCCCACGGGCTGCCCACTATTCTCGTAACAAAGCGTCAATGTGAGACAAGCATGCCCTGCTTGCCGTTGATTGTCATTATTATCTTTCTACTTCTCTCTGCCAGGGTAATCAACATTAATTCTTAATAAGGGGTAAAGATACTCGATATTGAGAGTTATAATACTTATCAAGCTGTCGAATATTCTGTTTATTTCTATATGTTTATTGGCTTCTACAAAGGTGGTAACCGCTTCTTGAGGAGAGTGCCTTACCGAACTAACGTTTAGTTCCCTAGCGGAGGAGTATCTTAGGCATTGGTGCCAAGGGTCTCTTGACAGTCAAACGATTTTCAGTACTCCTCTCTTTAGACAGCAATACCTCCAGAGCCTTAGTTTGTTGTTCTCTCGAGGGGATTCTGGCTTACAGTGATAAAAATGCTATGTCACTTTACCCAAAGGCCAATCAACAAATGTCGGCACATGTGGACCAAATGTCTTTTACACCCTGTAGATCCCTCACCTAGCTCCTAGCTTCAAGTTCTAGGCGAGCTAATCGAAGACCATGACGAAGTGAGCCAGATCCCATCTACCCTATGTCATTTCTTGCTATGTAGTCATTCCTTCAAAGTAAATTTGAGCTCCGTTTGTCGGCTTTCTGTGGGAAAATTCCATGAATAGCTATGCCTTCGAACAACTAGGTGAAGAGAACCAATTAGAACTATGGACACAGCCAATTGCGTGATACGAGTTATACAGTCCCCTCAATATCTCGAATAGCTAGGTTTGATCTTGAAAGCGGAATAGAATGATCCGGTAACCGGCTCAAAGGTATCAGGCACAGTGGTGGTCCTCAGCCCAGACGCAGTTCGGAATCCTCTACCAAACAGATTAACGGTCATACCGGCTTAGTTGGGGCTGTCAAAGACTGTGTGAGATGTGTATGAATTTTCTAAGATAGGCTGCAGAGTCGTTTGTAGCACTTGAACGAAGATATTGCGGCGCTTTTTTCTTGAAGACTGTATGCCATTCCGGCTTATTGCACATCTATCTTATGTCCTATATTCTACATAATGGTATGATTGTTTCCCAACCTTCACAGCCTTATAAGCTGTGCCCAAACGCCAACGCTATGCAACGCAAAAAGAACAAATGCTATTCATCCTAAGTGCCCCGAGAAAGAATCAACTTAGACTAGGAAAACCGCAGCTGCCAAAAACGCAACCAGAGCACCAGTCTTCATCCCCAGCCCGCGCTGCTGCGACCCGGCGTTCGTGCTGTCGCTGTCTGAGCTGCTCGAGCCACGCCCCGTGGCGGTGATCGCGTTCAGGTTGTCCGCCGTGTCGATGCTAGGGCCCTGGTCGTAGAAGTCGACCAGGACAAAGACCGGGTTGATGCCCCACTCGCCGGCACACTGCTCGGCCTCGGTGCCGAGGGCGCCGGTGGTGGAGGTACTGGGGCTGTTGGTGGTCGCGATGTCGCTGACGTCTGGGATGAGGATGCTAGCGCTCAGGGCCGAGTAGGCGAAGTGGTTCATGAGTGGGAGCATACCAGCGCTGATGGCGCTGCTTGCTGAGGAGGCGGATGAGGGCCGGTCGAGCGTACAATTGAAGCCGGACAGGCTCGTAACCTCATAAGCGGTCTCAAAGACGTACTCGAACTCGGACAGAAGGTAGGGGTATGTGCTATCGTAAGTGATGGACGCGATGAAAGTGACCAGGCGTGTGCCGGCATCAATCATCGTCTGCAGTGTGGGCCAGTCGCTTGTGGCGGTTGTCGAGGAGGGCGTATAGCCGTAGTCCGAAATGCCAGAAGATTCAAAGGCGGAACCGAAGTCTGAGGCGTCCACGTCGTCCGAGTTGACCAGCAGGATCGTCACCACCTCGTTCGGGTTCTCATCCATCCAGTACTTGACTTTTCCTAGCCATGCCTCAAGTGTCCCCGCATCCAACACATCACAACTCGTGTGACAGAGCCTCAAGGTTCCATTTTCATTATGGACTTGTGCTTGAAGTAACCTAATACCAGCTGACAGAGCGACCGTTGCGTTGAAGTACTGGTTTCCGGCAACTGAATTGTCTGTTGAGGCGTCCCTCAAGAAAGCCGAGTCGTGAGCTCCCATGTGGGTTATGTTGTTATAAGCTCTGCTGCAGAGGTCTGGCGAGTTGTTGCATGCCGTCCCAGAGCTTGAGGTTGATGTTGAACTCGCAGCGTGGACAACTGCTGTACCTGTTTGGGTTGTAGATGTTGAAGTCGAAGTCGTCGATATGGTTGAAGAGCTCTCTCCACCCCATTGGCCATTGTCCCCTCCATTGAATTGTCCTCCACCTCCTTGAGGCGCCGCAGCGACAGCGGCTGTTAGAGAGAGTGCCGCTGTTAATGTTGAGAGTAGTGAGGGCAACATGATGTGTGTGGTGATGTGAATTGAAGACTAAACCGCCTTGAATGACTGTCTCAACGCCCCTGATTATAAGAAAAACGAGCGACAGGAAATGTCTTTAAACAGGATTAGAACCCACAGGCTACACTGGATCCGGAGGCCGCATTGTATTTATAAAAGCGAATTTGGCAAAAAAATAATGGAAACCGAGGCGACGAGGCAGAGCAGAGCCTACAATCTCGGGATCCAGTTTAGGTCCATTCTATGGAGAGTCCCGCCACGCATTGTCCTGAAAACTGTGGACCTGAGGCGACTGCGCCCTCCAAGTAGCAACGCGTCAGCGAAACACCAACTGCGCTCAGCCCATCTACCAGCGCTTTGCGGGCTTCCTTTCAGGTCGGGACAGGGGAGCCAATCTGGAGACGGCTCTTGTTATAGGTGCGTCATCTTCATAGCGGGCACCTTAGTCAACTCGTTGATCATCATGCAACAATGTCTTGGTCTCAATGGAAGATTGTGACCAGCGCGGATTCCGGTTTGTCGGTGGAGGCGAGCAAGTTGCCTCGAAAATCTTAGGAGAGAATAACTGTCAACTACCTACCTAAAGGTACCTGGATGCCCGTATCTACCTAGGTGCTGCACAGGAGGTACATAGAGCAGCACATCAGCATGGAGGCTGGCTGACACTGCACTGTGCGACCATATGCTGAGAAGCGATGGCCCGAAAGGCTGCTTCCGGCTGCTTTGAGGGATTCAGGAAGCCACCCGGTAGTGCTGGCAAGCTGAATGCTTTGGGGCCTTGGTGCAGCCATCTTCTGCATGAATAAGTCGCTGTCAGTGGTGGAGGATGCGGACGTAAGCCTGACCGAATGGCTGAAGAACGCCACGCGGCCGTCAGGTTCGAGGACCGTCCACACACTGTGCCTTCGCCCTGCGGCACTAGGAAATTATAGGCTCAGAGCCGCACAATGCACTGTAGCGCTAAGGCATGGTCTGCGGCGAATGCTGTGCTATTTTTGGACTGAGCCTCGCTCCCCAGGTTGTCACACAAGTACACCCCGATTCATCTCTTACGGAGTCATTGGATGAGAGCCGCTGGGAATTACAGGGTCCTTCTGATGGAAAACAGACAAGAAGATCTCGGCAAGAAGTCCCGAGGCGAATGCCGGATGCAATTGGGCAACAGCGTCGACGATCTCATCAAATGCCGAACATTGTAGGAGGCAGAATTATTTTATAAGATATGTGAGCAGGTAGTCTTTCCATTCGTTTCAAACTTTCGAAGTGCTCGACTCCACCATTATTCAATTCTTTCGAGAAGTGCATATGAAATGGCATACGTCCTTGCCGTTACGACTCATTGCACATCTGCCATAGAGGCAAAGAGGATTACGAAAAGACCTCATACACACATGCAACGCACGTTGAAATACCTGCTGTAAACTGTTCAAATAACTGGGGAGGCTCTGATGTCTGAAAAATGTTAGTTCTAGCTGTGAACTGATTGATTAGGTAGGTATAGCGTAAGGATTGTAACAACACCTTGGGATTGAAATTCAACGGTAACAACACTTAACCTATGGCAATCAATGGTGATAAACTCTTGGTTTATAGTGCTTAACAGTCACCAGGCAGTGACACTACCTGAAATGGCTGTGCTAATCGAACCAGGGCTGTCAATAAGTGGTTAATCGGCGTTCACATTCCTACAGGTAACATTGCAAAGAGAATGAAGACCAAAAAGAATTCTATTCATTGCTTGTATGGCTCTCACTTCTAAAGCGTTCCAAAGAGAATTATATAGTACAGTCTAATGCTGTAGTGACCGATGGTGAAGCCAGCCCAGCCCAGCCCAGCCCTAAACTCCTCAAACACCCTCCTTTGCCAATGTCTTTATCAGCTTATATCTAATCCTCTTCCTCAACTACCTGCTTCGTCGCCAGGTAGTATCTGTTGGCACCCTTGTCATCGTGCTCGTGCTCAATGGCAACCTTGCTCAAGTGGGTCATAATGTTCTCCATGATGGTGTCTTGAGCAGAGCGCTTCTTGCGGCCGAGATCGTTGAGAGACTGCATGTTCGTCATGATGTGATACACGATAGCAATGACAATGCACACCGCAATGCTATAACACCAGATGACGACGATAGTGACGATATCAGTCCTTCCGTTCTTGGAGAGCTTGTCCGCAATCGAGGCCGGGCTGGAGGGTTCACCAGCACCGCCAGTGAACCAGCCAAAGACACAGAACAGCGTCGCGAGAGCATCAACACCGAAGATGGCGCCGATGAGCTGCCATGAGGGGAAGGTATTAAAGCCACGGGTGACAAAGATGAGCCAGTTCTCAGTGAGGGAGACTTGGAGGAAGAGCATTCCCTGGATGCTGCCATAGTTCTGAATGATGCCACCGTTGGGCAGCCACAAAGTACCACGCAGAACCCAGGTGCCGATGGCGAGGAGGAAGCCGAGTACGATGGAAATGATCCAGATCTTGGGAAGTTGCCATTCCACGGGACGGCGTTCGTAATGAGCGTTATCGTAGGCAACAGCGATGGTTGCGAGATCGGCGAATAGAGCAAGGAAAACAATGAGGTCGACTCGGATAGTCTCGTTGATGATGATCATTGAGGTAACGAGGTAAAGCTCGAGATGCAAGCAGAGAGCGATACGGTACTGAATGTACGCCTTCATACGTTGGAAAATTTGACGAGAGATCTTGATAGCAGAGACAATGGTGCTGAGACCCGGGGCGAGGAACACGATATCGGCAGCAGCCTGAGCAGCCTCAGTAGCACCTTCAACAGCAATACCACAGTCAGACTTCTTCAAACTAGGTGCGTCGTTCACTCCGTCTCCAGTCATAGCAGTGAGATGGCCGCGTTGCTGGAGCATCTCAACGACTTGGTACTTATGTTCCGGGAACACTTCCGCGAAACCATCGGCACGCTCGCAGAGATCGTGGATAGCACTACCAGCCATATCGCTATGTAGGAGCTTATCAGAGTTGTACACCTTTGTACCAAGCGCAAGCATACGGCAGGTCTCCTTGGCAATAGCAATGGCATCACCGGTAAGCATCTTAACCTGAAGGCCAAGAGCTTGAGCCTCAGCGATGGTCTGAGCAGTATCAGAACGAGGAGGATCGAACAGGGAGAGCATGCCAAGCAGTTGCCATGGGCCATTGTCCTCACGAACAGCCACAGCCAGAGAGCGGAATCCACGACGAGCGAACTCAGTAGCCTTCTCCTTGAAGAGCGCAGCTTGTTCCTCTGTGCAATTGCTGATTGCGAGAACTGCCTTAGGAGCACCCTTGCAGCACTCATAGCGGACGCCTTGGAAGGTGCAGACAGAGGTGATTCTCTTGGAAACTGGGTCAAACGGTATGAACTTCTCAGTCTTCCAACCTTCAGCAATCATCTCCTTTGCCTTAGGATAGCGCTTGAGCGTAAGGATAGTGATTTTATCGATAGGATCCAAAGCCTTGATGTTGTGGCTGGATGCAAGGGCAGCGACAGCCATCATCCAGTTGATGTCAACTCCCTCCATGACAAAAGGCTCGCGGACGGAGAGCTGGTTGGCAGTAAGGGTACCTGTCTTATCAGAGCACAGAATGTCGACGCCAGCAAGCGACTCGATAGCGGTCAACTTCTGGACAATAGCCTTCTCCTTTGCGAGGTAAGCAGCACCGACGGCCAGCGTTGTGGTAGTAACCACGGGTAAACCGACGGGAACGCCGATGATGAGGAGGATGAGAGCGTAGTGAAGCAGATTCACAGAACTGTCCTCAGGGGTAGCAATTTTGAGATGTCGGTAGAACCCACCAATCCAAGCTGCGAGCATGAAGAGGACGACGAGGACTAAAAGAGAAGTGCCAATAGAGTTCATGATAGCCTTGAAGTGGCCCTGGTCCTTAGCACCTTGAACAAGCGAAGCAGTCTTGCCCACGAACGAAGCCTGGGCACCATGGGTGACGATAGCATATGCCTTACCGCGCTTGCAGCCAGTAGTGTAATAAACGGTATCGGTCATATACTTGTCGACAGCCAGAGACTCTCCCGTGATAGCAGATTGATCAATAGCGACAATGGCATGTCCGATGTGTGGAACTCCGTCTTCACCGTCTTCCTCGAACTTCTCGTTCCTTGGAGACGTGACATCTTGAGCCAGAAGTTCAGCACGATACTGGTTGAAGCCTTCGAGGCCTGTCTCATACTCGCAGATCAGTCGAGCATCAGCAGCGACCACATGGCCTTCTTCGATGATGATAATGTCGCCGGGTACGAGCTCTCGGGCTTTGATCTCCTGTTCCGAGCCGTTGCGGATAACACGAGCTTTCATGGAGATATCACCTTTCAAGCTAGCCACGACGTCTGCAGCTTGCTTTTCCTGGTACCAACCGACAATGGCGTTGAGAAGCAGAATTGCGCAGATGACGCCGGCATCTACCCAATCGCGAAGGCCAAAAGCAAGAATAGCAGCGGCCTCCATGACGTAGAGGATGGGGCCTTGGAAGAAGCCAACGAACTTTAGGAACTGCGATATATGATGTTAGTCCAGGTTCTGGCAATACAGCAATAGGCAAAGGGGAGCTCGTACCATGTTCTCCTTCTCGGCCGACAGTTCATTCCATCCTGATCTCTTACGTCTTCTTTCCACCTCCATGGCATCCAGACCATCTCTGATGTCTGTGTTGAGCCAATCCGTGGGAGTTACGAAGTCGCTCAGGCTCGCTTTCACAGCCTTGCCAGCTCCGAACTTCCACCACGGGCCTTTCTTCTGCTCTACAAACTCCTCCTCCCCCTCCGTTTCCGCATTGGCATCCCGGTAGGTGTCGATATACCGTGTGAGCCTATTAATTATCCGGTTAGATACGGAGCTAGCTAATTACGGGTGACAGGAAGCACGTACGCTCGGTATTCGTCTAGGTATGGGTTGTCGCCACCGGGAGGCTTTGGGTCTGCAATTGGAGCGTCCGTTCTCTGGGTTTCACTTAAGAAGTTGCCAGATTCCAGATCATGTTCAGGCTCCTCTGTATTAAGAGGCATGGGAGCCTGGAACGATCGGTGCTTGCCGAACGCCATGACTTTTTTGAAGTTGGGAGCCATTTTGGCCACTGCTACAGACCAGCTGTAATAGAAGAAAGAAAAGATGCGGAAAAGGAAGAGGGAGGGCGGAAAGGAGAAGAAGGAGAGGAGAGGAGGTGAGAGGGCGAAGAGGATGGCAGAACAAGCTCGAGAGATGAACTCGGACTTGTGAAGCTACTTATACTACATTATTGTGGGAGGTTTTTTCGCGCGCGAGGCGACGAGACTATCGAACTCCTCCATAGCAAGCCCCGGGCAGCCAAGAAAGCTCCTCAAACAACTCGAAAGACAAGGTTTACACGGATCACGACAAGGTATGCCCGTCCTTATCACGCCCGAGTGCAACGAGCCAGGGAGTTAGCCTGTGACTTAGCAAACAACCCACTTCGCGTGAGAAGGTCTGAGCAGGATCGCCGTATAAACGATGAATCCTCAAGGTGGTATGCTAGCAGAAGTCGCCGTGTAAGTGCTCGTGCGACCGGTTGTAAGAAGCTCTGAGCGCAATTTGCAGTGGAGCTTGATTTGCCGGGGGATCTGAAGCTTCGAGCTAATCAGATGAACGGACCTATCACGGAGCGTCAAATGGTAGTGACGATGGCAGGGTCTCTCTGACAGCAAGGGGCCGATCTGTTTCAATGGGAGACCTTTATCCTGGCGGTTTGATAACCAGGGAATTCGGGGAGAACCGCAAATAGACTAGAGGTGTGAAAATGCCTCAGCAATGTCCATGGCAAACTTGAGGAGAGACCCGGAGCCACGCGTCTGAGAGCTTCTGGCAGCCGAAGAGGCAACGATCCGGACATGGGACCCAGACCCGGTGCTACATAGCCCAGGGGAGCTGGTCGAGTTTCAGGGTTGAGGTTGAAACCGAGCACGTGATCTCCCTTAGCTACAACAGTACCTAGGTAGTAATGCTCCACTCCATTGAGAGTGGCAGCCTCCACAGTCGACTCCAGGTCTTGAGCTGTCTATCTCACCGTCCCACACAGCTCTGAAGAGCCGCCAAGCATCTGCAACCAAAGAAATGTTTCCGCCAAGCTGACGACTCAGTCACCAGAAACGGCTGTACTATATGTAGAGCGCTGCTGAGGCGGTACTGAGATTGCCAAGGACATCGATCGACAAGGAAATGGTAGAAATACGGTAAAAGTATGTGAAGTTCAAACGTCCTGGCGCCTACCACGACGTTGCAGGACATTTTTGGTATCATGAATAGGACTTCAGCTGAAAGTACACTTCTGGTATAATGGGTAAGTAACGTCAGAGGGTCAGGTAGTCAACACCAAGCAAGCGGTCTATACTCCTCCCCCAGGGTAGTACACGTTTATTACCCTGGCGGAGGAGTACACAGTACTCAATGGGCGGCACTACCTAGGCATATTTGATGGAGTTATCCAAACTTTGACCAGTAACCTCAAGTAGGGTGAAGAGCCGGGCATTGTGGGCACTTCACCTGGGAATAATGCACTTTCGTCTGCGAGGCCCCCTGGCACAGGAAAGACCCCCAGTTGCGGGATATTAGACGCAGCGCAGATGAAGTCGCAAGGGAGCCCAGGTCGGAAGAAGCTTCCAGTCCTTAATGCGCAGTCAATCAAGCTCAACTACCTTGTCTCTTCGCCAAAAAGGCGCCCGAGATATGCGGCAAGTACGGCAACGCCAGCCCGGCTTTTCCCAGTGCCCTTGTTCTAACTTCTTGACGAGCCTCGCGGAAAGTGGCGACGGGGTTGACAGCCGAAGGGTGAACGCTCTGACCAGGAGAGTCTCAACTTATAGCCTGGGCACCCTTAGTGCAGCGGTAGAGCGAGATTGCGAAAAAGATTAGGATGGGTAGAACGTAACGGTGAAGCCGCCTTGCCTCTCTTGGGCAGGGTGGGCGAGAAGATAGAGATGTGATAGTTGAAACAGACGTTGGTGAAACGGGACAGGGGGTTCACCGGGAAGGGCTTTGAACCTCGACAATTCTATTTTTCTTCTCGAAGGCCAGAGGAAGCTAAGCTATGAACAGCTGAAGTCTTTATTTAACTGATCGTCTTCAACTATTGCCATCTCAATGGCGGGCGCAGGTCTTGGCTACGCAGCAAGTTGTTATGAATCGGTGGTAAATGGAACAGTCTGAGGCGGATATCGAGGCGGTTGCAAGTCACAGCCGTTTTCAGCCTCTATCAGTTTCACCTTGTTCGCTTCAGTTGGCTAGGGGACGCCGAAGGTGGGTCTTGTATCTCCAACCCCAAACGCTGCCCCTGGCAGGGGGCTTGTGCGTGCGTCTTAATCGAGGGAAGCTAGCGCTGTGCCGCACAATAAGCCGGCAGTTGCCCTGCGTTGACGTCGTCTGCTTGGGAAAGGCTTCGTGATTTTGGGCAACCTGCATCTGTGCCGCGTCCAAGTCTTGAAGGCTAAGTGGCTCATGGTAGTTGATACTAAAGAAGCCTTGAAGTCGGCAGAAACTCAGCTCAAGAAAGGGAGCTTCCGTACTGGAAGGTCCACGGAGTATTTTTTATGGCATAGTAAGAGAGAAAAGACAAATGATATCGTCGCTGCCATTTCACGGTCTAAAATTATTCTATCACTTTACATGGAACGTGAAAAGATGGATCTGAAAAGAGTCTCCAAAAGCACTTCACTTGCACCATCACAGTGGTGTGCTGTTAGAATACTCTGAACCCATGAGGTAAGTGGTAACTAGTAGAGGACAATTATTCTGGTTGAGCTTTTTGTTTCAACAAGCATCAAATATCAAATGATACTCAACAGGATGTAAGACTTATCGCAGCATAAATGCAGATGTGCGAATGAGGGGGAATTGCTTTCACTACTTTCATCCCTAAGATCAATTCGTTCTGACACTTTCGCACCTGGATGGTCCGTGCCCCAAAACTACAACTCCTCCACTCCTCCACTCCCGATAAGCACGATAAGGAAACTTTTTTTGGCCTTCCACCCAAAACTTCCAACGCACTTGGCCGACACTGCCCATCAACTTGCAACTTTCTGGTACTGTTACCAATTTGCGACAACACAGGTGACATACCAAGATGAAGCGCAAACTCGACGAAAACGACGAGCCTGCCATCGTTCCTGAGGCCAATCAATCCCAGGAACCACCTGCCGATGCAGAGGCAGAAACGACCTTTGCAGACCTTGGCCTTGATGCTCGCCTCGTTCAGGCCATTGCAAAGCAGGCATTCCAGAAACCTACATTAGTCCAACGCAAGGCCATACCTTTGGCGATAGATGGGAAGGATGTGTTGGCCAAAGCCAAGACTGGATCCGGCAAGACGGCCGCTTATGTACTACCAGTGCTTCAATCCGTATTGAAGCGGAAACAGGTACACTTCTCCTCCGCAGACATGCACTGACCGTCGAGATCTCAATTTACTAACATGGAGACAGACCGACTCTACACCATCCACTACCGCGTTGATCCTCGTCCCGACTCGCGAGCTAGCCGACCAGGTATTCAAGGCCATTGAACTGTTCTCCGCCTTCTGCGCAAAAGACGTCCAGGCGGTCAAGCTGTCCGACAAACTCTCAGACGCCGTGCAGCGATCCCTCCTCTCGGCCTTCCCCGACATTGTCATCTCGACCCCCGCAAGGGCATGGCAAAACATCGACTCCGGCGCACTGGTCGTGGACAAGCTGACCCACCTAGTCCTGGACGAGGCCGACCTCGTGCTGTCGTATGGCTACGACGAAGACCTGCAAAACGTGGCGCGGATTCTCCCGAAAGGCGTGCAGAAGATCTTGATGAGCGCCACACTAACAGCCGAGGTCGACGACTTGAAGGGGCTCTTCTGCCGGGACCCAATGCTCCTCGACCTGGAGGAAAAGGATGCAGAAGGAGAGGGAGTCAGCCAATATGTGGTCAAGTATGCGTTATCCGACGACCTGCTAGCCTGAGGACGCCGATGCTAACCGATTGATAGGTGCGCAGAAGATGAGAAGTTTCTACTAGCCTACGTTATTTTCAAGCTTCAGTTGATCAAGGGCAAGTGCATCATATTTGTTTCGGACATTGACCGATGCTATCGACTCAAGCTCTTCTTTGAGCAGTTCGGCATCCGAAGCTGTATCCTTAATTCAGAATTGCCCGTCAACTCGAGGATACACGTCGTCGAGGAGTTTAACAGAAACGTGTACGACATCATTATCGCCTCGGATGAGCATGAGGTGCTTGGTGACGAGGACCAGGTATCGGAGGAGAAAGAAGGCGTGAGCGAGGCTGACGGTGCCGCCAAGAAGTCAGGGAAGAAGGATAAGGAGGATCGGCAGCAGAAGAAGCGGAGGAAAACATCCAAGAACAATGACTACGGTGTCTCACGAGGCATCGACTTCAAGAATGTGGCTTGTGTTGTCAATTTCGACCTTCCCACATCCTCCAAATCATACACTCACAGAATTGGCCGGACAGCGAGAGGAGGTCAGACAGGTATGGCGCTGTCATTTGTCGTTCCCAAGGAACACTATCGGAAACATATGCCCACCACGGTTGAAACGGCAGAAAATGACGAGAAGATCCTAGCCAGGATCATCAAACAACAAACCAAAAAGGGGAAGGAGGTCAAGCCGTACGACTTCGATATGAAGCAAGTTGACGCATTCCGTTACAGGATGAACGATGCTCTTCGAGCGGTTACCAAAGTAGCAATCAGAGAAGCACGGACTAGAGAGTTGAGGCAGGAGCTTTTGAAGAGCGAGAAGCTCAAGCGTCACTTTGAAGAGAACCCGGCAATGTTGCATCACCTCCGTCACGATGGCGAGCTCCGGACAGCTCGTAGTCAGGCGCATCTGAAACATGTGCCAGACTACCTGCTTCCTAAGGAAGGGAAGAAGGCTCTTACTGCGGACGAGATTGGATTCGTTCCTTTGAGGAAGCTGGACAAGAAGGACCGCAACAAGTCGAAGTACTTCAAGAAGGGGAAGGGGACCAAGGCGGGTGGAAGAAAATCAGATCCGCTCCGGACCTTCAAGGCAAGGCGGAAGACGAAGTAATTGAGATACTAAGATACCAATGCAAGCTTTCTATTTCAGACTGAGGAGCATATATGGATTCGCCACGGATTCGCAGGCCATAAGCAAAAGTGAAAAGCGCTCAATGATATCATAATCACATTAATTCAATGGTATATAATCTAAACAGGGTAATATGAACCCTCTTTCTGCCAATGCGTTTTTACAATATGAGATATGCCCATCCAGTTCGCTCATCGATATAATACATTCCACAGCCAGAACAGGAGGACTATGACGCCGACTCGGACTCGCGCATTCTGAAGCGTGAGGCGACCTCCAAGCAGACCGGTCCGACGAGCAAGACCAACACTGCCAGACTCGACATCGAGCCTGCGTCGGCGGCCCGTCAGATCAGGCTCTTCCTCGCCGACAATCCACGCGCAGATGATCTGAGTGGTATCATGCACGTGCGAGCTGACAAATAACAAGACAATCACTAAAAGGACCGTCTCCAACATCCATCCCGCAGATGAGATGAAACCCGCATTCCGCCTCCACAGGCCGGTTCTCAGAAGCCCAGTCCCGTCTCCAGATAAGAATATGTGCTTCTGAAGCAGGTAGACCTCCAGAGCTGCCTTGGACAATGTAGCAGGAATTGCCAAGTAGTGTTTTCTCAAGGAGCTGTGGCAATTCCTCAGGATAGCAAACGGGATGATCTGCAATAGTGAGGTGAAAGCATTGAAGCTTTCGAACCGGTCTCGCTGTTCAACGCGGCGGACAACTTCGGAGACTATCCCAATGGACAGGAGGGACAAGGCTATGATGATGAGTTGTAGAGGGGCGGTAAACTGATTAGGACTGAGAATTAGAGACATGGCTCTATCAACATTGCCAAGAAATCCTGTTGCTCGCTTCGTAGTGGGTTGTGTATTATTTCTGAGGGTGGAGAATCGATGTGATAATCCAGCGGCGAGAATACCAAAGTAGGGTATGAAACGGTGCGTAGAGAACTGTGTGCGAATCTCGCGAACGTCCCACTTCGTCGCCCAAAATGTGTTAAGTATGCGGCCAGTGACCTCCAGCGGCCCCTGGGCCTGCACTAGAACTGTGATGATGAGAGCTGAAGCCACTACCTTAACGAAAAGATGCGCCGGGCTATGATTGAATCGCTTGAAGGTTCGTAAAACGACATACGTAACGATAAACCAGAAGCTGATAAGGCGAGGGAAGCTGTACACGGGCCAGTTGACGTTCAATGCATATCCGAGGACCCAGCTAAGAAGGTTCACACGCAGAAGCACGATAGTGAAGCGTCTAAGTGAGAAGTCGTCGGTCTTCAGAAAATATGACGCATGGCCGAAAGTCGACAGGAAGATGTAAGCGGATGAAGCTAGCGTGAACAGCTTGTATGGCCACAGGCTGTTATCAGTGTACTGGAAGTTGAGTAGGAGAACGAACACCATCATCCATCCTTTCCACTCGTTCGACACATCGCGGGACATAAACCCAGGGTCATCGGAATCGAGAGCACGCCCCTTCTCAGACGTAGAAGGAAACAGTTGAGACGCGCTCTGGCGGTAGGACACCCCACTAATAACACCCAAAACAATGCATAATACGACGAGAGTAACCCTGTCGCGATACTTCTCTGCTTTCGAGAGAAGCTGTGTCTTGTCAGCAAGGAAACAGATGACTGCAATCCCTACTAACACCGTCAGTGCATTGAGAATGTCCCCTGATGGGAGATATCTCGCAATCGAGCGGTTGTTGGGCCGCTGCGCCCAGTGGAAGAATGGAATGATGAGTGCAGCAACGAGCAGCATGCCAATCTGCCCTCCAACTGCTGAAGTGTATGGGACACAGCATGTCCGCTCGCCTTCAAAGCCGTGCTTCACTAATCCGCTATTGCAGCGTGCATTCAGCGCCATATCGATTCTTCGGTCGGTCACGCCGCCAAAGACGTGGAAGCCATCTTCCCGAATGCCATTAGGGGCTTGATTGGTCATCTCATTGTACGCCCACAGAACATGAGTTCTCTCAGTGGCGGGAAGGTAATTGAGATAGTGGTTCATGCGGTCGATCCGAGATGGAGTTATCGTCTTCCTCCTCTCCGGGTACAGCTTGTCGTAAGCTGGGATCTGGACAGGGGCAAGGAGTATCTGGTTCCCTAGCTCCTCATATTTTCCGGTCAAGCTCGCCGTCGGAGCTAGGGGCTTCCTGAGGAATGGCCGCACGCTGTCTACTGCCTTCCTGAACAAGGCGAAATAGTCGTCCCCGCCATGGCGAGCAGCGAATAGTCCCGGTGCGCCAAGTATCACCAATGCCGCAGATTCATCCTGCTTACTCTCATTATCCCCTGTGGATGACTTGTGACGACGGAATGTCTTGAGCTCCTCGCGAAGGCCGGTCGAGTTAAGCCAAGGATCCCATATGAACTCTAGATGCACACCCTCAACGTCAAACTTCAAGTCTCGTTGTGGATTTTCGGATACGAAGGTTTCCAGGAGCTCCCTCTCGGCAGTGAAGTGATCTAAGCGAGTCACGGCGGACCAGAAGATCTCCCGGGTGGTGGAGTCGCCGATGAAGACGACGCGGCGGTTCCGGAGGCAGTCCTTGAACTGGTCACGCGTATACTCGTGCATCCTACAATCGCTGGGCTCCCATCTGGCGAATTGGCGCTGGCCATCCCCAAAGGCACCTTCCGGCGGCCAGCTGCCTCCATTGAAGAGCGACTTGCATCTGTACGGATCGGTGCGACCTACAACTGATTAGTCGATATGCTACGGTACTGCGATTGCCAGGGCGGCTCGTACCGGACGTCACGCTGTGGAGGAGAATGGCGATCAGCAACAGGCAGGCTGCTGCTCGTGTTGCTGTCTCGACGAGGCGGGTTACGGAGCCGGACCCTGATCCTAACCCTGACCCTGAGGCGGCTGGTCTGCGCGACAGCCACGCCGGAGAGGACATGACTCGGAGGGGGCTTGTGGGCGGGCAGGCAGGCAGGCAAGCACGCGGGCGGGAAGATCGGGTGGCTCAACCTGAGACTGAGGCAATTCGCAACATCTCAATCAGGCCCACAAAAGGAAAGACAGGCGACCAGGACGCGATGATAAGAACAACGACGACGCTGGAAGTGACCGCAAAGATGGAGAAGGAGTCACGACTTGATGGAAGAAGAGAAGGAGAAGAACGCCAGAATGGGAAATTGAACACGCGACATCATTTCCACCTCTCGTCCGGGCTGGAGGTGCATGGGTATAAGGTAGGTCAGTAGCTGGGCTGGGCTGGGCTGGGCAGGCTGATCAGGTAAATGTAGCGAGGTAAGGTAGGAGGGCCCCCGGCGGCGTGCGGTGAGATACTGCGTAAGTGATTGACTGCAGCGGACGGCCAGCAGGACCGACAGGCTCAGAATCCAATTGCTTGGCATCATCCATCGATCAGGTACATTACTCCGCGCATATTACCGTAGATAGAGGTAAGGTAGGTATGTGTAGTGTAGTGTGAGGGATCCTCAATATTAGCGAGCTTCCCCATGTAGGACGCCAAGACCAAGCCATGCCTCTTCTCATCAGCGACGGACCTAGGGACCCAACCCAAGCGCGGGTTGGTGTGCAATGGTTCGTTGCGGCAAGCTGCCTCGACGAAGAAGGATGCAATGGCCATACCTACAGTACCTTAGCTCCCCATCTCTAGCCAACTGGACCTACCTGGACGCGCAATGCTGCTGGATACGCTGTTTACCACTGAGCAGAGCAGTAAGGCACCAGGTATGCACGTTGTTCGATGGACGTTGGGGAGCCTCCAGAGACCGAGACCGAGAGAGACACATTCCCCAGAGGTCGGTAACGTTGAACCAGACTTGCCGGTCCATGCTTTCCGTTGCCAAGGATCTCTGTCTCACAGGCCGCGGGTGCCTCCAGGGTCCTCCCGCCAATCACACCCACCCTTTTGCCCCTGACAACGGCAGGACGGGGCTCGCAGTGTGCCGTTCTATCCAGGGCCCTCTCTATAGGTACCGTATAGCGTACCCTAGCAAAGGACATTATCCAGACCACCCTCTCTGGCTGGCGGCCGGCCGACGGTTGATACGGCGAGTCAGGTGAAGAGCCCCTATAACGTGCCCTATAACCTCACTGCGAGGCCCTGAATGCTGCTCCTAGCGTTCTCCAGGTACAGTACTTTCTCTCGACTCAGACCGTACTTGCCAAGTTGTCTATGAATAACGTTAATTTTTACCTTAAATGCCCCGTCCACTTCTTCAACGAAAATCGCTTCCCAATTCCTAGGTGTGAACATGGCGCTTGCTTGCTACAGATATATGGTGGGGCACTCCGGCAATTACCGCCAAAAAAAACAACCAAAAAAAACCGGCAGAACCTAACGCTTCTCTCTATCAGATCCCGCTAAATTTTTCTTTTCGTCTTCCCGCCTTTGAGCCGCTTGACATCATGCCTCATCAACATGCCTGCCGCGGGGTGTTGACCAGAAAGCCAACCGTCTCCGAGGCTTCCTGGACTTCGAACATCACGAGGCTGCTCAAAACACTGGCAAGGTACTTTTATGGTAAATTTATATTCTCAGCCTCTCTGAGACTTCACTCGATTCCTTGAAGAACTTGTAGGAGAAAGGTATGCCGCAACTCAAGCGTCTTGTGGTCAGGACTCTTCGCGGATATTGCTTAACGTCAATATTGTCTTCTGCCGGACTCGGCCAGTGGCGTTCTCTCCCGCTGGTCTTGAGTAGGATTCACCCTCAATGAGTGGTTGTATTAGACAAGAGTATGCTTCACAACGTTCTTTGAGTACGGGACCTCTTCTGCCTCTATGGAGAATTTCGTAATTAATCTGTTGTGACATCCCATCGCCTGCCGACGAGTATGCTGAATAGCTAACGTTATGGTGGTTTACTAAAGCCCACTTTGTTCTACCATGGCAGAGCGCATCCTGATGATCTCCATCATATCTTAATACTGTTCCCGCTGGGCTTCACACTGTCCCAAGTATTCATTCATTACCTTCCAGGCGTATACCACACCCCAGACACCCACATCATTCTAATCCCTTATCTCCATTTCTCTCTCTGTATCAGTCTAGCATTTCTGTTGCAAGTGTAGCGCGATAGCATCGATCGAGTGTTGCGTTTACTTGAGTAGTTTATGCGATAGGAGAGACTGTAGTGATCTCTTGTCCTCGTCGGTGCGGCGATGAGCTTGCTTGGTCTGGATGTGAAGAACATCCACCGTGTCCAACACCTTCCCCAGATCACAGAGCTCGTCCAACCCGAGGGCGTCATACAAGCGAACCTGACGCATGCCCTGGAAATGCAGGCGCCTAGAAAGAAAGGAGTCAGCAAGTTCCTACCGTCAACAGCCACTCCAATAAAACATAGTAATAGGCAAGCTTGCAGGACTTGCTTACATCACAGTCTCCCTCTTGTTCACCCAGTTGGTAGTGACCCTGGAGATGACAATATGCAAGTCCTTCAGCGAAGGGCAGTTACCGAGCTTCTTGAAAGCTTCGTGGGATATCGGACCGCACCAGTGGACCTTGATGCTTCGGACCTGTTCTGCAAGCATGGCGTTCTCTGCCAAGCGGCGGTTCATCTCACAAGAGCAGCTGAAGTAGAAAGTGTATCTGCACGACTTGTCACTGACCTGCCGTACAAGAGGCATTGCGGGAGAGTCTTTACTCACCTACTGTAGACTATGGGGAGCATCTCGTCCTTCACATTCTTGCAGGCCAGCGCAAGGTTGACGTTCACGCGAGAGCGATGCTCCGTGTGCCAAGACGGATTGTGGGAGTTGCACGCGCAATCTTGTACCTTGTTCAAGTGGATGAGAGTGCCGGAGTTGTGCCATCTGAATACATTGAGGTACCAACAGTAAATATCGTGTCGGATCAAGGTCGGAAGCTTCATGAAATCAAACCCCTTGACATCGACATCTTTATCTGCAAACAAAGCTGGTAAGCATCACGCTTCAAGGTTACCATCTTTGGGCTTCATACCTGCGGCAGCGAGGATTTCGGTACAATTCTTGATCAAGGCAAGGCAGTCCTTGATCTCGGCGGGTTCTTTCTCCATGATAGACGCCAGTTTGGCGATGGTTTCAGTGACGGCTTTTCGCATGTTTGGCGACATTCGCACGACACGACCCAGCTGCTGGTCGTCGATAGCTCCGGTGTGGTGGTCATCGAGCGATCTGAGAAGGGACTGCATGTTGCGCGAGATGCCATACCGCGCCGGTAGGTTCTTCATCTTCGCGACGTAAAAGGCTGTCGCAGACATCGTGGCACACTCGACTCGGTATCTTTCAAGTTGAGGAATAAGTACAAGATTTTGGTACGGCTCGTCGGAGAATATCGTAGGAGGTAAGTGGGCAGTCGTGGTCAGTCGTGGCTACTGACTTTGGCGGTTTGCGACGCTGAGGGGTGGAGAAGAGAAGGAGAAGGCAAGGAAAAGGAAAGTGGAAGGTAGTGGTTGGGGAAAGGGAAGGGACGATGGAAGAGAAGGCGGAAGGCGTTTACGACTTCTGAAAAAGGGCAGGTGCTATTTCCCCAGAGAAACTGCGCATAGTCGAGGTATCCTGAAGGCACCGGTTTTTCGTCGGTGAAATGGTCGATATGCCGCTTCTCGATACAATTGTTGAGTAGTTGTAAATCCCAAGGTCGTCGAGTTGCTCCAAGCCCCAAGCTCCAAGCTCCAGTAATCGGTTATGGAGTCAAAACCAGGACTCTCAGTGAATATGTTTTACCAGCTCTCCCGCAGCTAACAAAACGGGCTACTCAAGTCATCATAGACCGTATTTAACGTAATGACCTTGTGGTAGCAAGCTGGCATTGGTAACTAGCTGTCGTCTGATCAGCATCCCTAGCTCATCAGAGTGATTTGCTTAGAACGTCTATCTCTGAACAGCTGCGTCTGTGACATGACTACTATCCAAGGCGCGTGTATTGAAACCGCATTCGACTCTAATTCCAAAGTGAAGTGCTACTCACGTCAGTCAATCATTCACTGGGCTGCGTTAACGCTGCGTGGAGTGAAGAAAGACGCCGAGGACGGTGTCTTTCTTCGCCCTGCTACAAGACTCACTGGGCCACCTGGCGCCTGACCCGTAGACAGAGCTCAACTTAAGGCGCTCATTATGAAGGAGACAGGTGTCAGTTCAAGATATCACAGTCAAGCCACCTATGAAGACAGCTTCTTACTGGCAAAAGACAAGGACGATGGAAATCGCCGCCCTTTATTAGGTGAAACAGAAGGGATCCTGTCTACGATGACGTGAGGTAGTAAAAGCCGTAATGTCCTTCCACAATGTCATATACTCGTACAAACACCGAACTCCTGTCGGTATATAAAGCCCTTTGTACAAACCCAAGCCATCCCAAGCCCCTCCATCCTCCTTGCGGTCTCGCTTTATCTCGGAGCCTGCCCCTCGACAAACTCCAACGCATCATCTGCAGAATAACATCCGATACCGCTGGACTTGTTGCGGAACGTGACGCCGTAGCACTTGTCGGCCACCATGACGATCTCGGGTCGGAAGGTGGTGCAGATGAACTGGGTGCCCTTCTCTGTTGAGATGGACTGCATCAAGCTCGCCACAGCAGTACGATACTGGGCATCAAGATTGGCATCGACTTCGTCGAAGATGACCATGGGACTCGTCTCCTCCATCTGGATGGCGAAGATGAGGCACAGAGCGCACAGACCTGGACAAGGAGTTAGTTCAAGCACAAGAGAACAACTACACGGGGTGGTGGAACTTACTCTTCTGTCCACCGCTAAGTTGCTGGACCTTCTGCTGCTCGTCCATCACCTTGGAGTTGAAAGAGACGCTGATGCCTACGCCGACATAGTTGTCGACGCTATTCTTTGCGGCCTCCTCATCAGAGTCCTCGGGCTCCTGTCGATGGCGATCGGCCTTGCGTTGGATGACGAGCCGACCATGGCCAGCTGGGACAAGGCGCTCAAAAATCTCCGCGAAACTCTTCGAGACGCCCTTGAACGTCCGCTCGATGGCCACATCTCTCGTCTCGTCAAGATGAGCAATGAGTTCTTCGATGGAGGCTTGGGAAGCATCAAGCTCCTCTCTTCGCTGGAGCAGTTGCTCCTGCTGTGTGGTGAAGCTATTGTACTGCTCGAAGGCCTTCTTGTTGACATGCCTGTACTTCTTCAGTGCTTCGTTGACTTTCTTGAGTCTCGCAGTGATCTGATGATAACATTAGTCCATGTCTCTTATTGAAGCATCTCCGTTCAAAACTTACGTCTTTGGTCTTCATCTTCTGGTATTTACGGAACGCCTCTTCTGGGAGTACACCCAGGTCTCTGATGTTCTTGGCACATTCTTCGATCTGACCGACGAGAAGTGCTTTCCTCTGAAGGCTCCTCTCCATCTTCTTCTGCTGTCGCTCGATCTGTCGCGCGAATTCTTGCTGCTCCTGCTCTTTGGTGGCCTTGTTTGCATCCAACTGGGTGATCTGTGACCCGACTTGATCCATCTGCGTCTCGAGGAGCTCCAGTTTCTTCACGATAGCGGCAGCTGATTTCTGGATCTTCTTAAGCTCCTTCTGCGCGTCGCTGTAGCTTCCCGTCCCAGTTGTCGAGGACAAGTTCTCGAAAGCAAGGCTGCTAAGCTGATCCTCCTTGAGACGGAGATTTTGCTGCAAGTCAACCTCCAGCACTCTCCGGCGTGTCTCCACTTCTCTGCGAGCCTGACTGGCATCATTCCATTGTTTCTGGAGATCTTTGACTTGGTTGCTAAATTGCTCGAGCTGCCGTTCCTCTTGGTTCGTGAGAGCTTTCTTAAAGTCTGACATAAGTTCGGCTTCGTAAGTATCAATGCTCTCGCCAAAGTCATTGATGTTTTTGTCTACAGCATCGCGACGTCTCGTGGCCGCCTCGAGGTGATCACGGGAACGTTGTAGTTGATCAAGCTTGTTTCTTAGCTCGTTCCTGAAAGGCTCACGGCCTTCTGCATCTCGGCGCTTCACTTGGTTGAGTTTCTCAACCTCGCCCATGGCGCGAGTAACCTCTTGTCCCTTCACGTCAATCTGCTTTCTGATGCTCTCCAATTGAGCTTGCAACTTCTCATGCTCATCCCGCCACTTATTGACGGCTCGGACCGCTTCCAAACGCGATTTGCGAGGATCAACAAAACCACCCGTCATTGCACCTCTCTTGTTGGTTGTATCACCATCAGGGGTGATGGCATCCAGACCATGACTTCTGGCATACTGGCCAGCAGCCGTCAGGTTGGGACAGACAATGGTTTTGCCAAAGACTTGCTGGAAGGCAGCATCGTACTCTACATTGTATTTGATTCTGCTGATCAGCGGGACAACATCACTAGCGTGAGGCATGTTGACACGTCTGGGTCGCAATTGAGCAAGAGGCATGAAAGTGATACGGCCGCCCTGTGATTTGTATAGCTCTGCTGCAAGCATACTTGCAGTAGCTTCGTTGTCGACAATGTAGTGGAACAAGCTGGCGCCCGCAGTCTGTTCAGCAGCAACACGGTATGGTTCCTCAACATCCATCAATTCTGCCAAGGTACCGTATGCTCCCGGGATATTTCTCGCAGCCTTCAGTCTCCGTATTGTCGCCAAACCCCGGGCAGTGGCACCGTCCATAGTGTGAGAAAGCTCGCGTTCTGCGTGTTCCCGCTCTTGGCGAGCACTAGCGATAATCGAATCCAGCTTGTGATCCTCACGTCGAAGCATCTTTAATTCTTCCTGCAGGGCTTCCCGCTGATCCTCTGCCTGGGTGAGTTTCTCAGTCAGATCTGCGCTACCATTGACCCAGCCCTCCTGTGTTGCTCGCATCTCTGCAATGTCTTTCTCGAGCTTCGAGATAGAGTCAGTCACGGCCTTGACCTCTTCCGAGGCATCGACAAGGTTCGCCTTCTGGGTGCCAATGCTTTCGTTGAGATCTTTAATCTCTTTTCGAAGCCATGCATCGCGCTCGGCCTTGCTCTTGAACTGAGAGCTGCGAGTCTGTTTGGTGAATAAACGCGTTCGGCCAGCCTCAGCAGCATCTAGTTCTCGCTTGGCCTGGGCCTCGCGTTCCTTTCGCTTGTTGTATTCCGGAATGAGAGAGCTCAGCTCGGCCTCCTTTGCCTGAATCTCTTTCCTGACAGCTTCAAGCTCTGCGTCATTGGCTCGCTTGGCTTTATCCCTGGTAGATTGGCTGTCCGCAAGATCCTTGAGTTTGAGCTCAGCTTTTGCGCGAGCTTTGGCAGTATCGCGGCGATCCTCCTCGAGCTGCTGTCGGTCAATCTTGAGTAGGTCCATTTGTTGCTGTAGACGACTGAGTTCAGACGACATTTGGGAGATGGCTTTCTCGCCTGCTATGAACGCTCGCTGATTTTCGCTCGTGTTTTCAAGACCGCCTTGCCTGAGTTCTTCGATTTCTTCTAGGGACTCCTGGAAGGTGGCCTGCTCCTGCGCGTAGTAGGCATATTCCAAGCACCGTCGCTCTCGGTCTTTGTCTTGGAAGTCGCGCAGCTCTTCTTTCTCCTCTTCTAGCTCACTAAGCCGGTCCTTAATATATTCCAGGAGCTCGTCGATTTTCTCTCGTTTGTTGTTTGTCTCTTGCATGATCTTCAGCGATTCAGCTCGGCGATTCTCGTATGTATGAGTGCCGGCAACCTCCTTGAGCAGATTCAGACGGTCCTTTTCTTTCATGTTCGTCAGAGCCGTAACACGACCCTGTGGAACAATGTAGAATGGATTCTTGTTCGAGAAGCCTGCGGCCTCGAGAATCTGGATGAACTCGTTTCTAGGAACGACCTTCTTGTCCACAGAGTATTCATCTTTCTTTTGGCCGATCGTGCGGCGAATCGGAACCTCGTCCTTCTCGTATCCGATGAAGCGGCGCTCTCCAGTATTCGCGAAGATCACCTCCACATATGCAGTATTGACGGCTGAACCGGAACCTTCGTGCAGGAGGGCGGCGCGCTCCTCACGACTCAGACTGGTGTATGTGTCGCTGAGAACGAAGCGGATAGCTGCGAAGAAGTTGCTCTTGCCCGAGCCGTTTCGTCCGACAATGACATTGGTACCAGGAGAAAAGGGTTCCATAATAGTCTGGTCCTTGTAGCTAATGCTCTTTGTTAGCATCTCACATCGACACGAAGAGAGGGGACAATGAGGCGCGCTTACCTTTTAAAGCCCTGGATGATGATCTGTTTGATGTACATCTTGTCGGCGAGTGCTGCTGGGCTGCAGCTGCCTTGGGAGTCGCACAATCAAATTGATGTTTGTCGCAAAGGGGGTACTTCGGATCGTGAAGCCCAGGATGTGGGATGGACGAGTTTGCGCTGGAGTCGGGCCAATTTTGTCACGAGGAGGTGAGGAGGGGGTATGAGACGCGTCTCTCGCGACGATAGCACTGCTGGCGCAAAATGGAAGGAGCAGGGCACGGATCAGGCCAGGGCCCTGCACCGATTAGATAAGTCCTCGTGGGGTCGGAACATTTACTTTGCCGGATCCGGCCTTCTCATGCCCCCGGGTGACAGACAAGTAGCCCCGAAGAAGAGTGACAGCCATATGTCTCTACTTGCATTAATTTGTAATGGTATAATAAGACCCTCTATCGCGAGAATAAATGAATTTGCCTACATCTAAACAAAAAAGCAGCTCAGGCTTTTCTACATGTGTTGATCATCGACTTCTCTCTCAATACTTACAGAGCCTGCATTACCAGAAACTCTGGATGTCGAGGGTGTGGAGAGCATGAACTATTGCCGCTTGGTCTGGTCATGGCATCACTCGCGCAGGAATGGGCCTATTGTTTCTACGAATGAGGGACTTGGCCATGTTAAGTGCGAGGCCCTAGGCCGAGCTTAAACACTCAGCATGGCGGTTCCTTAGACATGTCTGACGGCTGATGCATACGTGTGCGTTTTGGAATGCAAGGCTCTGTAACAATCTACGTAGAGAGGGGGATTGTTTCGCTACTAGAAATGCACGGCGCGGAATAGCATTGATCATTTGCTGCACCGCTGTAGTCTGATTTGGGGTCGAGACGCAGGCATTTAGGGCACTGGCATTTGAAGGGTTCAAAAGGGACGCTGGTCGGGGTGCTTCAAAACCCCGGCGCATTTCCTCCAGCACCACGAAACACTGAGGCTGCAGGAGTATGTCACCAACACTGAGTATGGGTCAAGTCTGTCATGCCGGCCCACTGGGATGAGAACGGGCTTGGCGACGATCTGGAGCTTGGAAGATTTACTGAGACCGGTCAGTTTTGCAATGGCCCTGGTTGAGGCGTCTTGTCATACGTGTCGACACTCATGTCTCGAACAACTTCGAATAGGCTAGCCATCATTCGCAACCCATCATCGTCCCAGCTCAACCGGGACAACGAAGCCCAGAGGCTCTGAGAGTACGAGGACTGTAGATGGATGAGTTGTTTAATACTACCGGTATCTCATCTCAACGGTGGACTGAAATTTGCTGTAAAAATAGCGGGTCTCTTTTCGCGGGATCGACAGTCTGCCTCGAAGCTTGGATTTGCCAGACTAGAGGATCAAGGGTCCGACTCAGGGCTGGCTTTTGTCTACCAATGACGGCTTTTGGCCTGCACCAGGGGAGGCACGGCATGTTGACCAGTCTGTCCTCGTGACTAGTGATTGGCGGCGTCATTGTGAGCCTTCTCCTCTGTACCAGAGCATGCCAACCACTGAGAGCTTCAAGCAAGCAGGACGGATGACATGACTACCTGTATCGCATCTGCTATACCTATGTATCTTGGTTGAGAATGGCACGCCTTAGCTAGGCACCTTATCATCAGGGCTAGATCTGGTGTAGGTAACTTTGGAAGCCAGTGTGAAGGCAGCGAGGTGTGTGAGGTAGGCCAAACGCAATTTTTATGGGCGGTGGCCAATCATCGCAAAGACTTTTCGTTTTTGCGGCTGCCTCAAGAAGCCACCTGTGGCAAGGTAGGCAAATCCACTGCGGCAGACGGGACGCTTACCTTAGGATAACAAGAGTGAGAAAAAGCCAGATGTAAATCAAATGCTGCGCCAGTGTCAATAGCCACATATCGAAAAGGGAGATGTTCTTGTTGGAGCAGGTCGCCGGGAGGCAGCATGGTGGGAGACATGAAGGACGGAATCCTGAGATATTCTACGGTACGAGGGTACCTACCCGCCTACAATTCATGGAGGAGGACATGACACTCACCAACAAGAGGAAAAGCTTGGGCAAGGAGGTGGGGTTCGGTGGTGGGAAAGGCGGCGCGCGGGCAGGGGGAGTGCCCCGGAAGCAATGGGAGGTTGCAAGGGTGGGCACTGCCAAATCGCGCTAACCAATTAAGCGAGAGTTGGCGCAAGAGGAAGGAACCGTTGGCGGTGGTCGCGACGTGTATAAAAATACAGCATAGGAGATATAGAAAGACTGGCCTGCCCTCCACCCGATTTTCACACGCCCGCCGCCTGCCTGCCTGCCCGCTTGCCTGCCCGCCCGCCGTTCCCTCGCGCGTCTTGCTTCGTCCACGCACCACCGGCCAACCAAAAGTGCTGCGAGCCCGGAAAAAGGCCAGCCCGGCCCAGCTTAAGTCCGTACCGTACACCCAACCACTGCAACATTTGGCTGTCTGCGCTGCGCTGTGCTGTGAGGTGTGCTGTGCTGCTGCACGACAGGATACCTGCAACACACCTATTAAGAGAGTAGTAGGTAAGCAAAGCCGTCCATTCCCCTTCCTCCAAACTTGCTGCACTTGCACTCCTTCCCCCCACTCCCCGCACCATTCCCATCTATGGCTTGCCTGGTAGTTCCTTCACCTCCACTCACCTTTCCTCGGACGCGACACCGTAAATTGTTTACTGCGATTGGCCCCCACACCGAACCAATGCATACTGCCTCCCTAGGTGACATGCATTCGTTGCTATCCTCTAACAGGTTGTGTCACACCCCAGACAGACATCCTAGAGAGATTCGAAAAGAGGCTGCATTACAGGAACTTGATGGACTGTATATACACATCCTTCGTTTCTCAATTATAGCAGTGCTCCGACCACTCGCCGCTCTGCAAGTCTACCCCTGACACAATTGGTGAGACATGCATGCACGTTTGTTATTTGTCTGCCTCGATGCTTTGCATGCCTCTGTACATCATAGGTTGGTCTTACTAATCACTGCTGATTATGTAGGACGATGATCATTGCCGTATAACCAACATCTGCTATGATATGAAGACAAGATGGCGTCCAGACTTGACCGGCTCGTCACGTGAGTTTCACATGACCCCTTATATAAATCCTGCCTCGAAGACGAGTTTTACTGACATTGTGGCAGCATCCTTGAGACCGGTAGTACCCGGCTAATACGGGATACCGCCGTCAACCAATTGGCAGATTGGCAAAAGCAACATCCAGAGGAACTCTTCAACCTTCTCTCTCGGGTTGTCCCCTATCTCAGGCACAAGGATTGGGAGACGAGGACCACCGCGGCTAAGGCTATTGGCAAAATCATTGAGAATGCGCCAACATACGACCCAAATGTCGCTGATGAACCTTCAGAGCCGAAGAAGGAAGAGCCAAAGCCCGAAGATAGCGTAGTCAAGAAGGAGGAGGAGAAGGAACCCACTATTGCTCACGAAGACTTCTTCAGCTTGGAGACGCTTGATGTGGGGCTGATATTAAAGTACGGCCGCGAGTTACTTCGCGGAGGTAACATCGATTATGCACTTGGGGCTCTAGACCCTCAAGCCCGTCTAGCACACCAAAAGAAGACGCTGATTGGCCGTCTTGGCTTGCTTGGCCGGGTATTTGAAGACGATGAGATGCCAATCGTCAACGAACATGCCATCAGCCCCGTGACACCAGGAGAGGTGTCCAATGCCAATGGTTTTGGCCGACACGAGACCAACGGCAACGGCAGTCAGAGTCAGCCAACTGAAGAGTCAGGCTTGAGCTCCCGACAGCTCAATGTTTTGAAGAGGAAACGAAAGAGAGAGGCACAAAAGGCCGCTCAAGGGAAGGGTGGATTCGGTGACTTGTCGATAAGACGTAGCACTACGGCCGGCTCCGACGGATTTGTCGATGATACACCAATGGCGGATGCAGATTCGAAAAAGAACGGCAAGATGGCGGACTACTTCAGCCTCGAGAGACCTGACGAGGTCGATGAGGAAACCAAAGTCGTTTCAGAATTCAAGGGTCCAGTCATTCCTATCAAGTCTGAACTTGAGGCAGACGACAACTTAGAGGGTGCAGAATGGCCATACGAACGTCTCTGTGAGTTTCTCAAGGTTGACTTGTTCGATCCCCAATGGGAAACTCGGCACGGTGCTGCCATGGGTCTAAGGGAAGTTATCCGAGTCCATGGCGGTGGTGCCGGCCGACTTCAAGCCAAATCTAGAGCCGAAAACGACGAACAAAACCGAATATGGTTGAACGATCTAGCATGCCGGTTGTGCTGCGTCCTTATGCTTGATCGATTTACCGACTACAGTTCCGATACGTCAGTAGCTCCTATTCGGGAAACAGTTGGCCAAACACTGGGATCAGTTCTGTTCCACGTGCCGTCAGACTTAGTCTACGGGATTTACCGCAATCTCTATCGCATGGTCATGCAGGAAGATCTTGATCTTGAACGACACATTTGGGCTATCTGCCATGGTGGTATGGTGGGTCTGCGATACGTCGTTGCGGTACGTAAGGACCTGCTGCTCAAAGACGGCGACATGATCGACGGAATAATTCGCGCTGTGATGAAGGGGCTTGGGGACATGGATGATGATGTCCGTTCCGTCAGCGCGGCTACACTGATACCCATGGCGAAAGAGTTCGTCACAATGCGCCCGGCTGCGTTGGATGGTCTTATAAATATCGTATGGGAGAGTCTGTCCAATCTTGGTGATGATTTGAGTGCTTCGACCGGGAAGATTATGGATCTCCTGGCAATTCTCTGCAGCTTCCCAGAAGTTCTGGAGGCTATGAAGACCTCGGCCGAACAGGACGAAGAGAGGTCCTTTACTCTCTTGGTTCCACGGCTGTATCCATTCCTACGTCATACGATTACATCCGTCCGTCTTGCGGTCCTGAAGGCTCTCATGACCTTTGTCAACCTTGGAAGCGAGACTTCACATGGTTGGCTAAACGGCAGGATCCTCAGGTTGATCTTTCAGAACATCCTAGTGGAGCGAGACCAAGATACACTGAACATGTCCATTGAATTATGGACTGCGCTTGTCAAGTCTCTCGCGAAAGATCCCGATGCTCTCGCGACGGAGTTCGCTTCTCACGTGGACCCCATGATGCAGCTCACATTGCATCCTATCGGCGTTTCGCGCCAGCCATTGCCCATGAATGCGACACTCTTCTTGAAGCCATCGGGTGGCACTTACTCGATGCCCAGTGCGATCTCTGCCACCACACGCAGATCGTCACCTCCAGATTCCGCAGAGCGCGCTACCAAGCGTCGGAGGAAGTCGACTAAGATTGACGACGTGCCAACAGTTTCGCACTCTCACGACATTGACGGCCACATGATGCAGGGTGATGTTGATTTGGTCGGTATGGAGACCCTCATACGATCCAGGGTGTCAGCGGCCAAAGCCATGGGTGTGATCATGTCGCTCGTCCCGACCAAACAGTTGGAAGACTACGATGCTAGCGTCATTCCTGGTCTCAACTCAGCGTTCTCCTCGACTCAGCTTGCTGCCTGCATGGTCATTGATGAGTATTCCAAGAATTGCTCCAAGTCTGAGGAGACGTTAAGATATGTTGCACCATTGCAGAAGATGATTGAGGCCGAGAGACCATCACACTACAGGGATCTGGTGAGCTTTGTACAGCGCGTTCGATCACAGTGCCAGCAATTGGTGAACTTATTCCGTGACCACGGCAAAGTGTCTTCCAGCAAATTGCCAACTCTGGCGGTCGTTGTGCAGGGTGAGGCTGAAGCCGGCCCTGGTGCATTTTCAGTTGCCAACGCCGAAAAGGTTGTTGGGGACGACTACGAACGCATGAAGAAGGCAATGTCACCCGGTCAGCGCCTTATTGCTAGTGCGCAGCTTGCAGAGGCTCGCGAAGTCACTGTTGCAGCTATTGAGGAAGCAAAAGTCGCTAAGGACGCGAGGGATGTGCGAATCAAGGCCGCGGCTGCGTGTGCCCTGGTTGCTATGAAGGTTTTACCCAAGAAACCAAGTCCGCTTATCAAGGCGATCATGGACAGCATCAAGAGCGAGGACAATTCAGAGCTCCAAGGCCGTTCGGCATCAACGATTGCACGATTAGTTCAGCTCTTCACTGAATCTGGTCGTCGTGGACCGGCTGACAAGGTTGTGGCCAATCTCGTGAAGTTCTCATGTGTCGAGGTCGCAGAAACACCGGAATTCGCCACTCACGCAGCCAAGACTAGTGTGATCCTTTCCATGCAAAAGGAGGAAGATCGTGTTGATCATCCTGATGCTGCCAAGTGGGCTCGGGAGGCAAAGGCTGCTCGCATTACTCGTCGTGGTGCAAAGGAAGCACTAGAGATACTAGCGAAGACCTTCGGGGCAGAACTTCTCGACATTGTGCCAAGCCTCAAAGCATTTATGGAGGATCCTCTCGTCAAAGCCTTTTCTGGCGAGCTTCCCGCTGAGGCGAAGGACGCTGAGCAGACATTTGGACAGGAGATTGTGGATGCCATGTCCGTCATCCGGACTATGACTCCAACACTACATGCCTCGCTTCACCCATTCATCATGCAGATGGTTCCTCTGGTCATCAAGGCCCTGCACTCTGAGCTCTCTGTCTTCCGTTATATGGCTGCGAAATGCATGGCTACAATCTGCAGTGTCATGACGGTTGAGGGTATGACGGCGCTCGTCGAGAAAGTACTCCCATCGATCAACAACCCTGTTGACCTCAATTTCCGTCAAGGAGCTATCGAAGCCATCTATCATTTGATTGCGGTTATGGGTGATGCCATTCTCCCCTACGTTATCTTCCTCATCGTCCCCGTCTTGGGACGCATGAGCGACTCTGATAATGAGATCCGACTAATTGCAACGACCTCTTTTGCAACGCTTGTCAAGCTAGTTCCTCTTGAGGCTGGCATTCCTGATCCTCCAGGACTTTCCCAAGAATTGCTAAAGGGCAGAGACCGGGAGAGAACATTCATTCAGCAGCTTCTTGATCCTAAGAAGGTTGAGCCGTTCCAGATCCCTGTCGCTATCAAAGCAGAGCTTCGTCACTATCAACAGGAAGGCGTCAATTGGCTCCACTTCCTGAACAAATACCATCTTCACGGCATTCTTTGCGACGACATGGGACTTGGAAAGACTCTCCAGACTCTGTGCATTGTCGCAAGTGATCACCATGAACGTGCTGAGCAATTTGCAAAGACACAAGCTCCCGACGTCAGACGGCTGCCGTCGCTCATTGTCTGCCCTCCAACCCTATCGGGCCATTGGCAACAGGAGATCAAGACTTATGCTCCATTCCTGAGTGTCACTGCCTACGTTGGCCCTCCTTCGGAAAGGAAGTCAGCAAAAGATATGCTCGACAAGACAGATATTGTCATTACCTCTTACGATGTCTGCCGGAATGACATTGACATTCTCGAGAAGTACAGCTGGAACTATGTGGTGCTGGATGAAGGCCATTTGATCAAAAACCCCAAAGCAAAGATCAGTATGGCCGTCAAGAAGCTAGCGAGCAATCACCGTCTCATCCTGACTGGCACGCCGATCCAAAACAATGTGCTTGAGCTTTGGTCGCTGTTCGACTTCCTCATGCCAGGCTTCCTTGGAGCAGAAAAGGTCTTCCTTGACCGATTCGCGAAGCCTATTGCTGCCAGCCGCTACGGCAAGGCCTCGTCCAAAGAGCAGGAGGCAGGCGCTTTAGCCATTGAGGCACTTCACAAGCAAGTTCTTCCGTTCCTGTTGCGGCGTCTCAAGGAAGAGGTGCTCAATGACCTACCGCCGAAGATCCTTCAGAACTACTATTGCGATCTCAGCGATTTGCAGAAGAAGCTATTTGAGGATTTCTCAAAGAAAGAATCGAAGAAACTAGCCGAGGAAGCCGGTCGTGATGATAAGGATGCCAAACAGCACATCTTCCAGGCACTGCAGTATATGCGCAAGCTCTGCAACTCGCCGGCACTGGTGATGAAGCCTGGACACAAGATGTACGACGATACGCAGCGAATTCTGGCCAAGCAGGGCACCAGCCTCGAAGACCCTGCCCACGCACCAAAGCTGACGGCCCTCAAAGATCTGCTTGTTGATTGTGGTATTGGCATAGAAGGTACAGATTCCAATGATCCATTGTATCAGCCCATCAAACCCCATCGTGCCCTCATTTTCTGCCAGATGAAGGAGATGCTCGACATGGTACAGAACACTGTTCTGAAGAGTATGCTACCGTCTGTGTCGTACCTGCGACTCGATGGATCGGTTGAGGCAAACAAGAGACAAGATATCGTCAATAAGTTTAACAGCGATCCATCTTTCGATGTGTTGCTGCTCACCACCAGCGTGGGCGGTCTCGGTCTCAACCTCACTGGTGCCGACACTGTCATCTTCGTGGAGCACGACTGGAACCCACAGAAGGATCTCCAAGCCATGGATCGTGCGCATCGTATCGGTCAGAAGAAGGTAGTCAACGTATACCGTCTCATTACAAGGGGGACGCTTGAAGAGAAGATTTTAAGCTTGCAGAGATTCAAGATCGACGTGGCATCAACTGTTGTCAATCAACAAAACGCTGGTCTTGCAACCATGGATACAGACCAGATCCTAGATCTCTTTAATGTGGGAGATACTGGACCCAGCCTTATATCAGACAAACCTCAAGGTGCTGTTGAAGGCAGAGAGGAAGATATGGTGGACATCGAAACAGGCGATGTCCGCCAGCCCGGCAAGAAGGCAGCCTGGCTTGAAGATCTGGGCGATTTATGGGATAATCGCCAGTACGAAGAAAGCTTCGACCTGGATGGCTTCCTAAAGACGATGCAGTGATCGTAGTGAAGCATCATCAGCCACACGGAAGTCATCTTTACTATATCATTTTGCGATGAATCATTTTTCCTCGGGTTACTCGCATTCAGAGTAGGCATTGCATGATTTACGTAGCCTAGGGAGGCTTATGGGATAGGAACTCCACAAGAAGCATTGGAGTTCATGTGAGCTTGGCTCGATTTGCTGTATTATAAGGAACTCAGAGCATATGGCGTCCACGTGATTGGGGCCAGGATGAGTGCCTCATCATCTCTAGAGGTGGATAGAATCAATTGTAAACAAAGATATACATCCTTAACCATGATTGCTTCTCTTCGCTGTGGGTTGATCCTGTGTCCAACTGACCACCCTCGTTCACCTTGGTCCAGAATCTTCTATCACTTGTGTGGGCTCATGGCAAGCCTATTTGAACCCCACCTTAGTGGGTTACAGCTCTAGCAGCACCCCGCCATTACTCAAAAGCAGACCATAGCTACAAAGACATCAATACTACTCGACAACAGAGTCGACTTGCTTCTACAAGAAGCATCCAGTCGTAATTACGACTTGACTGTGCATCATACAAGAGAGTTTTTTTCAAAGCCAAGCAGTCAATATGCCTCTGGACTACAGTAAATGGGTAAGCTTCGCCGTTCTCAAACCAGGCTCCGGCAGAGCGACATATCATTTTAGACGAGCTCCTCGAACAATAGCTAACATGTCCCCCGTCACCGGGGAAAGTAGGACGCCCTCGAGCTGAGCGATGACTCGGACATCGAGGTGCATCCCAATGTCGACAAGCGATCGTTCATCCGCGCCAAGCAGAACCAGATCCACATGGAGCGCGAGCAACGCAAGCACCAGATCGCGACGCTCAAGTACGAGCGGCTGATCAACGACGGGCTGATGAAGCGCATATCGTCCCTGCTCTCCTCGCTGCAGGCGCACGCCTCGGACGCCGAAACCCGCAATCCCGGCGAGGTTGCCTTCGCGGCCGTCATGGAATCCGCGAGCAAGATGAGGCCCGAGGATGACCAGCCGCCGCCGCGGCCCGCAGGTATACATGAGGGCGAAGAGGCCCTGCCGACGTATAGCAAGATGATGGCAACCTTGTTGGATCAGGTGAACAAGTCGATCGACGAGAAGAAGGTCACGCAGGACAAGAGGTACGGAGCTATGATAGAGGAGATCCAGGGGCACTTGGATAAGGTACAGGGACTGCAGAAGGATCTCATCAAGAAGCTCGGTGAGCTGGAGAAAGAGGAGGGCAAGAAGATTACGAGTGAAGGCATTCATACGGGATTTGATAGCTCGCATGTCAACAAGTCCACTTCGACGTCCACTTCGCAGCAGAAGAAAGAGGAACCTAAGGTTGAGCTTCTCAATCCGAACTTCTCAACCTCTCAAGAGGCCCCACAAGCGAAGGGCACGGGTGATGACGACGATGACGGCGATATGGAAGCCTCACCAACTGCAAGGCAGTTTGCCAATATCAAGGTTGGCGAGTATCGGGACAGCCTGAATTTCCTCTCAGCACACCCGGAAATCCTCACAGAGAAGGAGACCGATGGTCTGCTGGTGCTCGCTTTTGATGCACAGCTGGAAGGCAAGGAGGACTATGCTCGACAATGTGTGCATCAGGCTCTTCTTCTCCAATACTGCCGTGCCCTCGGCCGAGATGGTGTAGGGCTGTTCTTCAAGCGAATCACGACAAAGGGGCATCAAGCTCAAGATGTCTTCTACAAGGATGTGCAAGAGACGTATGGGAAGATTAAGAATCGAGCCCGCGAGATCAATGCCCAGAGAGCAGCTGGAGGGAACGAAGAAGGCGTTGAGCAGATTCAGCTCCATGCTGTGGAGCCGGGCACGGTCATCAATATTCGTGTACCGCCTGCAAATAGCGAAGACGCAGAGGAGAAGAAGGCAAGGGAGGTATTCGAGACGTTCAAGCCTGAAATGAAGAAGGCTCTAGAGAGCGGTAGTCTCGACGAGGTGAACAAGGTACTGGGCAATATGAATATTGAGGAAGCGGAGGATTTGGTGGGGAAGTTTGGAGAGGTGAGTACAGTCTTTTCTCTCGATATATTGTTCAGCACGGTAGAAGTTAACACGGACATAACAGGCCGGCATCCTCTCTCTGGAAGAGCAGATCATAGATGCCACAACAGAGGAAGGAAAGGCGCAACTGAAGGAAATGGAACAGCAAGCTGCGGCCACAACTTCAGAATCACAATACGCAGATGATCCTGAGTAACCGAAAAAACGATGGAATTTTATCGAGACGCCGTCACTAGATGGACGAAAAAGATACATTATCCAGACGATACGAAAACACACAGCGCAATAGATCATGATGAAAGAATCTCAACGCTCGCATTTTGTATCTGTATATGCTTTTACGATATCAATGTAACATTTGGAAAGCTGCTCCGCCAACCACAGTGAACTCAGATTTAAATGCACAAAAACCTCGCTTTGCAGGTGGAATAATACCCTTGACGAGCCCGTATAACTCCATTAAATCCTAGGGATATTTAACGCCTTTCCCAGTCAAGGAAGAGGTGCCGCTGTCTCAACTCCGTTGTTCCCATCCTCTAAGATGCCTCCAAGTTCGATTGCTCCCTTTAATTCAGTTTCTGCCACCTAAACAGTCGAACTGAGGAAATCGTATCCCGAGTCGTGAAGCTCGGGGTTGAATGCAAGTTCTATATTTTGGATATCCGAACTGAGTGCGTCCTTGGCAGCATTGATCGAAGGCATAACATTGTCCCTGTAACGTATGAGAGCCCCAAGTCTTGCTTTCTGTGGCCGCCATAAGTCTTTCATGACCTCTAAAGCTTTTTCGTTTGCCGATTTCCGATCTACGTAAGAACCATGAATCTTATGATCGTAAACGCAATGCCTAAGTGGATTTACTGATCCTTCTGGTATTGTCGCCAAGGCCACTGTGCCTCTGCTTCTTCCAGATCCGACGGAAGATTCTCGAGCCTCTTGTTGCTCGCGAGGATCCGAATCTGCCACTGTATCCCCCTCTTCATCAGTGTTTCCTGACCGAACACAGACAGATATCACGTCAAATCTTTTCTGATATAGTTTCAAGGCGTCCTCTCGCACCTTCTTGCCCTCAAAGAATCGAGGGTCCAGTTGTCCCACCTGTTTATTCTCTTTCCCAACGTAGCAGATAAATTTCTTTCCATCGGGCAGTCTAGCTGAGCCGTATACTTGACCGTCTCTCTTATCGTCGTACCGGAGATTAACTTCCTTGCGTTGGTCCTTGTTGACAGTTAAGCCACCGTATATCTGCTTAGTAGCAAGATCGTTTGCCTTCTTCATGTCAATGAAGCTGTCCAAACGTACCAGGTTGTATTCACGATCAGTATCGTCCAGTCCGTCATTCTCGTCGAAAGGCTCGGACTGGAAAACGGTGAACACAACTACCACTCGATTCTTGCCCAGGAAGTCTACTGTAGTGGCAGAGGATAGGCTCGTCACGGCTCTGCGCTGTTGTGCCTTCAGACCATCGAGGTTCAACAGTCTCTCCGCCTTATCCTCCGCCGCTCTGTCTCTTCTCCATGCGTCCACTCTCGCCTGAGCTTCCCTTTGGATGGCAGCCTCGTTCTTGTTCGGGTACTCCTTTCTTGCATTCTTCACTATATTGTTGTGAATGTCTCCAGCTCTCTTAGCACGTGCTTTATTGCGGTACTCAGCCCTCCTCTGCTCCTGTTTGCTTGGTGCGTACTCTGCCGCCTTCCGAACCCTCTCATGGTCTGGGCCGGTGTTTGCAGATAAGGTGCTGGCGAAGTGAACTTTGCGCGGGACCGCGTGACGCTGCTCGAAGTCGCGGAAGAGATCTCTGTCAGCCTGAGAGAGGCGCGCAATGGGAATCTGAATCTTCTCAGGTGGTGGGTTATTGTCCTCCCTGCGTTGAGTTGGGCGTATCGTCTTGTTGATTGTTGGTGGCCTTGGGGTGGGCTGCTCCTGTGTGTTTGGAAGCCTATCCGCAGCTAGGTTCACCGTCCTCGCTTTTTTATACGCACTGTTGTTGGGGATCTGAGATCCATCAGCATCTTCGGTTGAAGTTTGGTGTGGCCGTTTCCAGTTTGGCAACCCATGGTCGTGAGTTATCCTTGACTGGCTTGTTGGGTGAGGCACTGGATCAGTGCTGGTATGCTTGAGGCTCCCGTTTCGTGGCGTGCTCTTGTTGAATCGCGGGCTTTCGGCTTTTCTGATATCCTGTTCGGGTTGGACATTATCCCCCTTCTCTATAGTCGATTCTCCGAAAAGATCTACTGTCGTCCACTGGGATGTTGATGGGACATCAAGTTGTGATGAGGCACTCTTCGCAGTCACACCAGGCACTGATAGACTGGTACGCTCCCCTTGCGACTGGACTACTTGGGGTAAATCGGGAAGTGGCTGTTCAGGGGCAGGCGTCTCTTTCCCAGGTCGCAATCGCAAAACTTCGCAGGCCTTGCGTGTGAACAAACTCGGCATTGAAGAACCCTTTACGGAGGGAGAAGATGCGACGGAATTATGTCTGCTTGATTGAAGATTTTTCGTACGTGCCCGTTTCAGGGCCAGGCCCAGATCATTTTCATCGTCGCCATCGCTGTCAATGACAATGACTTCGGTATTGGATTGAGATGCGGCAGTCATGTCTTGCGGAAGCTCAAACCTTTCTGGTGTACTTAACATTTGGCCCGCCATTATTTGTCAACCAATAGAATACCAATTGTAGAGGAGGGCCAGCGAGATATTGAGTTTCCCGGAATGGCATACTAGAAAAGAAACGGAAGGTGTATGAAAGTTAGAATAGTCGGTAAGCAACGATATATCTTGTCCAGAGGGAAGAAGAGCCTGCTTTGAAGGTGGATCGGGAAGCTGCGCGAAACAGATGCAACAGGTATGACCTTTTTTATGACTGAGGGTAAGGGGGAGACCCTGTGAGAGCCTCAGGGTTACTGAGGACGACCGAGGAACGTTGGAGGATAGACAAAACCAGACAGTGTTGAACTCGCCTGATACCACAAACCGGGGTTCTTGTCCGTTTCTGGAAGGACAACACTTGCTGTATTTAATGCGAATTTGTGCCCACGCGAGAGTATGTGAAGCTGATGTCCTAGAGACAAATCAGAGGCAGGCGTTTATTATCAAACGAGGTCCAAGGACACTCAACACTAGGATGTGGCGTTTGTGAAATTTTGAGGTGGAAGACATGGTGGTATGAACGGCAGATTCAAGAAGGCATGGCAAACGGCCTCTATAAAAATCCTTCAGACTTGACAGTGTTGTTGGAGACTGATTATGCAGTCCGGTGATAAGTCAGATTGTTCCACACGCTGCCACAACAGTCGAACTGACCGAGCTTATCATGGGCGAGACGGTCACTCTTTGATAGGGATAATTCGGTAAGAAACGCGAGGACCATCAGGTCAAATGGTAGTAAGAGTTTATAGCCACAGATGCTTGTATTGGGCCGTCCCTTAAACCCTCACTGCGAGATGGTTAGCTTACAACACCACCCAAGCCATATGGCTTGGACGAAGTGTGTGGCCATATTGCTCTATTTCTACTTTTTTTTGTCGGACGACAATGCGCCGAGGAGACTTTTGATACGCTCTACCATCCACTATGCCACATCGTAGCTCATCTCTTTACAGGAACACCTCCAAATTTATCTCTAGCGTCGAGACTGGGTATCTGTGAGTTCGAATTAGTGATTGATTCTCTGTACCAGCTTCAGTAAACATACTTTATGTCAAACTTCTCTAGAACGGTGGGGTGAAGAATGCCAAACTCGCCAATGCGCTGCTCCTTGCCATCGAGGCGCACGTAGATGGCCGCGCCGTGGCCCTGGAAGAAGGTAGGCTCATCAATCTCCTCGATCCAGTAGCCGTCAGGCTTGGCGGGGTTCTCCGTCACCTTGAAGTCGATGCTCTTTCCCTCGAGGCCCTCCTCGCGCGTGACGAACGCCGTCCGCAGCATGAGGAGCACGCGGTCTAGCAGACCGTGTACGACCTCGAAACCACTCGTCTTGCCATAGAATGCTGCAGCAAAATGACGTTGGTTTCGTGCTGACGTCTCTGTCGTCTCATCCTTGAAGGCTACATCCGAAGCCTCGAAAATCTTGAGCGGTACGCTGTGCTTCTTGTTTTCACGGATGGTCTTGAGAAGACCTGGCAGCAGACTTGTCCGTACGACCTGGTACTCAGCGGTCTTGGGGTTGGCTAACTTGATTGCTGTCTTTCCGTCGTCTTTCCTGTTGAGCCAAGCAAAGTTCTCGTCGTGACTGCACAAAATCAGAGGGAGAACCTCGCTCCAGCCGGCCATAGCTGCCTCCATCCGTACAATATCTGCCAATTTGTTGATCAGTAACGGCGCACCGATGGTCGCACTCTTGTTTGGTGATGATCGTGGGAGATTGTTGTAGCCGTAGCAGATTGCCAGATCCTCCATGATATCGCACTGATGAAGAACATCTGCGCGGGTTGGAGGTATGGCGACTTCTACTAGGTTCTTGTCTTTGCTTGAGGGCTTGGCTGTGTAAGCCATCTTGGTGAGAAGCTTGCAGATCGTCTCAGGGGTCTCATTCAGGCCACAGCAGTTGTTGAGATAATCTACTTCTGCCTCAGTAACTCGCGGTGTGAGATTCGGGGTTATCCTTGTCTGGCCGTTATGTTCAGAAACAATCTTCACTGGCTCGACGGTGAAAGGCTCCGAGCAGTACATGGAGAACATTGTGACCATCATCTGATTGACAATCTCCAGCTTGGTCTCATCGGTTGCGGTGATTTCAATGAACACATTCTTGGTGTTCAGGGTAATCTTGGAGTGATCGCCGTTGATGATGGGAGGTAGTGAGCAGACTACTCGGTTGGCATCGAGGATGACGGGGTATACGGGGGCATCGCGAATAATGTGAAGGAATTTGCCCAAGTGCCTGTCATTTTCATAGAACTGCATGAGTTCCTCTCCATTCATCTCCTTTTTCTGGTTCAGGGGCGCAAAGGTGATGTCCTTTGGGGGCAGAGCCTCATATGTGAAAGGTCCTTGAATCGTATCGAGATCGTGGGTTCCGACGGAAACGAGCGTTCGCTGGCGGGCCAGATTGGCGTGGAGCTTGTCCTGTAGAGCGATAAAGGAATTGTAGGACTTTTGAGTGAACTTGAGATTCCTTAGGATCGCGCCAGCCACCAGGGGACGGACTTTCAGGGTATCCTCCTTGACGGTGATAGTTTGTAGCTGCCCACTGGGCGGGTTGACTAGTCTGTAGTTCGGAATAGGCGTTCTTTGCAGGAAGACATTGAGCATGAGTGCGATGCCTTCGAAGCACAGCATGTCGTAGCGGTTGGCGGGAATCTCGATCTTCAGCTCGGGAGGGGCCTGCTGGCCGTTGACAATAGGCCGGTCATCATTCTCGGTGTCGTCGTCCAGCTCGATTCCAAACTCGAAACACAAGTCCTCAAACTCCTCGGTGGTGAAGCTTTGGCCGTAGAGTTAGCTTGGATGTCCAATGTCCGCTTATGGCGGGGCATGGTTATTTTTTGCGATAGAGGGTAGAGGCTTACTTCTTGCCGAGGGCCTTGTAGAGGTCATATTTGTCGACGGTGATGGTAGGCATGTTGACAAGCGTTCAGGTGACCGCAGTCTTGCCCAGATGCTGTGAATTGGGTTGCGTTGGTGAGAATCGCGGTATTGCTGCCCCTCCGTTCAACTTTTTGAGTCACAGAAATCGGGTGTCTCTGGCGCTCTAATTAAGGTACGTACAGGGGTCGTCTGTTTCTGAGGCACAATTCGATCCGCGTGGGCCACACCCGGGGCGTACTAAAGGATTTCGGCAGCATAGATTATCCGTCTACAGTGGGGAGGGTCAGTGGGGCGACGAGAAGCTGGAGCAAGCTCGTGGTACGTGCGCGCGAGGAATGGTGCCCCAGGTGAGGGTGAGATGCGTAGATAGATTACATAGTGCAACAGCCTCGAGATGGCGGGGTTTGATCTCTGTCGCGGTACTCGATAGGCCCTGAAACAAGGAGCTCCAGTCCTTCCTCATCCCCAACAGAAGAGGAGAAAGCTTTGATGTTCCGGGAGCATAACGATATCACATTGTAGAATGATTCCTAACAGCTGTTTCAATGGGAAGACAATGCCGTATCCTCCCTCCTCCCTCTGTGATGCTGAGTTGGGTGACTATCTGTTTGTCGGCCATTCTCTACAGCATCTCTCTCAGTTACATACCTACGAAGAGTGAGGTACCTAAGTATGCATGTATGACGAAGGCCCTTAAACTACCACCTTCTCTGGCGGTCGATCTTGGAGCCTGAAATGTCGATTCGTCGCCCCATTCCTGACTGTGAAAAGACCACTGGTACATACCTACAGATTAAGTACCAGTCAAAGTGCAGCATCGGCGTCTGAATCCCAGTCTCTATCCCAGACAGATTTCCATTACTCCATTTCCATCGACATTGATGTGTATTGAATCCGACTTAAATAGAGTAGTATCAGTGTAGTGGGTGCATGTTCAGCCCGCCGCCCCTCTAATGTGGCTCTTGAGATGGGAGGCGCTCCTCGAAGTAGCAGGGGAGGAAGGAAATGACGCTGTTGGTTGTGCCTTCCTTGCTAAGTACCTTAACAGTGGGAAGGGGGTTGCTCAGTGACCCCTCCGAGCCCTCCTCCCCCTGCACAGGCTTGCCTGCCTGCCCTCTGAGACCGCCCAATAAGCGTAGCCTGCTGTAGGTTAGCACGGTTAGGTACCTAGGTAGGTACTTGCCTCCTAGCTGTACCGTGCTCCCGTGTTCTGTAGCTGAGTAGGACTCTGCTAAGGCTGGGGCTCCCATCGCAAGCTTGCCCGGTCTGGCTCTGACTGCACTGCACTGCACCTCAGACATCATATTTCACTAACGTTACCTGCTCCCACCTTTCCTCTCACCTCCAAAAATCCACCGCCTCCCTACACCACCCACGTACCTCGATTCCCCATCAACGACCCAGCGAAAGCGTCCAGCAACCCGATCTACGTCCCGGCCAGCATTGTCGACTTGCATCCCGCCCGCTCTGGCATGACAGTCGTCCAGCTCATTGCGCCTTTTCACTGATCCCGCCCTTTTGTTGTGTCGGGATCTCGCAAGGCCAGGAATCAGCTGCCCGAAAGTCATTACACCTCTTTTTGCACGCGACCGGCCACAATCCCACATCGACTGCAACCCCGAGCGCGCTCGGCGCCTCTCTACACCTCTCACATCAGCCTTTCGACGTCGTCCTCCTCTGAGTGCCCACCATGGCTGACGCGACGAACGCAAACGACGAGCTCTATCCCATCGCCGTGCTCATCGATGAGTTGAAGGTACACCCGCCCGCCTGCCTGTCCTTGCCGACCCTCGTTTCTAGGCCATCAGGAGCATCTCGATTGACCTTGTATCTAGCATGACGATGTCCTACTCCGCCTCAATGCCATCCATCGTCTATCAACCATCGCTCTCGCCCTTGGTGCTGAGCGCACCCGCGAAGAATTGATACCCTTTCTCGACGGTTTGTCAACCCCACCTCAGTCATCTACGCCTATCCCTTTGCATGCTTTCTAACATAGGACAGAGTCTGTCGAGGATGAGGATGAGGTTCTTGTTGCCCTGAGTGAAGAACTCGGCAGCTTCATCGACTATGTCGGCGGTCCTCAATGGGGCCACGTCCTGCTATCCCCGCTCGAGAACCTCGCTGCCATCGAGGAGCCTGTCGTGAGGGACAAGGTACATCTCCTCAGCCGCCTGCGACTCCCTCCATAGACTAACTTTTACCAGGCTGTCGAGTCTCTTAATAAGATCTGCAACGAGCTCTCACCCCAGCAGGTCGAAGAATACTTCATCCCTCTCACAATCCGCCTCTCCAAAGCCGATTGGTTTACTTCCAAGGTGTCAGGATGCGGTCTGTATACAGCGCCGTACAAGAAGGTTTCCCCACCCATCCAAGAACAGCTGCGACAACAGTTCGGACAGCTCGTCCATGATGAGACCCCCATGGTGCGCAGACAGTCTGCGATACACCTTGCGAAGTTTGTGAAGGAGATGCCCGCCGCGATTGTTGTTGAAGAAATGATACCCATGTTCCAGCATCTTGCTCAAGACGACCAAGACAGTGTGCGTCTGTTAACTGTAGAGATCTTGATCTCCATCGCGGAGGTTGTTCCCAAGGAGCAGCAGTCAAGCCATGGCGTTCTACTCACATCCCTTCGAAGTCTGATAGAGGATAAGAGCTGGCGAGTTCGATATATGATTGCAGACCGGTTTGAGAAGGTAAGTGCAGGTGCTCAAAGTTCCGCTACCGCATTCTAACGCTGGTCCAGATCGCAAAGGCAGTAGACGAAGAGGTAGTTTCGCGGGATCTGGTGCCAGCATTTGTCAAGCTCCTGAAGGACAACGAAGCCGAGGTTCGCGCAGCGGTTGCAGGCCAGATACCCGGATTCTGTGCTCTTGTTGAGCGGACCGTGCTGCTTAACGAAATCATGGGCAGCATTGAAGACCTGGTATCAGACAGCTCTCAGCACGTCCGATCTGCATTGGGAACTCAAATCAGCGGTTTGGCTCCGATTCTGGGCAAACAGGAGTATGTATCACTCACTATATTCATCTGTAGAGTACATGTGCTTACAATCCGCAGGACTATTGATCACCTTTTGCCGATGTTTCTCCAGATGCTAAAGGACGAGTTCCCTGAGGTTCGACTCCACATCATTTCGAAGCTCGAGCTCGTTAATCAAGGTAAGTCTAATGCCGAACAACTCACAGCTGGCCCAGGATCTTTACTGACTGCTTCAGTGATCGGCATCGACCTTTTGTCACAGTCGCTTTTACCTGCAATCGTAACATTGGCAGAGGACAAGCAGTGGCGAGTGCGATTAGCTATCATCGAGTATATCCCCCTACTGGCCAGCCAGCTGGGAGTCAAGTTCTTTGATGAGAAGCTGAGTGCACTTTGCATGGGATGGCTTGGTGATACTGTCTTCTCAATCCGCGAAGCAGCTACGCACAACCTGAAGAAGTTGACCGAAGTCTTTGGAGTAGAGTGGGCTAGTGAGGCCATTATCCCCAAGGTCATGGCTATGGGTAACCACCCCAACTACTTATACAGGATGACGACCTGCTTCGCTATCTCGGTATGTAAAGTGTGATACATATGGTCGTTGTCGCTCATACTAACACATTCCAGACGTTGGCGACAGTGGTAAGCTTGGACGTTATTGCGAAGTCAATCCTGCCCATGCTCGACAAGCTTGTCGCAGACGAAATTCCCAACATTCGCTTCAATGTTGCAAAGACGTACGCGGTGCTGATCGATGTACTGCGGCGTCTGCCTGAGGAGGGCACGATCTACTCGCTGGAGAAAGCTGGCCAGACATTTACTGAGTCTGCTCGCGGGCAGGAGCTAATTCAGCAACGCGTCATGCCCAGCTTGGAGAAGTTGCAAAAGGATGATGATGTAGATGTTCGGTACTTCGCGACAACAGCTGCTGCGGGAGCTTCAGGACCGCTGCCCGGTGGTGAGCCCATGAATACGTCACCATAGATGAGAAGAGACATAATGAAGCAATTCTATCCATTTGTTGTCTCTGCATAGCTGGAATTACCTGCGACCTCATCACCTCGTCACACTTACATCTGGCTTCTTCAGGCCCCATTGAGCGGTCAAGGCTCCTCGGTTCAAACGGTTAGTGTCGACCAAAGCATGACAGGAATAAATCAATCAATCAACAGAGTTATAGACGGTTTGGTTTGGGCATGAAGACGTATCTCATGGTTGCTGTTTGAGTCGTCTTGAGGATGAGTATGAGTCCACGGCGAACGTGGATACGAAAGGGAAGAGTCCCGTTGAACGCGATGTAAGACTAAAAAGCACGTATCGTAGAGACAATGCAACAATGTCAATTGATATACCAATTTCCTTGCTTATATGCGACCATGCTCACTGTTCTGGTGTGATGAGCGTAACTTTTGTGTATCCAACTCCGGCTATGCAATACAGTTCTCCTTAGCAACCTTACCTACCGCTCCTTTCTGAAGCAGAGTGTGCTGATGGTTTGCCCCTTAACACCACCGAAACTGAAGCTCGGATACTTCACTCTGCCGACTTGCACGAACCGTCCATCGTCGCCCTCTGCGCTCTCGCCTTCAAACCAGGTCTTCAGCTCGGCTTCCGTCCAGTTGCAGCTGGTGATCAGCAGTAGCCCGCCGGGCCGCACGAGCTTGAGCGCGCGTCCCCTATACCCTTCCACTATCCTCCGCCCCGAGGCGTCCCGCTCGTCGCTGAGGCTGATCGCGTCGAACGTTCCCTTGTCTAGAACCACGTCCCATCCATCTGCCTGCGCGCCGCCAAGCACTGTGTCGTACGGCCCGGCGAGAACGTCCCACTCCTCGAAGTCGACGCCCAGCGTCTCCCCCTCGTTGTCCTCTTGTCGCTCTGCGGCCTTGGTCGCAGCGATCTGCCGCGCCAGATCGACGCTCTTGGGGCTGTAGTCCACGCCCAGCAGCCTCCCGCGCCAGCCCTCGTCGCGCAGCGCAAAGAGCAGGCTGCCGTTGCCGCAGCCGAGGTCGAGGAACGAGTCGGCCGCCTTGTCCAGGCTCACCGCCGCGCCATTGCGATTGCGATTGCGATCGCCATTGTCATGTCCGTCCTCCTCTTCCCCGCCGCTCTCGCCTTCGGGGGTCCGCGCCTCCAGGAACTCGAGCAGCTTCGCCTCGGCGTCCGAGTCGTCGAACCAGACGGTGCCGATGTCCGAGGGGTTGGTCGCGTGGTTGGAGAGCTCGGTCGTGTACAGGCTGTCCCAGCTGCGAGGAGGCAAGGCAAGCGAGTCAGTCGTAACGTCCTGAAGACATGGAGAAGAGGGTTTCCGGAGAGGGAGGAGGTAGAGGAGACGAACTATTCCTTTGTGCCCAGCTCAGAGGGCTCGAGATGGGCGGGCCTCGCGGGGTCGGCCATGTGAGTATTCGTTGTCAAGTCCTCGTCCAGAAGGCGCAACAGGTATGCGAGTTGCCTATTAACCAGACTGCCTAGTCTTATTACCTCTACCACTGCAGTGACATATCTCAATTAGTCACGCGGATTCCGAGCATGTCCAGTTATAGCTGAAGAGCTCGGCGGGTTGTTCGATCGAGGGGCAAGTGGCAGAATTCTGGAACTGGAAAGCGGAGAGGAAGCCCTACAAGCAAGGCACCCCACATCCACCCCCCTTTTGGTGTATAATACCAACATGCTTATCAAGAGCGATATCACCACCGCATATTCATGTGCCCGTTCATCGAGTATCGATCAAAGCAGTGCTGTGGCGCCGTAATTGAAAGCTTTTGTAGGCAAATGGGGATATAGAACTTAAGGAAAAGATCAACTTTGGACCTGATCCCTTCATGCAAGGTCCAAAATCTTCATATCGTAGTGAAATCATGACACATCCATTTACCTCCCTTTGCACGCCATGCTACTCAGTCATCCGTGTCCAACAACTCATCTTCAACCAGTTGGGCTAATGACCCAGTGGTCAGCCAGCCACCGCAATAGAAGTGAGGGTATCTATGTGAAGACCCTCCCATTTTAGCCCAACGTCCCTTTCAATCCAGACTCTACCCTGTCAATCCCGACCGGGTTCATACTCTACTGACCAGCCCGCATGCATATATATACGGAAGGGCAAAACCCACTCGCCATCAAGTCTTGTCCACCGACCACGTCCCTCACATGACCCAACCTACCCGAGCGTCCACACGGGTGCCTTAACGAGGACCTGGCGGCCACGAACCTCGACGGCCATGAAGCCGGCGAAGCGTACCTTATTGCTGTCCTTGGGAGGTAGAGCTGCATTGCCAGCCGAGTCAGTACCAGCTTGACCACCAGTCGAAGAAGTGCTGCCCTTCCTGCTCCCGCTTCCGGGAATAAGCGAGGAGGGAGCGTTGCTGAGTAAGTTTGAAATTGTTGACATACCAGCTCTAGACTTTCGGTCCTTACCACCCTTTTCATCCTTACCGCTGTCTTCGTCATCATCAACGTCGGCATCTCCCCTGGTTTCGATGGGCGGCAATGCTGTCTTCTCCACATCCATGATGCTCGGCTGGACGGTATCAAGGGGGTGAGGATAGGTAACTGCAACATCACGGCTTTCCAGCGATAAGTTTGCTGCAATTCCCACAGCAAGCTCGACAATCATGCTAGCACTCCCGTCAACCCCAGCGGGTGGAGGTTCTGTCAAATGCTGAAATAGACTGGCTGTCAAATTGGTCGTTGCCCGCCGCGTGAAATCTGTGCGATGACTGGTAGCCTCTGCTGATGAGAGCACGCGTTGTAAACCCTCTAACGTTGCCATTCTCCAGCTAATGACCTTTGAGGTAAGAGCATCGAATTCTTCTTGGCTGTTCATGGTATAGCTGTACCGCCTGATATTGTGCTCAATTTCCTTCAGCTGCCTGCTGAGTTCCGGGTCTAGCGCAGGGTGGAAACACTGGTCAAAGATCTCATCTACGACCCATCTTGTAATTACAGCGCGGCCCACAGCGGTCATCTCCTGCTTTCCAGTTTTCAAAGCGTCGGCACTGACATATTTGTCGAGCCAGGAGGGCAATGAAACCCAATCCTTCCTGATGTTGAAGGAAAGATTATTGATTGCGCCATTAAGCCGGTTGAAACGCGTGCTGTATTCATTATCATCTAGAGCCGTGCGCGATTGGGACATCCTCTGATTGGCAACAGCATTCTGCAATTGCTCTACCTGAGTGTTAAGCTGCTCAATCTGGGTCTTGCCATCAAAGTAGAGGCGTTTAACGTTCTTGTACTTTGTCACTACTAACATGTCAGTTTGCGATCTCACATACTGCAAGCACTCTCCGAAACTTACGCAGATCCTTGAATGCTTTGTCTGACTCGGCGTCACCAGAAGGCTGCGGGCTGTTGCGACCCTCACTTTGGCCTTGGCCCTCATACGGCGGCCTTTCTTGAATGGTGCTTTGGCGATAATTGGGGTTGTTGCCAGTAGCATTCGATGGGGCTGGAGGAAGAGGGTTGTTCATATTGGTCTGTTGACTGTGCCTATAGCCTGGTGGGGGTCCGGGGGGAGGCTCAACTTGACCACTCCGGCTTTTGTTTTCTGTGTCTTGCGATCTTCTATTCGGAGGAGGTCCTCCAGGGGGCGGCGCCATTGTTTGCTGCTGCTGTTGCTGCTGTGCTTGTGTCTGTTGACCTTGTTGAGCTGGTGGCTGGCTTGGCGGTGGAACCTGTCGGCCAGTAACTCCCTGGACCTGAGCGTAATTAACGGCAGGAGTAACGGCGGGAGAGGTCTGCGCAGATTGCAGGTTGAGGGGGTTTTGATCTGGATCTGTTATGGGTGATTCACGCGACAGCTGAGAGATAGTCTCTACGTTCTGTTGCGAATTGGTGGCCAAGTGACCTGTATACACCTGCTGTTGCTGTCCGCCTGGATATTGTGCTTGCGGGGAATTGGTGGTGAATTGGTATTGCTGAGTGGCCGGATCGAAAGTGATTTGGTTGAACTGTTGCTGAAGCTCGGGCGGTATCTGACCCTGCACTTGTACGTGGCCCTGCTGGCGGTACCCGATATCGTCTGGTCCGTAAGGCGAGGTCTCGTGGTCGTTGGTATTCACACGCCGAATAGTAGATTGCTGAGCTTCGTGAGGATTCTGCAGGTGCTCGTGGTTAGATTCGTCAACTGAGTACAGATCTGTAAATTCTCCTACGCCTTGAAGGGGGGACGGCTGGGTGTGCGAGCCCTGGTGCTGCCAATCGATAGGCTGGTTCTCGAGCGAGACCTGGGACGGGCCGGTCCTAATGGCGGGCGGGTTACTCACGCGCTTCGAGGGTCTGCGAGCAAGGCCGCCGGTATTGTCGTAGTGATCGCGAGTCGATGTCGAACCACTGTTGCCGCTCAGGATGTTCCTAATAAGTCTCCGTGTGCTTCGCTTGGGCTCGGGCGGCGGGGCTTGCTGATGGTGGGGTACGCCTGGCTGACCCTGGGGGATGTTGGATGAAGCAGCCTGCAGAGCAGAGGGGAGGTCGTCGACGGAGCTTGAGGCAAAGCTGGGATGCAGCTGCTGTGGGTGTATCGGCGTCGTGACCTGAGGATAGCGTTGGGATTGTGATCTATTAACCGAGTCTGCGAAGTCTTGGGCGGCCTTCTGCTGTCTAGCGTCGAAGACGGACTGGCTGTGACCGTGCAGCGGCTGCTGATGATTGGGGTTTAGGGGAGGTTGATTACCGGCAGGGCCAAAGACATTGACACCATGCGCGGGCGGGAGAGGAGGCTGCTGCTGGCTGCTCTGAAGTTGTGGTTGTAGTTGTGTTGGAGGTCCCCTTTGATCAAAGGATTCGGTTGACGAGGCTGAAAGGGCGGGTATGCCAGCGCCGCCGGGGCCAGCGCTCTGCTGCGTCTGAATCTGACTCTGCTGACCGGCAGGAGGGGGACCAGCACCAGCAGCCGAGGGCTCAACGAGAGAGTGTTGAGACCGGTTCTGTCTGCCAGTGCGACCGAAAGGCATTATTTAGACGGTCGGGAAGGGCTTGAAGCTGCTGGCTGCTGCTGCGCTCTCGCTCGACTGCTGCTTGTTACGACGATCCAAGCAGGACGGGGGAGGCGAAGTCAGGTCGCTCCAGTCAGTCAGTAATTAGTTACAGGTCAGAGCGAAGCAAGCAAGCGGAGGAGACTTGAGGTGCAATGGGCTGGCTGGTGCTTCTCAGGATCAGCCGGGCGTCTCTTCCAGTCCCAAATGGCCCTGGGACCCCTCTTCGCAGCTTTGCAGGGGCCCGCTGCGATCCAACCTAGACCTTGGTGAGGCTGTGCTGCGTCTTGCCCCTAAGTTAACCACCCTTTCCGCTTGTGTGCAGTCGTGCTGACTCTGTGTGCCGCAAGCTCCTTTTTCCTTGTCTCTCTTCGCTTCCGTTCACAGCGTTCCGTTCAATCCTCCATTCCTAATTGGGCTCTGCCGTGGGAAGGACGGGTTGTCGTCGTCGGGAGCTCAGCGGAAAGGAATAGCCAAAGACTTGCACGCTTCGAAGTTGACTGTAGATGGGCAAATGAAGAGCACCAAGTAGGGAGCTAAGCTTACCCCGCGGTGCCACTTTGATGGCGCCTTTCCTTGGACGGAAAGGAAGTGAAGAGAGAGAGAGCTCTCCTGGACTCTGGTATGATGACGAGAATTGGAAGTTGGAAGGAAGAAGATCTGGTGGGGAGAAGAGCCGTGCGATAGGAAGGAGATCAACTGCTCCAAAGCTGCAAAAGAAGGGAAGCTGCCAATCACTTTCCTCTCCTATCGCTTTTTCTCTCTCCGCTCGCTCCTCTTCAGCCTGGCGAGGCACACAACCCGACTTTCTTGATGGAGCCCCCAAGAGGCTCCCAGCTAATTATCGGGTCCAACAGCTTTTTGCTTGTCTTTCTAGCTGTCTAGCTGTCTTACCATCATACCTATATGGCTACATCTCCTCTACCGTGCCGCCTAGCTAGGTACTCAGTTCTCGACAGCTCCACAATCTTCGGGATACTAATTGACTATCTGCCTTGTTGAGTGCAAGCCATCTACTTTAGTCTGAGGTGGCTTCAGCATTTGAACTATGAGCATCCCCGCGTGGTATGATTCTGCCACGATGTGGCAGCGTGTGCGCCGCAGGCTATTTCTGCTTGTGTTGAGTACTTGACCCGCTAGCGTTGCTTACCCATTATACCATACCTACCTAATGTAGTTTTGAACCTCTTTTTAAAGTTCAATGCCGATGCATTGTGTGCCCACCGCACTCTTGATGGCCAAGGCGCCGCTCACTTTAGTTGAGTTCATCTGAAGTGTCTTTCGTGGGGGAGCTACTCAGCAACTCACCACGGGGAGGCTTGGGGAAGCTTCTGTGGGCTCTGCCCCAAACTACAGAAAGAAAGTGGGCAAAGCTGAAAAAAACGGCGCAATGCAGGCGTGCGGTATTATGTCGCTTGCTGGATGGGGGCCCATCGGTCCATCGGTGCTTCGTTTCTTCAACAGCAACGTAGCTTCACGACGGATTCTGGTGCTGCATTCCGCATCAAGTTCTGCAATGCACCTCTCCAATATCTCACTCTCGACGGTGATGAATCTGTTGGGATCGACGAACACCAAGAGGTGCAATGCAGTCTTCCAAGCTAGGTGGCCCCCCCAGACCAGCTTGCATCATCCATGGTACGAAGTAGCCCACAGTTGGGGTATTTGGTTGCAGCAAAGTGGAGGAAGCTAGCATTCCCACAGCCGCCTCTAAATATAGCAGCGGCTGGTCCTGCCAGCGAATCTTGGCGTCCGATGGGGTCCCCCTTCGCTTTGTCGGGTGTCACCGAGGGTCGCATTGGAGAGTGGCAGGTGTCGAAGTGTCTCGCCTTTGACCTCTCCATATTATTGCTGTCCTGCATGCTTCTCGAACGTCCTTCTTTCCACCCCAGTTCTGCAAATCCGACAAGCAAGACCGGGTTGCGAACCCATGATGGATTCAACGAGTACGCGCATATCTGACAGGTGAGGAAAAGGTGTGGTCAGAACCCAAATGCCGAATAAGCACCGCGATACACTGATCGCTGTTACTCTTTGAGACAACAAGCATAGTCCGAGCCACCGTAATAGGCTCGCTGTTCGCGAATAGAGCCGCTTGTCGGGCGATCATCCATCAGGAAAGGCCGAGGCATCTCATTTCATCTCAATCAGCCGTGACGGCATCATTTGAGGCGGTTTACGTGGCTATCATTATCTTCAGTCGGTGAGACATACTATAAGCACCTTCCCAGAGTGGAATTTGACAGCGGAGGGCATTCCGCTCCCAGTATTCTGGGTCGCTGGAAAGGGGAAAGGTATCACAGACGTCATGGCGGCCGCCGCTGCTCAGACGACTTTGCTGACTGCGCGCTTGCGGCTCGTTCCTCTTGCAGAAGAACATCTTGAGTTCGAGGTGGCTTTAGATGCAGATCCAGATGTGATGCGCTTTCTTGATGTGCAACCCCGTACTCGTGAGCAAGTCGAGGAGAAGCACGCCCAAAGACTCGCCGTAGCCAAGTGTGTTCCTGGTCTAGGCTTCTGGGCGGGCTTCAATCTCGACGACAAGTTTGTAGGTTGGTGGATACTGGCACCCCCCGACAGACCGGATCAAGGCCCGCTGGAAGGCCAAGCCGAGCTTGGATATCGACTGCTGCCTCAGTTTTGGCGGCAAGGTCTTGCTAAAGAGGGCGCACAAGAGCTGATGCGGTATGGCTTCGAGAACATGGACCTAGGAAGGATCTTTGGGGAAACAATGGCCATTAACGTGCCCTCCCGGAAGACAATGGAGTCTTTGGGGATGCACTATACGCGCACACTCTTTGACCTGCACTTCGAGGGCGTCATCCCCGGCAGTGAACAAGGGGAGGTCGAGTACGCTATCACCAAAGACGAGTGGTATGCTCGAGGACGACCACCGCCATGAGGGTAACTGCGTAGGTACTAGCCAGTTTGCATTGGCATACTTTGTACTATTAGGAGTATACCTCGAGAGTCCAGCCATGCTTGAAGAAGGCGCCTATCTCTCTATGTTTTCGGAGCCATAAATTAGACGATGTAGTCCAGATATTCTTCTACCGCAGTCATGACGCGAAGATATGCTTCATATCTCTTCGTCTCGCTTTGTTAGATAGCCTTGGTGCTTTAATGAGGCAATTTGGTTTGGCACAGGGTGGAGCCACAGGTGCCACCTGCGTGCGGTATTCAAATGGCTCAAAAGCATTACGGACTTGAAAGTGAACCCGATGATCTTAATACCCACTTCCAGATGAGTCTTCACACAATCTATATATCTCATTTGGACATAGATCTCAGCTTGAGAAGGATTGCTCGGTGAACTTGACGAGTCGAGCAGCTGCTGCAGCAGAGCCAGTCCCTCTTCTTCATCTTTTAAAGATTCTATCAACTTGTGCTTCAACCCAGGGGACTTCACCAAAGTGTCAAAGGATGTATTTCGCAGATCTCGTTAGTATTTATGTGATTACCCTAACAAATTGTGAGGACATGGTTGTCCAATGACAAATTTAATGCTCTCAGGATTACACACACGTAGTGTACTATAGAGTATCAACAGTTATGATGAAGCGTGTATGATAATACAAGTAGTGGCTCGAATCCTCCTTGTCAGCAGGTCCATCCTTACTCAGTGGCAGTTACGACGGTCTTGTTTAGCTGGAATCAGTTCTGACATCAGGGGCTTGGCACACGAATTTGAGGCTATCAAGTAAATGTGGGTCGTTAGGGTATTCAATAGATTGCGCAATGCTTTCCAGTGATCACTAGATCCATTTGTACAGACCCACCTCTGAAGTTGATCTAGGTTTGTCGATGATTTCAAAGATGAGGATATCTAACTCATAAGGGTGTAATGGGAACTAGAACTGTGAATTAAGCATATTTGTTCGACATGTGAAAGACATTCATGAACCGTTGATGGATCCCAGCCGAGCGCTGTGAGTGAGGCCAAGCGACTTACTAAACCGCCCCACCTAGAAGCGATTACGATCCTCGTTGCGGATCCTTCTCTGCCTGTATTGTGAGCGATCTCCGACCTAATACCCCTGAAAACTTATCAGCTGTGGAGTGGGTGCGGATGATGCCCACGCGGCTTCCCCCAGAGGGGAGGCCATCGGGTGCTATAGTGGCTCGGGAGGGCCCTAACGTGTAGATTCCATTCTTCTTTCGTTAGATTCTGGAAAACGTGCCATTCTTCAAGTCGAGGAGAGTCTCCCTCGCAGCCAGTTCTTTTCAGAGATCTGGTGCGCACCGAGTCAGTCGATATGGGGCTAGCGGTCGGGATGTCTGATCACCTTGGCTCAAGCCGGCGGACCAAATTCCTGATCCTTGCGCTAATAGCCTCACTATCTTCGATATGGTTTCTATGTAGGACATATGACTTCATCCCAAGGGTAGGTGTAAACCTTCAAAATCTCAGATTTCGATGCGGAATAATAAGGTCTAATATTATCAGGTCACGGCTACCGCTCCGGCCGCCAACGTCCCGGAACCGAATACTGTTACATCGGACGAAACAAATAATGGCACAGTATACGCCGAAGAACCTGTCTCCGCAGAGGTCGTTCCGGAGCCTGTGTTCCCGGATAATGTCGCCGTGATTATTGAGACCAACCCCGACTCGGTGGACAACCTGGTTCCGATAATGATGCACTTTTCGAATGTGCTTGGATCGCAGTGGCCAATTATTCTCTACACCCTCGAGGAGAACTGGAATCAACCCTCCTCGGTATTATTCTCCAAGGCCATCGACTCGGAGCGCATCCAAGTCCGGTTTTTACCCAACGGCACTGAGTTCGAAGGCCACTATTCTTTATCAGTATTTATGACGCAGCCTTGGATATGGGAACAACTTGAGTCAGCACAGCGAGTCCTTTTCTTCCAACCCGACAGTATTATTTGTTCGAATGCGGAAGTGTCAATCGAAGATTTTCTAGAATGGGATCTGATAGGGGCCCCAATAGATCCGCAATTCGGCCAAGGATACAACGGTGGCTTGACTTTGAGAAATCCCAAAGCAATGCTAGAGCTAGTCCGTCAAAAGAGTTTCCAGGACGACTTGTCGGGCGGTGGTCCGGAGAACGTATTCGAAGATCAGTGGTTCTACGTCAAGCTTAAAGAGCGAGGAGCAAAACTCCCTGATGTGGATGTTGCGAAGACCTTCTCGGTCGAAACAATATACTACGAGAAACCCTTTGGCTACCACCAGCCGATGAGGTGGCAGGAAGCTCGCATGGATGACATCAAGCAGTGGTGTCCGGAAGTGGGAATGCTGATTGGAAGGCGGTTCTCTTAACTCAATATGTACAGCATTGTTTCCATGGCGATATGGCTCATTTCTTTATACGAGGTGTACAATTAGCTTCGATTTCAAATCGGCGTTTGGGGTTAAGAGACGGTAAGGAGCATTCCGATAGCAACTTAATTTTGCAAACAATATGAGTAGTGATGTTGTGTTTCTTCGGAGACCCCAGGTGATTAGGCTAACATGGAATCTCTGTCTCGGATGCTCACATGCACGCTCATGCGGCCATTCAGGGGAGCAGCCGTTGTCATTGCACGTGGCGTGTGGTTGGACCTCTTTAGGTATTATTTCGGGGTATCACCGAATGGCGTGGTGAGGATGACAATCCGAAGGTGATTTCTACGATAGTCTAAGCTACACCGAGACGATGGAATCGTGGGCGATCTATCCGTGCAAAACCAAGCAATCGAATTGTGGTGCTAAAGGGGTACTCACCTTAACTTTAGATGATGACAGCCATTTAATCTCAGCAATTGATATTTACTAAGCGTATTTGAAGTCGGCCTCAAGATGAAATGCTTGTCATATGAGTAGGGTACAAGATTGCGGCTTAGTATTGGAACTGTCCAAAAAAGAACGAAGAAAGGAGAAAAGAAAAACCACCAGAACGAGCCTCCTGCTGAAACGCTCAATCCCAAAATAGGCCTAATAATGAACCATCATTGACTGAATAGGGCATGCCTCTTCCCGTCACTCGTCAGGAATATTAGGTTGATCGCTGCTTTGGAGAGAGACACGAAACCTCTTTCAGCTCCTATCTGTGGTCTGCCGGTCCGCGGACTAGGTTCCATGTGGGAGCCCGCTCCACAAATCACCCAGTACCATGTCGCGCAACATGACGAAAATCGAAATGACGATCGCGTGGTTTTGAGACCTTGATAATGGTGTACTGTATGTCCACCGGGACTCGAGTTGAGCAAACCAGGCTCACCCGTGGCCGGCGACGATATCTGATCAGAACGCCACACGAGCAAGCCGAGGGAGCTCAGAATATGATATGGTCTCTCACGAAATCAGAAACATTTTTAGATTGATATTAATTCCGACCTGAGACACTTGTGCCTCGCTACCTGTTGAGTCACTTACACGCTTTGTGAATCACGACCCTGTTGTCTCACTCGCATCGCTGTCTTGCTGGGTTGACTATGTATAGCTCTGTGAGACTACCTTCTGTTTGTCAAGCTAGACCTAGCTGGGATTTTCAATGTTTGCACAATACTTCAATGCTTCTAGAATATTCAATAACATATGGGAGCTTGGGAAGATCTCAGGAGCAACACATACGGTCAATTCAATTGAAAGATAACCAACTCAAATTGAGTCAATCAAATAATTGAATGAGACCACGTGAGATAACGACAATCCAATTCCTTCAAATTAATCTCCAGCATTCAGGTTACCAAGGTTAGTCGTGACTAACAGCGCTGGCAAAGACGGTTGTGTCACGATCGAGCATCCGAATTGCGGCAAGAACGAACGAAGGACCCCTGCTGCGCAAATATCTAACTCAATGACGTCTACCAATTACCTTAGAAATCTGCGCAGAAGCCCTCATCTTTCTTCCTCTTCTGTCTCCTATTCCCGTATCCCAGGTCTATTGTAACCACGGGTTCGTATTTTTGTGCCGTGGAGCAGGGGAGTTCGCCCATCTTCAAGCAGAGGTCCGTCGATGACATCGGCTTCCTGCATCCTTGCCTCGACGCTTTGGGCGTGTTCTCGACAAACCTACGACGGACGCCCGAGAAACAACCGTGACACATGATTGCATTTGTGTGTGATTGGGGATCCCTTCAGCTTCCGATACCCTTCATTGTGACTCTTCATTGTGTCTACAGCTGACGAGATTCGATAGCCATAAATCCCTGGCAGCTCCGCCCATCTCGAAAAAGATCGCGAGCAACTATTCAGTCTCTGATCTAGGACTTTTACCATCAAGAGCAACTCCTGCCGAAGATTCCGATTATTGAACCAAGATGCCTACCTCAACAATATTGATGTTGATGCACTTCTCCTTGGTGGCATCCGCTTTTGACAGCTTTGGGCCAATAGGTCGAAGAGCAGATCGTCGAGCAGTGGGATTCATATCAGTTGCTGATGCCCAATTCGACTTCAAAGACTACGAGCTGACGCATGTTTGCTTCGACTGCTCGCGTCCAAACCCTGACGAGATGTACAACTGCACGTTAAAGTTCAATTGGTATGACCCAAACGCAAAGCTCGAGAATAACGTCACCAGTTGTTCATGCTCGACATCCTGGAACTGGGATGGAGTGGCCACGAGCCAGGGCCCACGGAACGACTACGACATTGATACATACAACATCTGTTTCCGGGGACCAGAGACATTTTTCGAGATGAAGGTCACCAGGTTCGCGCACGAGAAATTCTCTCTAAATATGGCACATCGATACAAGGATTCCCAGTAGGCGAACCTATACAACACCCTAAGCTTATAAACTGGAGAGCCATAGCTGACGATTTCAAAGTAATTTTACACCGCCTTGGATTTATCCTACTACGTTCGCGACGCCCAATTTTAGTCTGCCGCTTCTCAGCAAAGATGAAGAAGGAATGACGTATTACCACGCAGGGCCAATACCTGCCCAGATAACCCAGCTTACCGATTGAAGCTCCATGAAATATTCATTTTGGTTCTTCCTCTGCCCATAGTCTCTCGGGTTTCGTGGTGCCCTTTGGTTTTGTTGGCAAGTCCAGCGAGTATGTTTTACATGAGATAGATCGAGATTACTAGAGAACGGTGGCTGGCTGAATTGGTGTTTGGAGATAAGGGGCTGTCACTAACTTCCAGCTGAAGGGGTTGGTAGGAGAGTACAACAGAAAACAGTCTGGAGGACGTTAACACTGGGGGTTCTTTGACAAGGAGAGTCGCGAGTAATTAGATGTATGGATTATTAACCTGCTTTGACCGAATGCCGGTATCAAGTCACAATAGTTGCCGAGTGGAGTGGACAGTTTGCGTATAACGAAGGGGTGCGGTCATGTAAACTTGGAGCCGCTTGTGTGGCTGCCGGTCGGCTGCCGTTTGTGGAGTGCGGTAGTCTTCTGCCGCCCGCCAACGGCTGCTACCACACTTAATTTTGTGCATGAACAAAGCACGGCAGATATTCAGATAAAGTAATAGGTCACAGTATTGGATAAGAGTGACGGAGCCGTACCTTTTCGGCAGGAAGAGATTGCAATCCAAAAGCGGAACCTCTATTCGGCGCGCTTGCAAGCATGATGGGGATCGTCCGCCGCCCCATATTGCTTAGATCAAAAAGAGACGTGATATTCAGATATCCAAAAGCCAAATAGTACTAAGCCAGCGTTCCAAGAAACTGCAAGGGAGGACTCATCGGTATAAATAGGTCATGGGGCACCAGCGGTTGCTTGGACCATGGAAATGGAATGCGTGCAACCCAAATGAGTTTGCGTGCGCCGAGAAAGACAGGTTTAAAGTGTGCAACATGCTCTTTGAGTAAAACGGTCATGTTCGTAATGACTTGGTTGGACCGGAAGCTTAACGATATCGTCGATTAAACCTAGGTGTTGTCTTCATCGTAGTCGTCAATTCTCTCAAGCCGAACTTCTCTCTCGCGTACGATTCTTGACTTCCTTCAGCTGAATCGATTGACTCCGGTATAGTCGTTCTTTCTGGCTACCTTCTAACCTTGCAATATGCGCTCCTTACTCCTATTTGCGGGAGTGGCCCACGCGGCTGTGATGCGAGTCGCCCTCCCTGGAAACGTATACATTGCCAGCACGCCAGACTCAGAAGAGCAAATGACACTGCAGGTTGGCTTAAAGCTACAGAATATTGACCAGCTCGAGGCCAAGCTGAAAGCAGTATCTGACCCCACAAGTCCAGATTATGGGAGATATCTAGATGCTGCTGAGGTCAACGCTATCTTCAGTCCGGCTAATGACTCTCGAGTTGCTGTGCACAACTGGCTGAGGAAAGCTGGTGTGTCTGAGATTGCTGATTTTGGCTCCTACATCAACTTCGCTGCAAGTATCGGCACAGCAAACAGATTACTTGGCTCCTCGTTTCACTGTGAGCATATCTGATCAGTAGCCATGTTTGATAGCTTAGAGATACTGACCATGGCCAGACTTCATGGTGGAGGGCGTGCAAAAATTGCGCACTCTAGAATACTCAATTCCGATTGAACTGGATAAGCATGTTGAACTTGTCTCTCCAACTACCTTTTTTGGCAAGACAAAGACTCATGCAGTCTTTCCCCCTCGAGAGATGGTAGACGGCATAACGAGTCGCCAAACTGCAAACAAGACCCTGAACTGTCTCAGGCTGATCGAGCCTGGCTGCTTGGAGGAGATGTACAACTATGGCAACTACAAGCCTAGTTCGCCTTCTAAAAGCCGCGTTGGGTTTGGAAGCTTCTTGAACCAGTCCGCCCGTCAGGAAGATTTGTCAAAGTACCAGCGTGACTATGAGCTACCACTGACGAACTTTAGTGTGACTCTCATCAACGGGGGCGAGGACCACCAAGATCCTCGTGGAGATATTGGGGAGGCTAACCTAGATTCTCAATTCATGTCAGCGGTAACAAAATCATTACCATTGACACAGTTCATCACTGGCGGCTCGCCGTAAGTTAGTTAACGAATGCTGTGTACACATGACTAATATTTGCAGGCCATTCGTTCCCAATCTACAAATTCCAGATGAAGCATCAAACACGAACGAGCCTTATCTGGAATATTACCATTATTTGATGAATGTGACCAATGAAGCTCTGCCTCAAGTCATATCAAACTCGTACGGCGACGACGAGCAAGTCAGTTCAAACAAATAGTAGTTAAGCATGTGCTGCTCGTCTTGCTAACACTATAGTAGACCGTACCCCAAGAATATGCCACTCGTGTTTGCAATCTCATTGGTATGATGGGTTTGCGCGGTATCACAGTCCTAGAATCTTCAGGAGATGCAGGCGTTGGCGCTCCTTGTCGATCTAACGACGGCAAGGACAGTCCGGAGTTCACGCCTCAGTTTCCTGCCACATGCCCCTACATAACAGGTGTAGGGGGCACGCAAGCGTATAAGCCGGAGGTGGCCTGGATGGGCAGTGGTGGAGGTTTCTCCAACTACTTCCCTACCCCGTGGTACCAAAAGGAAGCTGTCTCCAGTTACCTAAATCAGTACATTAGCAACGCAACGAGGACATATTACGAGCCGTATGCAAATTTCTCTGGTCGTGGCTTTCCAGACATCTCGGCTCACAGCCTATCTCCCCCGTAAGTTCTCACCTTTCACGTTTTGTTTTCGTGTAAGGAGCTGAGCTCACAATGTCGAATAGGTACTACTATGTCAAATCTGGGGCTGGTGGTTACACTGGTGGCACTTCTGCCGCCTCACCTGTAGTCGCTGGTATCATTGCTCTCCTGAATGATGCTCGACTAAAGGCAGGCCAGCCGACAATGGGATTCATCAATCCTTGGCTGTACAGTACGGGAGTCAAGGGATTGACAGACGTGACAAGTGGCAAAGCCACTGGCTGCACCGGGACCAATTTTCAGACCGGACAAACTGTTAGCGGAGGCGCTGTGATTCCGTACGCATCGTGGAATGGGACCACAGGCTGGGACCCTGTGACTGGTCTGGGAATGCCGAACTTTGCGGAGTTGGTGAAGTTGCTGGGGGGACCTGCTAGCAGTTGAGGCATGAAGAAGGGCAGTTACTGTATTGGAATAAATGATGGTGCAATACTGCCTTAGGCATACCATACAACAGGCCAGGTGTAGTAACAGTAAAGATCGCGAAAGCATGACGGCCATGCACAAAGAACCATTGTGACTTGGAATGTCTCTTTATTGACTTTTCCGTCTAATCTCACATAACTATGTACAGCTTGCTTCACATCTATCTTCATAGAGGAGGCTCGGGTCGTGATAGGGGTGGCTCAGCCCCAGCTCCCTCGACATCGGTCAAGGGGTATGATGTTTGGGGCAGAGACTCAAGGTGTTTTCTGTGATGCTCATTTGCCTTACTATGTTAGCAATAGCCACCAAAATAACGGGACAGGTTGTGCATACGAAAGGCAGTCCGCAGTAATTGCAGGTGGCAATCTCGGGTTTGTCCGTATTGATAAAGATCCTCGGGTGTCCAGCCGGACCGCCGCCACCGTCGCATGACACTATACGGTCATGTGTCCAGCGAACTGGCTGCTTGTGAATGAGTTCGATAGCTGCGAAGGGTTGAGGCTGTAGAGCCGGTGGAATTAGCAATGTGGTCTCAGGACAAGTCTACACAATGCAGGCGGCACATACCTGAAGGTCGAAGTCCGTTTGCTCGAACCGCGGGCCCACCATCGCCTGGGTTCGGGGCTTTTGGTTTCTGGACCATATCCCGGCTCGATTGGGTGCCTGTGCGACTTCTGCGGGAGGTTGACCGTCCAGCTTGGGGATGGGGGAGCTCGTGTCTGGCTTGGGCGTGACGGCCTTGCTAGCGTCCAATTGATGCGCCGTTGCGGTAAATGTTCGCCGCGAGGCCCGTAGGCTCTGCGACAAATGCCGTACTGTCCTGAACCGTGCCGCCGACATTATGTAGCCCGCTGATGTGGAGGAATTGAAGGGGAGGTTTCAATGCCGGATGGATGTCCTTGGTGTTTAAGCTCTCGTACTGGGATCCTGAGACCCGGAAGGTGGCGGACAAAAGAATCCCCATCTCCGAAATATTTTTGGGAGCAGGAGCTCCAAGCTATCTGCGAATAACTGGCGATTTATTTACAACAAAGTCGTTCCATCCACATCTGACTGCCACTTGACTGTTATGCGCAAGTTGCCTTGACTTGTCTTCCTATTTGAGAGACAGACTTGCGTTTCAGGCGCCAACATCTAACCACGGATCAACATTCTGTGGATGCGACCAGCTTGTGAGAGCCTAGGTATATACCGTCGCGCGACTTTTAGCTCATCGAGTCCCGACCGTAAACTTGCACTTGAAAACTCTCGTCTATCAAGATGGCGACACAGACCCCAAAAGGTCAGCCTTCGGCTAGGCTGCTGACTATGAAGTTCATGCAGCGAGCAGCTGCAACTGGGTCATCACCGACGACACCTAAATCCGAGGATGAGCATTCCGCAAAGCGCCGTAGAACGTCTGGGAAGGTGTCTCCTACCACCCCTAGCGCTCCGCTTTTCGATCAGAAAGCTGTTCAGGCTGCGCTTGAGGAAGAAGAGCGAAAGCGACAGGCTGCTTTAGAGAGACAGGCCATAGAGCTCGGAGACTCGCGATGGGTTTTGGATGTCCAAATACCTACCTCGAAGAGCAGCGTAGCTGCTCAGACTCCCCTCAACATTGTGCAAGTAGGATTTGCTCAGATTGATTCTTCAGACACACCGGAAGACACGACAGGTCAGGTATCAGGAACGAAATCATTCGGTCCGAAGTCGAAGAAGCGAAATCACACCGAGGTATGTCTCCTGTTTGTACAGCATCTTCAGTGCAAGTGTTTGGACATTTATGCATGAACTACAGGCTAACTGGCTGCTAGACAAGTGACAAAGACACTCGCTCAGACAGCGATTCCTCCAGTTCGAGTGATGAAGATTCAAACGACGACACATCCCCAGTGCGAGATGGTCGCCGGGAGCAGGATCAACAAGCTCGCGACCTTGGCCAGCGTGATCCGAGGCGGGTAAAGTCCGATTTGAAGCACAGGCAACGTGAGGAGCAGACGAGAGCGCAACAATTCGCGGAGAAACGGCGAAAAAAGGACGTCAAGTTGAACAAATTGACATCCATCTCTTCTGCCGGCGGGTCTTCTCAGTCTGACTGGCTCTCCAGGATTACATGCCATGCATGTGGCAAGACGGGCCACAAGGCTAGTGACTGCCCGAACAAACGTTCGCGATGATTTCATCTTACTTGACTATGTTTTCACATGTATTACGGCCATAGCTGTGGCTATTCAAGTTTCTCTTGTGGAGCAAGTGCTCTTTGCCATCGCAGATATACTCCGTCGCGATATAGGCGATTTGCATACGCGCTTTTTGTGGAGAGGCAGCTTGCTATAGACAAAGCCTTGACCTGCTGCGCCCATCCTCAGGGGCAGTGCTCGAAAGGAGATTTAATTAACCCAGGGGCAGAGACGGACCGTTCTTCATGTCCATTAATCCGAAGCAATGCGTCACGGCTTTGCCGGTTTCGTGGCAAGGATGAACTGTGGGTGGAACTGTTGCGTTGAGAAGACCTTGATAGTCGCAAGCCTTCCTCCGGGAGGTTTTGCAACAGGGCGAGGTACTGGTGCGCATAAGAACGGCCTAAGGGAAGAATCCCAGCGTTGAAGGACATTTTCCTGCCGCTCTTACGGCTTCATGGAGGAGGCTGGTTAGCGATGCGCACACTATATGTGGCTCGGAATCACAGTCCTTGGTGACACCCAAGGACTGCTTTGATTTGGCTGTATCGCAATCGTTAGGCAAGGAATCGGGAGGTCCCCAGTTTTATATCAAGGTCACAGGCAGAAATGGGAAAGAACCGTGCATTGCAGCCGCCGAGAGTCCAGCCGAAGACCGAATGTGACGCGGGAGAGGTGCCGCGCCGTCTTATTTCTTCGGGTAAAAGAGTCAAAACCTGGCCTGGCTGTTTTGGTTTTCCGAGGTAGTGGTCCGCGGGAGACCTTCTTATTCCCACTTCATACCCTACAGGGCTTGCTCGAAGCGTCTACATTTGGAAACCGGTGAAGTGAACCTGACGTCTGTATGATAGCCAATTTGGCAAGATAGTTCAAATGGAAACTACAGCCCAATCCGGCGTTTTACTTTCCAGATAGGACATGTTTTGCCCCCAAATTTGTAAATATGGCTATTTCCAGTGGTAAGAATTGTTACCTTTCAATATGCCGTCTGTCAAGGGTTACTGATATACGTAGCTGTGTAAATGTGGTGCTGAGGCACTATTGTGAGCGTAATAGTATGGCTGATGGGAAGAGTATGGCCTTTGGAAGAATGGACAATACGTGGACTTTCACGAAGAATTGCTCTGACCTTGTCAACCCCAGTGACATTTGTCGCCTCGTGCTAGTTAGACCTCGATCATAGGATAAATTCTCAGTTGTCTTCCCACCTGCATCCTCGAAATTTCTACTCTTTCTAATTGATAGTTGTCTTTCGGAGATAGGGGCCATCACATGTAACAAGAGTTTTTCCTGTACAAACACGGCGAGATCAACGACAGACTTGCATGAAGAAGGGTTTCTTTCGTCTATTCCCGCTTCCAAACTCGGCGTTCTGCAGTTGAGTGCAGGCTTTAGATGCATTCACACTTATCAGCCGAAAGCTGGTTCGACCCACAGAATTAGCCAGCCGCACCTAAGGGGAGCACCAGGGTCGCAGCAAGAGAAATGCACATGATTGCATCGTCTACAAACGTCGTCCTTCACAGGCCGACGGGCGTCTCAGTGTTACACCGGTCCTTATGCTTGCTAGTAAAGACAATTTCCAAGTCCTCGGCTCCCGAGGACTTCGAAGCGCCCAACTGTATGGGATGGGATATACGCCGATCTCTTGCGTGTTAGTGTTGGCCTGTCCGTTGCGGCAATACCGGGAAGCTAAAGCAGGGGTGCATCTAGAGTATGATCTGGGGTAGAATGAATGAAAATCCACCCTTGTTTGTCTATGGCGCTGGCAGCTTCGCGTCTCACGGCCAATTCCTACAAGCGTAAATTTGCATTGACGATATTGTTCTCCTCTCGCGGGATCTGGCTAATTGATACGAATCGTGGTGCAGCGAGCTGGCAAAAGCATCATCTTGCCCGTCACCCCCTGAAGCGAACATTAGGGATGGGGCAGGGGAACCCCGGAATCTATATGATAGTGCACCTTCCCGCTGTTTCTGGCCGGATTAGGACCTTTTTGCTATAATCAATCGACAGGACAATAACAAGACGATCTTCAATTCGCCGAGTCGTGCTAGAGGAGCCTCCGGCGGCCTGCTTCACAATCCCTCCAGAGGAAAAGGGGTTGAGGGCTATTCTGCAAGCGAGCTGCATTGTATACCAAGCATCCGCGAAAGGAAGTCGTCGACCGACATAAGGACTCAAGTTCGTGTTAATACATTGCATATGGCAAGTCTGGCCGAAAAGAACACACGACAACTCGTCATCGGCGCGGAGGGCCGGCTTATTATGCCGTCACCAAGTAGAGGATGAATGTCAAGGCCTCGCGATGTGGATCATGAAGATCAGAGAAGACCTTTTCCGTTCCCCTGGAGACGTAAGAGGTCGTCGAAGCCGAAGAACCCAGCCCCTAGGGTTTTTTTACAGCGGATGGGTCCCGGCAGCTGAAATCTGACCGCTCCGGGCACCCTTGTTGAAGCTTTGGAAGCACATGGCGTCTGTATGTAAGTAATCAGCCTAGTTCACGTCAGCTAAGAGCAGGGGACGCCTGCGTTAGCGCTAGAATTACGAGTCAATCCGATACCGAAGCCTCATGAAGTGATAGTGTCGTCTTCCACGACGCAGTACACTACCCAATCTGTCTACTCTACAGTGGTGGTGTATGTAGTGCTCAGAGACCACCCATCCCCGTGCCACAGGAATGGTCGCTGTCATGTCATAGTATGACCCGAGAGATCAAATCCCAGACGAAAGCCGGGGGCGCCTCGACGCCATGTTCCCATCCCACGCTTATTACGCCATACCGTGGATACCTAGGGGAAGGCTGTGGAATCGCACCGGACGCTTCGAGTGGGTGTATTTGCTGTGTATGCGCGCGACGGTGAAAGACAAAGGCAAGCACAAGCACCAGCACCAGCACAAGCCAATGGAGATGGGCCAAATGGTCCTCCGGCGGCTTTGTAGCAAAGAGAGTCGTGAAACTGCCGTCAGTCTGCAGCCAACATGTGAAATCCATCGGTAGACTACATGACATGGCCCTGGGCGGGCGGCACGGAAGTCGTGATGCGGCCCTTGTTGGCGCCCTGGTCCATTTCATGTTGAGTGCTCCGACCCTACCCTTGTAGTGTACAGAAGTATACAGTCCACTCAGTGATGATGACAAGAGGATCCTGTTCATGGGGGTGTCCTTGCCGTGCGCTGCCCTTGCCTGCCTTGCCTGGTGGCCTGGACAGCGTGCGTGTGGTATTGGCAGGTCTGGCATGGTGCGGTGCGGGTGCGCGTTTCATGGCCCCCAGTCTTTTCCAGTGTCCCAGTCGGCATGGACGAGAGCCGCCTACCTAAGTACCATGCTGCCGGAATCACAACCCGCCCAATAAAAGCCTGACAACATCCACCGCACTATGTATGTATGTATGTATGTACTGCGCGGTATGGAGGTGTAGACCCGACCTCGAGGCTTCAGTTTGGGCGATGCTCACTGGCCCCCGACCATCCTGGCTAGTAGGCAGTCTTTGCTGTATGAACTGTACTGTACTGTGTCGTGTCTAGCTAGCATAGGGATGGATGTACGGAGGTAGGTAGGTAACTAAGGATATGTATGTAATAGCGCCTACAGTCCAAATTGTCCAATCCAGTCCAATCCAATCCAATCTTGCAAGGTCTGCTTTGCAGAATTGGGACGACTTGCCGTAGAAATCATTCGTTTCCCGTAGAGCCCGGCAATCTTTTAATTTTAATCTCCTACCTCGCCTTACCTTAACCTGCCTACCTGCTTGCCTCACTAATAACCTCTTCACCTCGTCAAGACTCGACCACTCACGCTACCGAGCCGGACCCCGGCCTTGTCTCGCCTCGCCTTGTCCAGGAAACAACACGACCGTTAATTACCACCATCTTTTTATCAACGTCAACAACACCAGAAACACCCACCCCCTCCCACACCGGCAACCTTTGGTCTGGGTACTCTGGTAGTTGTAGTGGTGACTTGGACCTTGCGGCATAACTCACTGACATCAAAACGTTCTTGATACCGTGTGGGATTGAACCCAGAGTATAGGGGACAAAGTCTTGCCATCAGACCGGAGGGGACCGTTGAAACTCATCCGCCGTTCCTTTGTGGTCGCCTACCAGCCGAGTCCGCAATCCTCGCGCACCCAATGCGGCACATCTCCACTCGCGAGTGAAGGATTTGATATTGCAATCGCATCTTGCAGACCCTGGTAAGTCTGGCCCCAACCGCATCTGCTTTTTCCATTCTCTGGGCCACGTCTGTAGGTTGGCAGTCTCCTTTTCACCTATTACTTTCACTCTGAGAAGACAAGGCGGTGAGCAGCACGACTCGGGCATGTCTTGGGCTCAACATCTTTGCAATGCAAGCACACGTCCAATCTGATCGTGCCGGGTTTAGCTTCATGTTTGACTGCCGGCCCCACGATTCAGACAAGACAGAAAGAGAGAGAGAGAGAGAGAGAGAGACTAGAGAGAGGACAAAGTCTCCGTCTTGTCACCGCCAACCAGACCAGAAATCCCTCTTCATACTGTGCCTGCATCATTCTCTCCCGTACCCCGACCCAATTCGAACCTGTCCCATCAACTCGCTCACTCGTTCACTCATTTCTGTCCTACTACCTCCCTTTAAGACCGCCATATCTCGTGTGACTTGCCATATCTTAACCCACCACACTTATTGATGCCCAGTCTAATTCCCGAAATCCCTTGGGCGCCCTCACCTTGCAGGTACTTAACGTTAATACTCGTTCTATAGCGAAGGATCCCTTCTCTTCCCTTGCTTCCCTCGGTCTGGCTCGTTTCGTTTGCACCTTCCCGAAGGGCGGAGACGGCATCCGGACAGACAGACAATCAGGGCTGAGACTTGTATCGGGACGTGACATCAGGCTTCAGGAGAGGAAGGCAAAGCTCGCAACGCTAGTCCCCTGGGCCTCCTTTTCCTTGTTCCCGACCCTCCCGTACGTCTTGCATCTATCTATATATCATATATAGGGTAGCAAGCACGGCGGAAGATTTCTACTTGCGGCGAGCGAGGACTGGGCTACTGTCCAGACTTCGATGATCCAACCTGGTCCTACCTTCTCAGCATTCATCAGCAACGGATGTGTCGCTGCTGGTGCTGGTGCTGGACTTCGGACTAATAAGTGCTTACTCGCCTCACCAATCAAGCGTTCAGCTGTATTTCAGTGCCACCACCAACAACCACAACAACACCAGGCCTGGAGACAGCACCACCACAAAGCGCTCGGTCACGGTTTCACGCCCAGCGGACGTGCCATTTCCCACGATCCCGAGTCCGTGGTAACCTTCAGGACCCGGCCTAGCTCCTCTAGCATTCCTATAGCGTCTCCACATATCCGCACAGACCCTACATCACTCTCGTCCTATCTCTGCTGCTGGACGACATCTGGAGACCACGTCTCCCCGCTTCTTTCGTTGCCGTGGGCTATTCAGCTGACTCGTCCATCTTGTTCTTCGAGTTTCCTTCGGTCTGCCCAAAGGAGACGTTCGCTGTTGGCCATCTCTGCGGACGCGTCGAGCCTCAGAGTGAGACATTGCTTCTCGACGATGCCCCGCTCTCCGTTGCGCAACCCCGCGACGACGCCAGCCAAGATGCCGATACGTGAGCAGGAGCTACGGCGACCCGTGGAACGGGTAACCGACCAGCTGGAAACCCCGTCTCTGGACGACCGGGACTACCGCGTCGTACGGCTGCCCAACCAGCTCGAGGTCCTGCTCGTCCATGACCCGGAGACGGACAAGGCGAGCGCGTCCATGGACGTCAATGTCGGAAACTTCAGCGATGAGGTAGACATGCCGGGCATGGCACATGCTGTGGAACATGTAGGTCCCGTAAATCCTCGAGCCCCTCCCGTGCTATGCTGATACCTCACGCTCTAAAGCTTCTGTTCATGGGCACCAAGAAGTATCCAGAAGAGAATGCGTACTCCCAGTATCTCTCCTCCAACTCTGGTAGCTCTAATGCCTACACTGGGGCAACATCCACCAACTACTACTTTGAGGTGGCTGGTAGGCCAAAGGATGACAAGGAACCATCGGCTAGCAATCCTTCCCCCTTGAAGGGAGCCCTCGACCGTTTTGCCCAGTTTTTCGTCGAGCCACTATTCCTCGCATCGACCTTGGACCGCGAGCTTCGAGCAGTAGACTCCGAAAATAAGAAGAATCTCCAGAGTGACCAATGGCGTTTACACCAGCTCGAAAAATCGCTTTCGAACCCAGATCACCCCTATTGTCATTTCTCGACTGGCAGTTTAGACGTCCTGAAGATCCAACCAGAAGCACGAGGAGTAAACGTTCGACAAAAGTTCATAGACTTTTACGAGAAGCACTACTCCGCCAACCGGATGAAACTCGTTGTCTTGGGCCGAGAACCGTTGGATGTCCTGGAGGAATGGGTCTCAGAATATTTCTCTGGCATCGAGAACAAGAACTTGAAGCCAAACAGGTGGAAGGACACGGTACCGTTCGGCCCGGAGCAACTTTCTCTTCAGTGCTTTGCGAAGCCAGTCATGGACTCAAGAGAACTGAACCTCTACTTCCCCTTCCTGGACGAGGATGATCTATACGAGGCACAACCGAGTCGATACATTAGCCATCTAATAGGTCACGAGGGTCCTGGTAGTATCATGTCTTACATTAAGTCTAAGGGCTGGGCGAACGGCTTGAGTGCTGGGGCATACCCTGTGTGCCCTGGGAGCCCTGGTCTATTTGACTGCTCGATTCGGCTGACACAGGAGGTATGGTCCCAAATTGTTATTTTGTAAACATCGTACTAAAACTTGTAACAGGGATTGAAGCATTACAAGGAGATCGTGAAAGTCTTTTTCCAGTATGTCTCCCTGCTTCGGGAGAGCCCTCCACAGAAGTGGATCTTCGACGAGCAAAAGGGAATGGCAGACGTGGACTTCAAGTTTAAGCAGAAGACACCTCCGAGCCGATTTACCAGCAGAATCAGCTCTGTCATGCAGAAGCCTTTGCCTCGCGAGTGGCTCCTAAGCGGCCACAGCCGACTGAGAAAATTCGACCCTAAACTCATACAAAAGGCCATCGATTGCCTCCGTCCAGATAATTTTAGGATGACCATCGTTTCTCGGGACGTTCCTGGAAAGTGGGACCAGAAAGAAAAATGGTACGGGACCGAGTATACATGCGAGAAGATCCCGGCCGACTTCATGCGAGAGATCAAGGAAGCTGCTTCGACAACATCTGCAAACCGCATCTCCAAGCTACACCTCCCTCACAAGAATCAATTTATCCCTACAAAGCTGGAAGTCGAGAAAAAGGAGGTCAAGGAACCAGCCATCGCACCTCGCATGATTCGGAACGACCCGCTAGCTCGCACATGGTATAAGAAAGATGACACATTCTGGGTACCCAAGGCAAACCTTTTTGTCAGCTGCAAGAGCCCCATTATCTATGCGTCTGCGGAGAGTTCCGTTAAAGCACGACTCTATACGGACCTCGTTAGGGACGCGCTTGAGGAGTATTCATACGATGCGGACCTAGCTGGCCTCCAGTATAGTGTTTCGCTCGACTCACGTGGCCTCCTCGTTGAGGTGTCCGGATACAACGACAAGCTGCCCGTCCTGTTGGAGCAAGTCTTGAAGACGATGCGCGACATAGAAATTAAGGATGACCGATTTGCGATCGTCAAGGAGCGCTTCAGCCGAGCATTTAGAAACTGGGCTTTTCAGCAGCCTTTCCATCAGGTTGGCGACTACACCAACTGGCTAACAACCGAACATGAGCATACTGTCGAGGAGTTTGTAGCCGAGCTGCCTTCTGTTACGGCAGACGACGTACGGTCATTCCATAAAGCACTATTGTCTCAACTTCATATGGAGGTTCTTGTTCATGGAAACCTCTACAAGGAAGACGCTCTCAAGTTGACAGATCTCATTGAGTCGACGCTTAAGCCTCGGGTTCTACCACGGCCACAGTGGCCAATCTTACGATCTCTCAGCTTTCCTCGAGGATCGAATTATGTCTTCAAAAAGACGCTTGGGGACCCGGCGAACGTCAATCACTGTATTGAGACTTGGCTGTACGTCGGTGATAGAGCTGATCGGATGATTCGCGCAAAGACCTTGCTGCTGGACCAGATGTTGCACGAACCAGCTTTCGATCAACTGAGAACAAAGGAGCAGCTTGGATACGTCGTATTCTCTGGTGTCAAGGCCATCTGCACCACATACGGTTTCCGCTTCATTATTCAGAGCGAGAAGACTGCGGAGTATCTAGATACGAGGATTGAGACCTTCCTTCAAACCTGGAAGGAGACACTGAAGAACATGAGTGATTCTGATTTCGAGGGCCACAAGCGAAGTCTCATCATCAAGAGACTTGAGAAGCTTGAGAACCTTGACCAAGAGAGCAACCGCGCCTGGAACCAAGTCCACATTGAATATTACGACTTTGAGCTTGGTAAGCCAACGATACCCCTGTATTGGGACAAAGACTCAGACTAACAAAAATGTTCTAGCTCAACAGGATGCGGCACACGTCAAACGCCTTACGAAAGACGACATGATTGAATATTTCGAGCGGTACATCGATCCGGCTTCTACCGAGCGCGCGAAGCTTTCGATTTACATGATTGCTCAAGCCAAGAGCGACGTATCCACGAAACAGATATCGGAGTTGGTCAAGACGCTGAACCTGGAGTCAGAGCAGGCATCTCAAGCCGCAACGGATCTGCAGGCTCGATTGAGTGCCGCGGGGCATGATGAAGAGAAGGAGATTGAGGGGCTGAAGGAGTATCTGCTGCACGACTTGAAGGTTGCTGAAGACAAGATCGAGGCCGCCGCCGAGTCGTGGCGAACGCTGCACCAAAACAACACCAACGGCGTCGTGAAAGACGATGTCAAGGAGCCCCCGTCGTTCAACGGGATCAAGCCGGTCATCATCGAAGATGTCCGGGATTACAAGTCGAGGCTGACGGCCACCGCAGGAGCGCGGCCGGTGAAGGACTTGAGCGAGTACGAGGATTTGGACTCAAAGCTGTGAGGTCTCTGCTCTAACCTTGACGGCCCTCATTCCTCAGCTCTCAGCCGCGCACAGTGGCCATTGTAATCTTGGCCCCGACTAACACGTGAGGCGAACGAATTATCAGAGTTTAGAGACCGCCTGCTTCGGATGTTTTGGCCATGTCCGGTCTATAGCATTGGTAGATTAAAGAAGATAAAGGGATATATAACTAGGGTTTAGTGGCATTGGGCCCTAGCTGGGAAGAATGAACACCTCATTTTAGACAGATCCGAAGAACAAGATGGAAGACGACGATTTTTTCTTTTCTTATTCATAGTAGATAGCAGGTTGCATCACATCATCATCATCATCATCGAGGGAGAGAGACAGCAAGGAAGTCGGCAAGGCACAGGTTATTATACCCCTTCATCATCATCATCATCTACGAACAACATCATCAGTTATCGGCATAGTCACCGTTGTCATCATTATCATTGTCATCGTCCATCACTCGCCTCGTCGACACCCCGTGGAACAGAGGATACAAAATAGGTACAAATAGAAGATGTGTGTTTATGATTTGGGCCTGCATCCCGTGACTTTCTCATCGAGCATCTACCGGATAAGGGTCAAATGACTACCTACTAGCTGCTACGATCAGATGAAATGGGGGAGACTTGGTGCAATGGATTCACTTGTGACAGGGGGGATTGTAATAAGAGGGCTTGATAAGGTCATTTCCCAGCTTATCGGAGCCAGCTGACAATGGGGTCACTCGGCCGGGGGAAGACAGGCAGGCAAGAGATGAGAGAGGGGTCCTACCGCCGGGGCTCCATTGTTCAGCTAAGAATACTAACATTAACCTTAGCCGAGCGAGGTGGCTACCCGCCGCACACCTGGCAGCTGGGGCTCCTCAGCTGAAAGTACAGTACCTACTACGCAGTACGTAGGTAGGTATGCACAATACCGTGCTGGATGGGTAGCAGAAAGTCTTGTGTGGTCGTCGGTCCATCCAGGTTTGAGCAGATTGCCATTCTTGAAGCTGAATTTGCGGTACTGCACTGTGGAAAGCTCTTGTCCAGGGAAAGAAAGGTGGATAGGTATATAACAGCGCAGATTATCTCTATACCTACCTACCTACCCATCTGACCTACCTCCTTTCCTCACCTTGCACCTCACCTTACATAGTAGGTTAATTACGAGTGCTTGCCTGCCTGCTCTGCTCGCCTTGCTTATCTCAACCTGGCAAGTTATTCCTTCTTTATTTTAGTCAGGGAACCGTGCACAAAATTGCGGTCCACTCCACCTCCCAAGGCATCTCAGCACCAACAGCAGCTTGCGCTTGGGAAAGTTTTTTTTTTATGCAGATCCGCTTTGCTCATTCCTGTTCTCCTTCCGGGACCTCGAGTCTATCGTGTGGGGCGGGCTTTGCCTCGCAGAATCCTGACTACTACTCAGCATAATGCTACCTGGCTGCCTGGGTAGTGAAGGTTTGGAGATATACCAAACCTGGGTTTTGGGGATTGCGGTGTGACGAACAAAGGAAGAGAGACTACAAGCTCAAGGCAGGCGCGACTCAGTCCAATGTGTTTCTCCCGTAGTCTAGAATACGATCAGTAATGGCACTACCTGCCGTCAAAGGTTCAGTAACTAATCATGTCTCCCGGGGTCCGCTGATGCCAAATCCCCAGGTGGCTCTTTCCACAAGTTTTGTCAGTCAGAATGGAATAGAGCTAGTTGTTTCCATTGTCTTGAGACAATGCCTCTTGTTCTTTGCCTGAGTGTGAAATGCTCTTCTCCTCTGTGTCTTCTACATGTCTCTCTCTGCCTTGGTTGTTACAACTAAAGCAGGCACATACACACACAAACGAACACGCACGCCGTCAGGTGCCAGGCGTGTATCGTAAGCGGCTGTAGTGGGCTACACACCTGCAGCGCCAGTAATCAGGCGTTTTGCCCCTACCTAGGTACCTTATTATAGTAGGAGCCGGCACCGCCAGTCACTTGCAAGACATCATCGACTGGACCTGTCTGACACTGTCTAACTGACGGACCACGGGCCACCACGAGCCAAAACAAGCACGGCGGCGGCGGCAAAGCATACCTTAGGATACCTAGCACAAAACTCACCCAACCCTTGCCGGCGGCTTTTTTCACTACAACTACCGTACGAATAAGTCACAGTACAGTACTGTACAATTCGCACACATCCTTCTACATACATATATACGCCCACGACCCGAAAGAGCCATTACCACATTCACTCACGCGGGCGCTCCGATCCGACACTGACTGATCTCTGATCCAGATCCAGATCCATCTCGGCCATCCGGATTGTGGGACGACCAATGCGCTGGGCCTGCCACCAGGTGTCCGCCTTGCCGCCTCCGCCTCCCGCTAGATCCCTTGAATTGATTTGAACTGGACCTGACCTTGGTGCACGAGAAGCTTCGGCGGCTTTCTCTCTTTCTCTCGCTCCCGGTCAGTCACTCAGAGTAGTCAGCCTGACATCTCCGTCTCGCTCCCGCACGCCAGCCTCCGCCTCACCTAGTCGGTCGCCTCAGAGCTGCGCAGGCAGCTCGCCTTCATCACGTCTTCCACAAAGAAACGGAAGATTGCGCGCCCGCCGCCCACTGCAAGGGACCAGCAATTGGACAGCTCGTCCGACCTGGTCTTGCCCTCTACTGAAGAGGACGCCGATCCCACCTTGTCCTTTTCCACAACCGCAACCGCCTCCGGCTTGACAACCCCCACCTACGTCCGAGGGGACTCTGCTCCTGGCCCTGAGCTACCACCACGACTTCAAACGCACCTCAACCCCGACATCAACGCTGATTACAACTCCTCCGTAGCCAGCTCGCCCCGTGCTGCCTCGACCGACCTCTCCATCGACAACGACCGTGCTGCGGAGCTCTTCCCGTCCGAGAGCAGACTCCCGCAAGCCTCCTACTCCATTTCCACTCGCGACCAATCTCCTCTGCTTAAGGCCCATCGGGCCATCATGGGCGGTGCTGCCGAGTATCCCCAACGCTCTTCGTCTCCATTAAAACGCCGAGCATCGAGTATGGAGCCGACCGAACACCCAGATGCGACAGAGGATGTGGACATGATCACAGTGCCTTCCGTGGAGCAAGTCGAGGATGTGGAAACAGGCCGGGAAGGCCACGAGCAATCATCAGGAAGTTCAAAAGAAGGCCAACCATCACAACCAGCACCCACGGGCGGGTCGCCAGATGACCTACCTTTGAAGAGTGGTACTGTGCTCAGAGTTCGAGCATGCCCTGTCCTTGCTAACTTTTGAACAGAAGCCCCACCTCTTTCGCAGCAAATAAAGACTATCGAGACTCTGCTGAAAGCCTTCAATGAGACTCCGGTACAGGAAGGAGACACGGCGTATATTGTGTCTCGGGCGTGGCTCACACGCGCTCAGGCGTTGGGTGGTGGGAAGGCAGCAAAGCAAGACCCTTCTGAGGGTTCCCTTGGACCTATCGACAATAGCGACATCATAGCTGGGATCGTCAAAGACATCAATGATCAAGATGTCGTGCGTTTAAAACCTGGAACAACTCTGGAGAATTTCGAGCTGTTCTCTAAAGATGCTTGGGATCTAGTTGTCGACTGGCATGGCTTGGCAAAGGGTCAGCTACCTATTGTACGAACAGCGCAGAACACGACGCCCGGATCGGATCTCCCGAATTATCAGTTTGAGCTGCATCCACCGGTCTTAACTGTCCACCGCTTGTGGTCCGAAAACAGCCCCATCCCTATTGAGCAGGGTCTCAAAGCTAGGCGCCCATCGCCGATTATAGTTATGTCAAGCACTACAACTGTTTTCAACACCTTCCTGAAGCAGATCAAGCAGCGATCTGGCATTTCACTGGACCGCAAAGTTCGTTTATGGAGGATACCGCAGAAACTTCCGGCGTCTGCTCCTTCTGGCCAGGCTGACCAACCTTCAATATTGACAACACCTCCTGACTCGCCGGGCAAGGAACCCGACGCAGATGGTTCAAATAATCCGCAGGGCTCTTGGCCACATCTTCTGTTAGACGTTGTGTCATTTGTTAAATTGGAGAGAGATGTTGACCGGGAGCTTGTTAACGACGCCAAGGACAACACGAATAACCCGAACTACAATGGCAACATGACTCTGAGCCTTCTTGGATTGACTGTTGATCAATCAATTGTTCTCGATGAGAATATTGACAAGGATGCTTATGTATCGAACTTCACCGGAAAAGGTCTAAATAATCACAAGGGACTTACGGCAAGAGGCAGCTCCTCGAGCCTCAATGCCCAAGGTCGGAACACTGCAAGCGGTCGTAGTAGCCCAGCACCTTCCGGTCCCATAACGCGAGGTCGAGCGCAGCAAAAGTCCGGAAGGACAATCGGTTGCGTTGGTCTGAGCAATCTTGGAAACACATGTTATATGAACTCTGCTTTACAGTCCTTACGAAGCGTTGAAGAGCTTACAAAGTATTTCTTGACGCACGAGGCGGAGAAGGAAATTAACACCGACAACCCTCTCGCCCACAACGGTGATGTGGCGCGTGCATATGGCCATCTTTTGGCCGAGATGTACAAAGATCCCGCTCCACCATCTATTGTTCCGAAATTCTTCAGAAGCACAATCGGCAGATATGCACCGGCATTTGCTGGCTATGGCCAGCAGGACTCTCAAGAATTTCTGGGGTTTCTTCTCGATGGACTACAAGAAGATCTGAGTCGGATCAAGAAGAAACCGTACATCGAAAAGCCAGATTCTACTGATGACATGATCAACAATCTGGAGGCCATTCGGGAAATGGCTGCAAAGGTCTGGGATATTACCAAGAAGCGGGACGACTCGGTGGTCGCAGACCTTTTCACCGGCATGTACAAGTCCACTCTTGTGTGTCCTGTGTGCCAGAAGATCAGCATCACTTTCGACCCCTTCAACAATCTAACTCTTCCTTTGCCAGTCCAGAATACTTGGAGTAAGACGGTCAAGTACTATCCTTTGAATGATACCCCGGTAGAGATGGCGGTGGAGCTAGACAAGAATAGCAGCATCAAGAGCCTGAAGGATTTTATTTCAGCACGTGTTGGCGTCCCGACTGAACGTCTCTTCGCAGCTGAAGAATTTAGGGACAAGTTCTTCAAGATCTACCAAGACTTCTCAACCGTTTCGGAGCAGATTGGGTCTAGTGACCTCCCAACCGTTCACGAACTGGAGGCTGCACCTACCAATACAAATCCAACAAAGAAAACTAAGAAGGTCAGAAGCATGCTTAGCTTGGATGACGAGGAGGACGAGACGCCATCCTGGGACAACCCAATGGCCGAGCGGATGGTTGTTCCGGTTCTTCACCGCTTCAACCCAAACACATCATCTGGCTTCAGGCGTCGTGGAGGCAACAATCAGTCGGCAGTTTCTCCTCCTCATTTCATTGTGCTGACTCCAGAAGAGGTAAGTGTTTTGAAACCTCGCACTGTCGAACTTCGGCTTACAATTGTACAAGGCACGCGATGAGGATGCTATCAGGCGCAAGGTCCTGGAAAAAGTTGCCACTTTCACAAACTGGCCTGAGTTTAACCGTGCAGAGGACTCGGATACATCCGAAAACACTGACCCGGAGATGTCTGTCACGAATGCCTCTGACATAGACTCCTCAGGGGACGGCAAGGTCGTGGCAAAGTCCGTTGAGGGGGAGGACGACATGGTAGACGTGACCATGAAGGATGCCCATGACAATCGGCAGCCGACTGTACAAAGTAACACGACGGCAAGGTAAGACATTTCCACGTACTCTCATACTGAGCTCATTTGTTGACCCCGAGATAGTGCTAGTTCACTGCTTCCGCTTAAGGTGTTCAACAGCCAGCGGCCGAAATGGGTCAATCCTTCGGAGTTCCTCGATGCTTCATTTCAAAACTTGTTTGAACTTAGCTTTTTCCACGAGCAAGGCTCGCTCATACCGAGCGGCTGGTCTGGTGTACAGGATGGAAGTCTGCTTCCGAAATTAGAATCAAGAAAGCCCGCACCGTCTACACCGACCGACCAGGACATGGCTAGCCCAGCCACCTGGGGCAACGGCACCGCGTCCGAGGAAGACAGTAGCGTGGAAGAGGCATCTCATACATCTGCCACCACTGTGACGAGGATGAACGACGAGTCGAGTGAGGAGGATGTAGAGTTCCCACCGTTCCAAGTATGTCCCGATATCGTATATTCAGTCATGGTTCACAAATTAACAAAATAGGACATCCCCGTGCGCTCTGGGCCCGCACCGAGACCAAGAGGAAAAGGAGGAAAGAAGATGAAACCCCGGCAGCTCAATCATAAAGGGGGCAGGAGAAAAGCCAAGCAAATGGCCAAGCAGAACGCTCGCCAACAACAGCATCATGGCTACCAGGCCTCCGAACCGCAGGACATCACCCCTGACGACGGTCCTCTGGTCCGCCTTGGAGAGGGCATCGTCGTTGAGTGGGATGAGAGCACCTGGGATACTGTCTACGGGCGCAACCCTCGCGACGAGGACGACACCATGCGCGGCATGGCTTTGTTCAACAACCTGGAGACCTTGCATGACCCGCTTCTGGAGGCCAAGAAGAAGGAACGGATCCAGCGTAAGAAGACTGGCATCTCGTTAAACGACTGTCTGGACGAGTTCGAAAAGGAGGAAATCCTCTCCGAGCAAGACATGTGGTACTGCCCCCGCTGCAAGGAACGCCGCCGCGCGAGCAAAAAGTTCGACCTCTGGAAGACTCCGGATATCCTCATTGTCCACCTAAAGCGCTTCAGCTCTAGTGGATGGCGCCGGGACAAGCTGGAGATCCTGGTGGACTTCCCCATTGAGGGCCTCGATCTGACCAAGCGCGTCATCGACAAGGAGAGCGGCAAAGAGGAGATATACGACCTGATCGCGGTCGACAACCACTGGGGCGGCCTCGGAGGTGGTCACTACACAGCCTTCGCGAAGAGCTTCGTCGACAGCGAGTGGTACGAGTACAATGGTAAGTGGATGATTTCTATCTAAGCTATATGATCGCGTTCACCCGGGCTAATGTACATACCAGATTCATCGGTGTCAAAGCAGAAAGACCCAACACGGGTCGTCACTAATGGTGCCTACCTGCTCTTCTACAGACGTCGTTCAGACGCCCCTTTGGGAGGGCCGCGATTTCAGGAGATTGTCGATAGATACGACAACAACAGCGCCACCGACGAGGAGATGTCCGAGTCGGGGGAAGGTCAGCGTCTCGGCACAGGCTCCTCCCTGCGTGGGTCGTCGAGCGCTTTGACAGGAGCAGAAGTAGTTCTCCACAAAGGAGATCGTGGTTTGGTTAGTCGCTCTACCTCACAACCATCGGGTGCGTTAGGTGCAGACCAGCCACCGTCGTATCAAGATGTCGCCTCGGCAGAGGACGAAGAGGAGGAGGAGGAGAACGGCATTCTTGGTATGACAAATTGGGATGCGTCCGACGATAAGGTCCATAACAGCATCGAGGACGAGGGCATTGCGATGGCCGATTGGAATACCACCAACTGGAACTTTGACAGTCTCAGTCGTCCGAGAATGGGCTCTGAGGCTGAGGCGGAGAATGGCTACGCCAGCGATGATGCTCAGCATGACTCATCTGGCGATGAGGGTGGCATTCTCGCCAACGATAATGACCGCGACGCAGAGATGCTACTAGGAGAGCCTGCTTCCTACCAGCTGCCAGACCAGCCGGAGCCGGAGGTCTCGCACTACGAGGAGCCTCCAGCACCCAAGCTCGAGGCGCAGGCCGGTCTCAGTGAGATTCGGGACCAGATGTGGAACAGAGCGGTCCACAACATCCCCATCCAGGAGGATGCTTCGTCGGAAAAGGCCGTGGAGATCCACCTGGATGATGGTGCAAAGAATTAGAGTAGACCATGCATGAGTAAATGATAGACCGTATTGTTGCAAGACATATTTGATGTACCTGTCGTTATGAAGTTTTGGTGTCTTTAATCTTTTGAGACTACCGCTCATCTAGTGACCCTCTTCTGAGTCTGCTCTTGTCTGGGGTAGATTAAGGGCGTATCAACTTGATCCAAGCTCAAGCAGGCATGCCACTCGGTATGTCATAATGCACAAGCAGGTTGCGGTGAGGCACCTTCCTGTAATGACAATCATAAACGTTCATGTCGTGTGCTCGCGGGTGAGGAGGGAATCTGCACGATATACAAGTCGGCCGGTACCAGCAAGGCTGGAGTGAACGAGATGAAGCTGGAACCAACCCAAATTGAAGACCCTTCTTTGCATACCGTCTCGGCGGCACGCTCAGCCTCCTCCTGGCGATCACATCCCGCGCTGGGCGTCCGTTAGTTTTGTGGGAGGATATCGGCCGGTGTTCCCGTTGATCAGCGCGACTTGAAACGTCGATGGTTCCTCGCCCGCTAGGGCTCGTTCTGCACTTGCATATGGGGGTTTAGGACTGCAAGGGGCGCTTCTTGTTGGCACGCGGGACGGGAGGTCTTCTGGGCGCGGGACGGGGAACACTCTGCTTTGCAGAACGGACCCTTGAGATACTTCCACAGTGTGCGACATTTTCATTTCTGCGCGAATGCGGCATGGCGGATGTGCAGTAGGTATCTGCAAGCCAACTACACCTTGGCCGGAAGCCACTTGGCTTCAGCTGGATGAGAAAAAAAGAAGCACAACACGTGCGTAGCTGTGAGACGAGAATGGGCACCGTTTTTGGCTCAGGCAGTGAGTCGTCTGGGTCCAGACGCGCGCATGTGCTCATCCAATGTCAACCTCGTGGAGGGGCTGTACACTATCTTGCAGACATCATGTCTCAGGTTTGGGGCTGCAACCAGAGGCGGCAAGCGCTGTGTTGCCCAACTCAACGGGACCAAGACGGGACAGGGTCGCAGCCTCGTTGGAGTCTTTGACCAGGCCACTTTTTCGATAGTGTACCTGCGTACGATAAGCTGACAGCAGCAAAGTGAAGTAGGAGCCGGATGTTGGCGGCAGCCATTTGGGACCTTGGTGTGTGTATTATCAACAGTCATGTTTCCGTGCGGCTGAGCGGTTGAGTCGACCATAGCCTCGGTTGTGGCACTTGTGCATTCTCACTGTTCAGTTTGTAACCAGGTGAGCGAGCCGCTTTGAGGCAATTGCGCAATTCTTTTGAAGGCTGTGGTCGGCGGCGCACGAGGCGAGCTGAGTCGGATACGGAGCACGGGCATGGATTGTTTGATTGGCTCCGATGTGGAGAAAAGACGGCGAACCGGGTCTGGGGCAAAGGATCCGACTCGGCGAGACAGGAACGGTATCGATTGGTTTCTTAGTCTCGTGTCGACAAAGCGTTCTTTCGCAATTTACTCTGGTACTCCCTCTCGTCCCTTGAAGTCGCTGTATGATTGCTCTTTCGTTCGAGGTGTGGACAAGGGCACCCCTTGCAAGCATGGAGGGCTTAATAATGATTGATTTGTTGGACTAGTGGCCAGCTGCAGTATCCCGGGAATAATACACTGTAGGTGATAGGTCAGATGCCTTTATCTCGGCCTGGTGGCCATCGATTCGCGAAGAGGAGCGTGCTAGGATCACTGATTGGGGAAATGGGATTTTCGAGCCAGGGACGCGGCTAAAGTCCACATGGCAACTAGATTACGTGGTCTTGGCTGTCCAAGGCAAGACAAGACTCGCCGAATCGGTCGGACTGGAGATAACAGGAGACGGGATGGGGCAAACGGTGAAGAGGTAGCTTTCTCGTCCGGTTCGTCGTGGGAGGCTAAGCTCATTGCAGGGCAAAAGATGTTTCGGTGAGAATGGACCCCGTGGTCTACTGTGCTACATTGTTAGGAGTACCGGTAGGTCAAGCAGGAGTATTGACCAGGATTGCCGCCATTGTCAGCTCGAAGCTCCGTCAACGTCGAGGTAGAGCACGATGACGGGGCGCTCTATTGCCTAAAACAGTGGTTGATAAGGTCGTCCGCACTGCATGTTGCCTAGAAGAATCCACCGCTCATGCTCTAGGGTATCAAGCGGAGTCTTGACAGTGAGCAAGGAGAAATGGCAGCGGAACACGGACCCAGCTGGGTGGTGCCGCTCCAGTGAGGCCGGCTGGATGCGTGTAAGACGAAGAGTAAGAGAAGGAGTAAGACGACGATCCAAGTAGGCAAGTCAGACATGACACCGCTATGCTATGATGGATCAGGTCAGTTTGCACGGCGAAGTTGCAGAAGCACTTTGGATTTCTGGCAATAAATAGCGCCTCGGCCTCGCCTATCTGGATTGAGAAGGTCACGCTGTCAAAAAGGAGGCTGGTGGCCGATTCGGAACCGCAGAATTGCAGACCGTTCTTTCTTTCCTTTTACAAGCACCTCGACCTCACAGCTGCAGCTGCAGGTGCGATGGACCATTCAAGCTGCAATTCCTACCCGTAGGAAGGTGCCCGGCGACCAGGTCTTGCTGGGGTTTGGCGGTCGCTCTTTCCCCTTGTTAATAATTGGTCTCGGCGCAGGCTGAGCGTTCTTGGGAGGGAGAGGGATACTGGCGAGACTCGCTTGATAAGGAAGGTCGCTAATATCTAGTAGTCGCTACCTACCCACGTTTCGCGGACTCACCTAGGAAGCCGAGGCAGTGACCATCAAAATTACAAGGGGGGCGCCTCTGTCTCTCTAACCCAACCTTTCCAAGGCCTACACCTAGCCAGTCTTGTGTCTACCTACCTAGGTAATAAGGACCTTTGCCGGAGTCTGTCGTCGGGCTACCTACCCAGCGATGCAGCTTGACTGCTCGAGCAGCATATGGATACAGTACAGCCAGAAGGGGGTTCATTTCTACGCCCCCTCTGAGCAAGCAAGGGATATCATAGGTATCGATACAGCATCGTCATCTACGACCCATCCTTCCCATCTTCCGCCGTTGATGACATGCAAAAACGACCAGAAGCGGAACTGCAGCGCCTGGCTACTCCACTTTACGTGCTTCTAGAAGAAAGGTGTCATTTGTCGGAAGAGAGATGCAGGAATGGAAGATGCCGATAACTCTGATGTCCACACCACACACAAACGTCTACACAGGACAGTGCAAGTGTATCGTAGATTGGCCGGGATTTGCAACGAAGATGAACAATAAGGTAGAGGCAATGCAGATGCAGGGAGCGAAAGAGCCTGGCAGGGCCGTTACGACAGCGGTGAAACTCGAGAAGGGACTGTCGATCATGTCGGCTTTTGCCACAGCACTACGCCGCTTGCCCCCCTCCGTTCTTATGTATTGTAGTGAGAGACTGCCAATCTTGACCGGATTGATTGCCCTCACCTCACCTTGCATCACATCACGCACGACGCTGCTTGCGACCTGCAAATCGCGGCGCTGCGCATAGCTCCTTTGTATCATCGTCGGATGCTGCTGACGGCGACAAGGTAGCTCGCTTCTCTGGTCAGCTCGGCTGGCCAGGCTGGTGGGTTATGATTCAATTTGTCGGATTATTCGGAGAGTGCACCTTGATAATCATCGTCATCGGTGGGCAGTGATCACTGTATTTATGGGGATTGGGAGGTTGTGGCCCCTGTTGTGTGATGTTGTGGTAAATTACATGGATATACTGACCGACTGTGCTGCAGTCCGTCAGTCAATCTGCTTGCACGTAGCAACGACACAAAAAGCGAAAGGGAGAGGCTAAGGGAAGTCCGATGCCGTAACAGTCTCTCCTGTGGCTTTGATCACATCAGGTGAATTCAATGGGAATGTGGATTCACGTTCCTTTTGGCATTTGATCGCGAAGCTCAGCGGCCCTCAATTTCGCCTGCCGTCGTGGGTCCAGGTAGGCTCCGTAGGACAAGAACCATGGAAAGATAGGTGCTTTAATGGCTGTTAGTCATTGGTGTGATTTGTAGTTACTGGGCTCCTGTCCGAGATGGGCCGCCGCCTGTAAGTGACTGCAGCTATAGGCCGTATCTGCGGTGATGAGGGGAGCTTGGGGAGGTACCTTCCTTAGTGGCTTGAAATGGGCTTCGATGGGTTCTTCTGGAAAACAGCCAGAACCATTGAGAAGCCGGGGCCAGGGAAGCCACCACGACTGTGCGCACGCCTTTTCCCCTGTGCACTTGCGGCCTGCTCCTGCCTCGATTGGCAGGCTCACCTCAGCGGCCCACTCTTTCTGTATCTCCGGCCTGCACGCCCAAGGCACCCCCTACTACCTAGCGACCCAGCGCAGGGCCTAAGCAGCTAGGAGCGCCTCTAGTCCTTCCATTCAGCATTCTCTCGACCTTCTACCATCTGCCTTCTACCTTCTACCTTCGAGCCCTCGAGCCTTCGAACCTTCCTGTCCCGCCTATCTATCCGTGTCGGTCGTGCCTGCCACGCTGCAAACTCTATGCCTTCCATGCCTTCCATGCCTTCATGTTTCTACGTAATACGCCTTCGCCGAGGACTACTACCTATGTCGTATGGCTAATAGTATACCTATGTAGAAGAGAAGATCCGTCCCTCCCACACGCCCCACACATTTCGTTCGCTCAGGCAGGCGCGTGCACTACCAGCGACTACTTATCTAAGGTACTTTTCGGCCGGGTGCTACATGCAGGTGCATGGATGTACCTTACCTCGATGGCCCCGAACCCGGACCCCCATCTTGACCTCTTTACCCTGCCTGCCTGCCCGTCCATCCATCCAAGTCGTCAATCAATCAATCAATCAGTCAATCGATCAATCAATTGACTTATTCATTCAATCTATTCTCCGATCAATCAGGACGTCGAATCTGCAGCGGAATAGCCGTCTCTCTGTTATTCCCCGCCGCCTCCCACCATCGACTCGACTTCAGTTCCATCCACACAGACTGCCAGGGTCAAACTGCTTCTCTTCCTCCTGGAGGTCGCTCTTTCCCGCCCTGCCGGTACCCTTTTCCATCGCTCACACCTAGCGTGGCC